TATATTAAAATTTAAAAAGAAGAGATAACAAATAATTTGGGTTTTGATAATTGTAATAATTGCTTAAAATGGTTGATGAGGTGTTGTTTGTGAACGAAACCGTTCGCGTCGTCCCGAACCGTTTGCGCCATCCCTACAGCGTCCCATAATGTCGGCCAGCAGCAAAAAGATGCCACGGCAAGACTAGTGATTTTACTCCATGTTGTATATCATACCAGTGGCATATCCAGGATTCATTTAACGGGGATGTTTTAAAATTTAATAGATTTATGGTAAGTGGGGAGCTCTACCCCCCCCCCCCCTTACATTAATAAATACCATATATTTATATAAATTATGTTAATGAAAATTATTAAGACAGTATATGAAAAATCTAAAAGTTGTATACAATGTTTATTCAAATTATACTGTAAGTTTGCAATTTGGTGAAATATCATAAAATACGGTCGATTGGGGGTGTTTTAATACCCATATCAACCCCCTAAATATGCCCCTGGTCAGAAGACTACCGTATAGTTTTAATAATAAACATAAATTATAATATTAAATACTTTTCCGTTTCCACTTGACCACGTTTTCGGCGACAACAGTTTAGATATATATATATTTATATATATATATAATAAAAAGACTCCGGTCGGATGATGGATCGGCCACGTTATCGACGTGTCGGCCATGCAGTTGAAAAAGAAGAGTGGCTCCCGCCAGAACGTTGTGGCCTTTTACGTGTGTTGGCAGTTAGAGCGGTGGGGTGATACGTATCGAGAATCTTTTTTCGGACGTAGCGCTGACTGATGGCGAAGACTGTCGTTGTAACAAGGCCGCAGTGACCTTAACCCTTTGATCGGGTGCTCTTTGTAACGAACACGAAATTGTACGTAAAAAAGAAATACGTAGCTAGTATAGTTACTAGTAATATATAATCAATGGTAGTTAGTCACGCTCACGGTGCGCTGCGTAACGGCCCAATCATACGAACAATATTGTTGATATCATCAATATGATCGATAGAGTGCTCGTGTAGTATCGGTGGTCATCGCGAACCCATAATTTATTCAATTTTATGAGAAATCATAATAAAAATTGCAATGTGATCAACTTAGGATGTTCGGACAATATCATTGTAAACCATCTGTCCATCGGAATTAACAACGAAACACATTATGACCATGAAAGTGTACATCGTCGCGGTGTCGTCATCGCGTCGATACATTCATACAGATAAAAGGCGTCCGTGACGATGCATAATCATCTTCAGCTAAACATTGTGCCTATAAATAGTACCTGGTTAACGAGCTCAACTTTTCTCGGCTACCTCTTGGTTTCTTTTAAGAAGGCTCGATAGGGGCAAGCTAAAACAGTCAGAGGAGCAGTCTTAGTGAACAGTAGTCAAAAAATGCTTCGCCATATCAGCAGAAATCGCAAATATTTCGGACGCTTTCACCATTACGTCGACTCTGGAAACTACGCCGCGAACACCGCTAACAGATTATATCTCCTTACATATTTAATGAATTACTTAAAGATCTCAAAGATGTAAATTTTGTTACATTAACGATTGACAGTTCTAACAGAAAAGAAATTAAACTGACTCCCGTATGCGTTCATTATTTTAACCAAAATGAAGGAATTAAGGTTAAACTTTTATACTTTGATCAACTTCCGGGTGAAACCTCTGATATTTTGGTAAAACATCTTTTAAAATGTATTAAAAAGTATTCTATTGATTCAAAAGTTGTTTGTCTTTGTGCTGATAACATTAATACTAACTTCGGTGGTGTAAAAAGAAAAGGTCAAGGAAATGTTTTTCGAAAACTGCAAAAATCTTTGTCTCGTCCTATTCTTGGAATTGGTTGTGCGGCTCATATTTTACATAACACTGTCCAGACAGCATGCGATGCTCTGTCCATTGACGTTTAGGTAATAGTAGTAAAAGTCTATAAATTCTTTTTTCAGTATACTGTCAGAGTGACTGCGTTAAAAGAATTTTGCGAATTTGCAAATATAGAGTATAAAAGAGTCCTTTCACATGGAAATACGAGATTTTTGAGCTTATTACCTGCCATAGAACGGATATTGTTATTGTTTGACGCCTTAAAGTCGTATTTCATGGCTATAGAAAACTGTCCTGCTGTGTTACTTGCATTTTTTAAAGACCCAGTATCTGAACTTTTTTTATAGTTTGTACATAGAACTGTTTAAATGTTCCAAATATCTATTCTTAAACTTGAGTCTGACTATATAACTGCTTCAGAAGCAACACAAGTGTATGAAGAATTAGTTATCAAACTAGAAGAACGGAAAGCAAATAATTTTATACCATTTGCAGCTAACCAACTACTTGCTAAACTTAAAGATGATAATACAATTGATGTTGATAAAGAAAATCATTTTCGTAAAAATATGGAAGGTTTTTATCAAGCAGGGATAAATTATTTAAAACTTTGGGAAAACAGCTTTGACAAAGCTAACAAATTCAAATGGTTAACGCTACAAAATGATCCTACTTGTGAAGAAATGGAGGCTAGTGCAATAATAGTTGTCAGTATTGTATCAAATTCTATCAATGTGGATCAATTATTTGATGAACGCTCGTCTCTAGTCCAAGTACTAAGATATCTGAAACCTAAATGGGCATCACAACAAAATGAATTAACACCGAAAATGCATGAAAAATGGAAGGAGATATTTGATACATTTTTTCGAAGCAACGTTTCTTTTTTGAATATTTTTAAAATAATAGAATTTGCCATGTGTCTGCCTGGCACTTCAGCTCCCGCCGAGCGTATTTTTTCAATGATGGGGTCTATTTGGAGTGCTGAAAGAGGAAGATTGTCATTAACAGTTTTAAAAGAGTTGCTTAATATTAAAGCAAATTCTGATTTGTCATGTTCACAATTTCACGATAAAATTAAAATTGACAAATTTTTTCTGAAAAATATGAACGCACCTGAAAAATATGAAAAGAAAAAAGACGATGAAGAATGTTGCGAACCAGGACCCAGCACGAACTGAATAAGGAACTGATAAAAATTATTATATAAGTTAATTAATTATTATAACATGTTTAACCTAATAACTCTTATGTAGACGTTTTATTTATAGATTTAAATAAAATTGTATTAATGAAAGAACAATACTGCTTAACTTAAATTTTACCCCTCCCCTGAAACGGAACTGATGTCCGGATTTGGTCTTAAAACATTATGGTAACCCTAGTCATGCCACCCATGAATTATATTACCATAGTCATGAAAAGTGGCCTTAAATCTATATAATAAAAATAGGTAGGTACATATTATCATTGACTAAATAATTCTTAATAATAATTGTACCTACTCTATTATTAAAATTATTCCATAATCTATGATATTATTAAATATTATTGAATAAGAGAAGAAATGAAAGAATTTTTATTTGACATAAACCATTTATTTGTATGGATAATGTTATTTAGACATTAGCCATATGCATCTTTATAATGTTAAATATTGGTGGATAAAGTCCGAAATTTAGATATTAGCCAAACGCAGTGGCTAAACTTGAGTTTAGCCATACTAATACTAGCCGTAACATATATATATATATATAGATAGATCCGGGGCCTCGTAAATCATAGCGCCGGCACTGAACACATATCATATTCCAACAATTGAACGTTACGTATAAAACTCTCTAAGTTAAACAAAAGAATTTTTTCTTGATTTAAGTTTTGCAAACTTTTCAAACAAATTACGTTCTTTGTTTCTGAGTAGGTATTGTGTATATAAAATTACTGTGATAAGTAAGGTTTATTTGATGAATTATCCAAATTCACTCAAACTTGGTTTATTATTATAAATTTGTAAAATTGATAATGAATTGATTATTACATAATATACACATATTTATTATATATTTGAGCAATATTATTATGGGTTCAGATTTGCTAATTGATATAGGATACAGATAAAAATATCAAGTGAGATATAAATTTGTTTTATTCACCAGGAACTCCAAAAATTAAATTTTATTTTTATATCTTTTTTTTTTGTATATTTAAAGTATTTTAAAATTTTAGTATAATTTTCGAAATGTTGGTGCTATTATTAACCAATACGTATAATAATATAATTATTTATATAGAATTTACCATAAATATTATTTATATTGACTGAAAAATTCACACATTTTAATTTTTTTTTAAAAATGTATTCATTTATAAGATTATATTATAGATTATAATAGAAAAAATAAAATAAACTGTCAGTAAAAAATAATACATTTAAGAGGACGTCACACCCGTATGTGTTGTCTTTGTTTAACATACGTACAACAGAAAATTTGCGTTCAATGATTCAAATGTAGTAATATTAGCTTTAGTATTAGAGTTAACTGACCTATAATCAAACTTTAAGGGAAGAATATTATCTGTGTTTTGTTCGGTTTTTTCCGATATTTTAATTTTTATGCGTGTTATGAGTATGTAAATTATAACATTTAAAAAAACATCATAACTCAGTAAAGAATTAAAATATAGGAAAAACCGAGCAACAAAATAGAGATAATGTTCTTCCCTTAATGTTTGATTATAAGTTAGATTATAGATTATAGATTTACTCTAATAATAAAGCTAACATTATTACATTTGAATCACTGAACGCAAATTTTGTATGTTGTATGTATGTCAGACGGAAACAACACAGCGGGTGTGACGTCCTCTTAATTAGATTTTTATTAACATTTCTTTTCTTTTTATTTATATTTTTGGGACATTTTTTATAGTGCGTATTTCAGTACATTTCAATGATATGAAATCTAAATCCTGATAATTATGATTTACAAAAAAGATAGAACCTAATTATATAAAACGTCGGCGACAATCTGTTGGGCAATAAATTGTTGCAGAATCATCTGGACTTTGTTTGGTACAAATAACTAGGTATTGTAACACTAAAAAAAAAAGTCATAAATCATATTTAATAAAATTCCATTTAAATTAAAAATGTATTGAAGGACGAAGGTACATTTATATTTAATAATACAAAAAGAAACAAATATAAGCTGGGCATAAAGAAAGACAAAAATGCATAGGTGATACAATCTATGTAACTTTTCTTTAATAAAGTACAACAAATATTAATATTTCACAGGTAAAGATATACTAAATGGTCCACATCTTCTTTCTATATCCCTGGCTCTGATCGCAAAATAATAAATTGTGTTAATAGCCTCTACCTAAAAAAATAAAAACTACATTAATAAATACATTTTTCATTCAAACCAATATTTTTTTTATTTTATTATTTTTAATATAATGCATTTAACAGTTTGAACTCGAACTTGTGGAGATTAAAAATAATGTAACTATTTTATTAACTCATATATTAATAATAATAAATTATACTGATTAAATAACTGATTTTTTTCTTCTTCTGATAAACAATATGACATTTTTCAAATGGTTATAAATAAAAATAATGAACATTAGGTTTGCATTTTAAGTTTATTCTAATTAATATTTAAATATAATAGTTTCAAATAAATATTCTGTAAAAATAATTATAATAAATCAAATTTATAGCATACTTATGCAAACTTTAAATAACAGTTTGATTACTTAATATTATTAAATTATTAACTTACCAGTTTAACAGTACATTTCATAGGCAATTTCTTAGCCTTAATAATACCGATTTGTTGCCATCCATTAGAAATTGTATTGTTATTACGAACCACTAGCATAGCTACTTCATAATCAATTATATTTATAATGCCCTGAATATTGTGAATATTTCTTCCAATTTCCCATTTTAAAACTGCTCCTAATTTGTTAATTATACGGTGTTAATTAATTTATCATAAATATTTGGTAAAAATAGTTAACTCTTACTTGGAGGATAAGTCTCAAATGATAAAAATACTTCTAGTACTACCGATGGAAGATGTAAATGTTTTTCAGTATCATTTAAATTCTCTAAGAAAGGCCCATGGGTCTGTAGTTTAAAAAAAAAATTCAATATTTTAATATAATTTTTAATTAAAATTTTTCTGTTGTAATATTGATAAATATAATTATAATAACATATAGAGCATTACATCAAAACCTAACAATATTTAATTTACTTTTATAAAATAGTTAAAAAATGAAATAAAAATATTTAACATTATTTTACAGCTAAAAATTTAAATATTTTTAGATTCTAAGAAAATCAAGAATTTATTATTTAATTTAATAACTAAAAGAAAAAAATTAACTAATAAAACAAATCCTTTCAATGTATTATCTATATATAAATGTATTATACATTATTTAAATATTCTAGATACCTTATTTTTATTGTAACAAAATATTTCTCGATATAACTCTGTATAATTAACAGGTTTAATTGGTAAACTTATAATTGCACAGTTATATGAATTTAGGTAATTAGAATTATGGGTATATAATTTTTTTTGTAACATTGAAGTGCTTCGGACCAGATCAGCTAAGCTTCTTTTATCCAGAACGACCTATTTCAACATGTAACATACAAATAGTTATAATTGAATTAATATTTTTAAAACAAAAATTTTTTTTAAATAATAATTTATTGATAAAAATATATTTCGTACAATCCTGTCGGAAAAATTCTTCAACTTTTTCTTTTCAATAAATGTTGTTTTAGATTCAGTATTAACTGGCTTTATTAACTTTATATAAAACAATTTATTGTTTAATATTTTTGTATTTGATAAATGTTGGGTATCCAAATAACTGGTCTTATTTGTGAATGAAATCTTTATAAATTTTTTTTTAGGAATAATCTTTAATACTGATGCCTTTGGAATATACTTGGTTCGTATAAATGGAAGTATTTTTGAATATATATCATATTTAAGAAAATTTTGGCTATGTACAGTTGAATTAACATTCTGCAAAGACTCTAATTTAGATATACAAATTGAATTTAACACATTTGATTCAATTTTTTCAGTTATATCACTGATAACTTGTCTATATGGTGTATCTAAACACATTATTCCTGAATTTGATATATCAGATTTCTTGGATATAGTTATGTTTGACTTTTGATTATTTAATGATTCATCTTCCGAATCAGTTGTATCAATTTGTATCGTATCTGACAAAAGTTTTGAATTATAGTCTTGAGTAGAAATTGGTCTTATAAGTTGTACCTCCTATAACATAATATTAAAATGTTAAAATAAAAATATTAATTCAGTTTTATTTATGAATTAAAAATCAATTTAACAATTACAATTATTTAATTTAATAAATATTTAAAAACCTATTTAAATCTTATTAAATAAAAATTACTCGAATAATTTAAAAGATTTACAATTAAAATTTACCATTTCCTTTTTAATATCAACTTGAATACCAACATTTCTTGAATAAAGTTGTTCATGGTTTAGTAAATATTTATTTTTATTCAAAACTTCCAGATAATTTTTTTTTGTTTGTTTTATGTCTAGAAGCAAATTTTGGAACTTAATTTTCCAATAAATTTGACGAGTTCTAAATTCCTTTAATTGATGGTGTAAAAGATTAGATGAACGAAAAAAGTGAATAATAGATTGCATTTGTAATAATGTGTTGAAAATCTAAAAAAAAAAAAATACAACAGTTACAAAGATGTTTTAAACTAAATATTATTAATATTGTATTTATTATAATATTATAAAGAAGAAATGTAACTTGTATATATAAAGGTATATTACCTTTTTTCCTATCTTAGGGTTATTTAATCTTTTTAGAAAGTTGTCAAAATTTTCTGAATTAAAATCTGTAAATATTTCAAGATCACAATTGTATTTTTATGTTCATGTTTATTAATATGTAATTTCGTACCATTTATCAAAGTAGAAAAAATATCATTATTTTCATCAGTATTATTATCTTCATTATCATCAACAGAAACTTTATTTTCGCCATTAACAGATATGTCACTATCCTCCTCTTTAGTTTTATTACCTTCACCAATATCACCATGCATTTTCTTATCATCATTAATAAATATGTCAGTGACGTCTGTTTTAATTTTATTATCTTCAACTATACCAGCAATCTTTTTCTTGTCATCATTAGTAATATTATCTTCATCTTTATCAATATTAACTTTATTGCCATCACGAATAGAAATGTCTGTGTCCTCCACTTTAGGATTAATACGTTGAATTTTATCAACACAAATTTTCTTGCTACTATTAATAGAGCATTCAGTGTCTTCCGCATGCATCCTCTTGCAATTGTTACTAATACTATTAATATCAAATTTATAATTTTTCATAAAAATAATTTTTTGATTGACAGTTTCCCTAATAGAAATATTCGTTTTTTCTTGTTCATTAGAAAACAAGTCTTTATTTTTTGTATTTAAATGAGAGATTTTTGTATTTTGCAATATATTTTTTGAAATTCCAGCATAATTGCTATCTTTTTGTATCAATATATACTTAGGAATTCTGTCAAAATTACTTTTTGGTACTGATAATATGTTTCTGAGAATACTGGAATAGGTTTTATAAGGACTAGATGAATTTTGAAAAGTAGTGCAATTGTCTGTTAATGTTTTATTATAGTTATTATTATTTGCACTATGGTGGTAGTTAATTTTTTCAATCTAAAAAAAAATTCAAATGTAGCTATAATTATCAACAATACATACATAATAATAAATTTAAAAATATTGTTTTAATATTGTAAGTATTAACATTAACATTTTTTTTTTGATTTAAAATGACTAAAAAGAATCAAGTAAGGAATTAATTTACAGGACTTACAATAATTTACAATTAAATATTATTAACAACAATCTTATACAAATAATATAATCATATAAATCTGTAAAACTTATTTACTACATAAAATATAATTAGCTTATACTTAATAATATAAAATATGATCAGTTGAATATTTAAATGTGATGTAAAATTTTGATAAAAAAAATATATTTTGTACTAATAAAATATTATATAAATTTTGATAAGAAAACCAATATTTATGTTTTATACTAAACTCATTTAATTAATTGATATTTATTTAACAAGTAATATTTTTTTAATTAATAAAAATTATCACCAGTATCACATTTCAGTTATATGTCCCAGGTGTATTTGTTAAGTTAGAGTAATTTTTTTACATTTATTTCAATATATATTATAAATTCAGTTTAATAGGTTACAAGATTCATTCATACTTTTAAATAAACCACTTAACAATATGAAAATTATTAGCATAATATTGTGATATTCAATAGATTATATATGATTATTAAATATGCTTATATGAAAAATTTGTTCATTAAATGATGGATATATTTTAATAATAAATTATCACTAATTTGATCTTTATGATAAGATAGTTTCTAATTTAGAGATGAGGAAAGTGCCATAATGGCTGTGAAATGATTTATTATTATAGATATGGAAAAAAAAATACAATAATTAATGATTGGTTTTATAATTATACATTTTTATAAATAAAAGATTAAATATAATGTGTGTATATATATATATTGGATGTCATAGGGCCATAATTGTATACAAAAGACACAAATTATAAATACATCGATAAAATTTGTGTTAGAAACAGTAACAAGCAATATTAGTTATATAAAGATTTACAAATTATGCATGTTAAATTTTTAACTTACTAGAGATTTGTAAAAAGTGGTTCATAGAAGATCTTTGGTGAAAAAAACGTTTATAGTAAAAATTAAATTCAAAATTTGATTTATATATTAATAATTATTAACATACATAATACTCAAGAAATTCTCAAATTAAATTCATAATATTAATTAATAAAAAACTATAATAAAAAATATAATTATTATACTATAATATCTATTTTTGACATAGATATTAAAATAAATAATAAATTAGTATCTTATATTTATACATTGTGCAATTAAAATAATTAATTTTGTTTTTAATGTTAACATATTTGTTACAATTTACAATATACTTACTTTATTTTGACTAGAATATTGTCGGACATGAAAATCTTCCTTACTCATAATAAATTTTTTAGGTATTTTGTAGTTTTTTACATCATCAGGAATAAATCGTTTAAAATTTTCTCTTTCTGTTTTAGGATATGTTGTTTTAAACCAGGTTTTTCTATAAATAAAAATATGAAAGTTTTTCCTTTTTTAGTGGTAATTTACAAAAAAAAATATACACTTATAAAAAATGTCTTAAATTAACTATAATAATAATAATTGAAATATATAATTTAAGGTAATTGTTGTATTATTTAACTTTTATATTTTATAATTATTTATACTAAGTTGAAAAGCTCTCATATATAATATATTCTTAAATTAAAAGTTAATAATTAAAGTTAAATCTTTAAAATATCTCTAATGTTGCGTGCGGACAATTCAACCGTCAAGATGAAGATGTGAAAGGATAGTTCCAATAAAAATACTCAAACTAAATTAAACTGTTTATTGAAATATTTCTAAGTACACGTTATTTAATTAAATTAACAAATATACTTATTAGATTTTATATTAATTTACTATAATGAGATGATTTTAGTTAAAATAGTTATAGCTTATAATAATGTTTTAAAATTGAGTTTATTTAATAAAATAAAATACTTTTAACTATTTTAAACAAATAATTACAAATATTTAGTATTTATAGAAAATGAAATATACTTGATAAGTTAAAACAACAGGATAAAATAGATAAGATATTGACAATGAATAAATTATATAATATTTAGTAAAAACTTATAAATTGTCATTAAACAGAAAGGAATCTTAGTCTGTGAACATTTCTAATTTCCAGTTCCTAAACAATAAATTTCTAAAAAATACTTTGGTAACTTGTTTAATTATATGCTTATATTCAGAAACCCAAATAAATTAAACATATTAATTTGTTCATAAATTATACACATTTTGGTACTTATTTTTTAATATTAAATATATATATAATAAATAATTCTCAAACTAAATGTTGACATTTTTAAAACAAGCTAGACTGAATAAAAAAATATTAAATTTAATATCTTTATTTATAATTAATATTGTAATATCACAGTAACAACTTTGTACTGTTAAGTAAAAAATGAAAACCCATAAGAAATAGTCTATCAAATCATATCACTATTATAAATAGTATTTCAGTAATAAAAACAATTGCAATTCTTCATAACACGAAAAAAAAATGTATTTGTCTGAAAAGCATTGCGGAAAATAATTTCAGTGACGTCCATCTTAATCCGTTAAATGTTCTAAAATTGGATAAATTATTTATATGAACGATTTGAACGCTGTCAAGTTAAAAACATATCTTTCATTTTTGAATAATCGTGTTCGAACAGTTTTCGAAAAATAACTCGTCACTACGTTTGTTTATTCATCACGATATCAATATTCGGTTGACATATTGTTTGACACAACAGTAGTCAAAAAAATAATAATAATAATAATAAAAATGCTTCAAAATGTCGGCGCTTAAATAACTCGATCAATTACGTTATCAGTTTCGGGCAGCCGATAAGTGGGTCGACAAAAAAAAAATAATAATCCGAACTCCATTATGTTTCGACGCGGCAACGGAGGTACACGGGAAGGGGGAACCTCATAGTTATCGAACACCCATCGGCATCCGCATTACTTACTAGGTGGCAGCGGGGGAAAAAAATATTTAAAAATTTTATACTCACTGATTCCCGGGCTTTTCGGTCACCACCAGTTGGAGTTTTAAATCCTTTATTGCCTTTGCGTCCTCCGGGTGATTGTGCTGGTGGTCGATGCTCACGAGCTGCATGTTGTTCATGTCCAACGACGTTTTCAGCACGCACGGGCACCGGTGGGAAATAACGCGTGAGCAGTTCCACCGGTAGTAATCATTACATTTTTTCTGCAAGACAAAAAGGTACCCATGATATGCGACCCTGGGAGTTTTGTGATTTTTTAAGGTTTTTGTTTCGATGAGCTCTAGCATTGCGTTGACGTCGGCCCGGCGTCGGCACAATGAACTCGGCCGGAACGTTGGACGACGCATGGGCACCGAATTCGAGTGACGCCGTGTTGGGGGGTCGGTTGGAGAGGGAACCGTGGGCCTGAGAACAATACTTACGGTTGTGGATTGTTGATCGGCACACGTGTGACCTTGAAATGGTTAGGAACTAGAAGTATGGGTTGGGTTTCCGCCGCCCCCTGTCCAATGGTGACGAGTAGATGATAACGATATTTCGCCATAATATGCGAACCGTTATCAGTCTAGTGTGATTTTTCCCCCCCTCCCACGTTCATTAGCGTCAAGAGCACGGAAATCAGGCCCGCCTCGTCACGAAATATGTTCCCCTCCCCCGTATCTAACACGTGGGGTATTGGTGAACAAGTGCACGAGAATGTGAACATTTATAATTTGACACGTCATGCGGTAGTGCATGCAGGACAATGCCTTTTGGCTACATTAATACGACGTGCAATGTTTTCTCTCCCATGACGGGTCGACGGAACTTTTACGAATCGTTGGAATCCGGCCACACTGAATCGAGTTCGACCCCGTTGCACGTTGTGTACGTGTCGCTTTATGTAGGATTAGTAAGGCGAACCACTAGGTAGCGGGTAAGTCGCATGATCTATATACGTACACTGTACGGCAGCGGGCGTCGACAGTGATTTATGAAGTTCTTTCGATGGGGCCGACGACCGGTGAACACGCGGTGTCCGTCACGTTGTTTTTCACGTATCAATAAAACGAAAGGGAAAAAATGCCAGGGACCTTCTGCGCGATGAAACGTCGTCATAGCCAACCCGTGTCACGTCGTTGCTGGGCGTTACGGTATCGTTAATTCATTCGTTCGAGTTGTTCCGCGTACACGCTTGTATCCCACCGATTCCCGCAACTCTATGGCGACCAACCATCGGATCAGGAATTGATCCACTCACTGAACCGACGTCTTTTCCCGTTCGGTTAAGTCGTTCGCTCGTCGGGATGAACCTACCCGAGTATCTCAACGGTCGGCCACGCGAGTTAACGGTTTCAGACTCACGTGGACCTTCTGTTAAACATGATATAACGGAAAATCGACAAACTCCCCCCTCCCCTTCCTGCCACCAATGGAAGCGACACCGCGAGCGCCCTTGAACCCAGTGACCGCAGAACGATAACTTTTTTAAACTAAGGTACCTATGTATTTGTCGGTTGCAGCTGCGATAGTAGTGCAGTGCGTCGTGCAACGAATTAATATTCAAAATTGATGGTTAGGCTGTTCATTAACCAGTGACGTCCACGTAGGGTACCAAATGGTGTAAATGCACTGATTTCTCGTGGGTCCCGGGGCCTACATACGTTTGAGAGACCCACTCTGGTCTCTGGAGCAAACACTATAAATGCATAACTATTCATATGGACCTTTAGATCGTTGAATAAAATGTAATGAGTTGGCAGTGCCAAATATGCAAACAAATGTAAATATATAATAACTAATATAGATAACTATAATAATGTTGATTGTGTTTGCAGATTGAGTTAGGTCTTAAGAAGCCACCCCAAGATTTATATGCTTTTATGTTGGTATGTTATGGTAACTATACTTTATAGAAATAAATTATGATAAAGTAATAATTTTTTTAAAACAAGTTAACACATATTCAATGCCTTAAATTAAAACACCTATGAAAACTATTATGTATGTTGTAATATTATCTTTAAAATTTTTAATACCTAATCAATAAGTTATTGTATTTGAAAAACTGCCCTGAGCAATACCAACCGGTGAGAATTTTTTTTTTTTGTAAAATTTAAATTTTAACTTCTATTAAAAAAAAATGTTATACAGGAATTTGCAAAATTTTTAAATTTATTTAAGGTAGATATGTATTTGAAAAAAAAATTATTTCAATTAAACGAGTAGGGTCGTATGGATGTAGACCAAAATAAATTTGGGGCCTTGTAATTATAACTGTACTGGTTCATGGAAAACCTGTGGGCTTCACTCCTGCGAACGGATTATTTCTGAAAAAAAAAACAATTAGTTTTAAAAATATGTACAAACGGTTCTATAAATTATTTTTGATACTATTCGTTCTAACAACAACGAAACAAAGTTAATGATGTGAACTTGAAATCTAATAAATTCCATTTTTAATTATTAACAACCGAATTTTTAGCGTTGATTGGTATGAGGAATATGGATCACAATTAAATCAGTGATGTACCGATAGGGTGATCAATGAGTCACGGGCCTATTACTCTAGAGGGCCCATCAAGGAATGTTGAGAATCCAAAAAACGAATCATCGTTATTATAAGATTTAAAAATAACATAATATTTAGAAGAAAAAACTATGTTCTAGTAAAATTAAATTACTTTAAAATTATATTAATTTAATATTTTAAAAAATGACTGATACATGCTTATAAATTATTTTATGTGTAGTGTTTACTCGTCAATGCGCAACGTCTGTGATATTAGTATATAATAATCATTTTGGAGAAAAATTACAAGGAAACACACTCTAAATTTTTATTCTAAACTTCCAACTTTATAGTAAATATTCTCTAGTCTAGGAAACCGTACTGGCGTACACTAAAAAAATAAGAATAAAAATATGTGGACCCGAGGGTAATAAAAAATGACCATATTCGTAATTGTATAATAAATATGTTTTTAATAATTCAATACTTTGAGCCCTGATTTATATGCATTTGCATATTTGTACTAAATCTATGCATATTTATTTATATATTTATTTATGGAGGTTTAAAATGTCCACGATTCATATCACACCGAATTTAAACACCTAATTTGATATTGCATATTTTGCATATTTGTTCATAAATGCATATAACATGCATATTAAATGGGTTTTTAATAAATTAACTATTTTAGTTTACGGTAAATTTTGTAACCATCTCGAATAAAGCACGGATAAACATGATAGATATTAAGTTTCAAAAATATTATTTTAAAAGATTTGTATTTTTTTAAGTTTTCTATTAGTTTTTGAGAGTCGGTAACCTCGAATGATTTAAAATATTTATAAAATCTAAAATATTTCCTTTTAATTTTTTTTTTATTTGTACTCTCTTTTTTAAGTTTTCTAAAAGTTTTAGATTGATTTAAATTATTTAAAATATAAAGCAGAGGATATTATCAATTTTTTTTGTGTTTGATAAAATATTTAGAATTTTATTTGGTATAAAAGTGTAGTTTTTAAAAAAAAAAACACATCTTAAAATTGTAACATAATGCATATAATTGCATATTTAGTCACTTTTTTTTTGCATATTTGACAATTTTTAAATGCATATAAATCCGGACTCTACTTATTAACAAGTTTGGATCTTTGTAAAACCGCTGTATTATTTTGTCACGGGCAATCAAAGTTTGAACTAAGCCACAGGATTGAATAAATGTATTCTAAAATCACATGTTAATTATAAAAACAAAATTATCGCACATCATTTTGATATGTTGTCGATAAATCTTATACTTCATAATTATAGATTTGTTAAGTAAAATTACGATTATATTAATATACCAATATAATAATATAATACAATAATATACCCATAGACAAGCGCACGGAGGTTGCCGGGTGTGCCCGGGCAGCCCCCCCCTAAAAATGTTCTATATATGACATTAAGATTTTAGTCTAGTAAGGATATTTTAATGGTGGATTTATGTTGTCCAACGCCGGACCGGATCTATCAGAAGTTAATATGCTGATAAGTAAAAATTGTTGATTCAGTTTTTAAAAATTGTACAGGACCAAGGTTAGTTTATAAATGATGTTGATACAAGTTTATTAAAAATAAATATACTATGTATATATATTGCATAAATTGTAATATATATATATATATATTGTATTATATTATTTGATCAACAAATAAAATAAGAAAAAATTATGAAAATGTGGTAAAAATATTTTCAGAAAAGTAGTATACGGTTTTAACTCGGTAAAAATGTGTGGTATTTAGAAACATAAACATCAAAAGAACCTGATGAAGAGTACGGTTTTGGAGTCATTTATAAAATAATATAAAATCTCACGAACATCTATAGTCAAACGCAACAGAAACTGATATGAAAAAAAAAATTAATCTGATGGTGGTATGAGGCAGTGGCGTATTTTCACATTTTGTGTATGTGTGTGTGTGTGTGTGTGGGGGGGGGGGTTTCTAAAAAATAAATGATTTTACAATATTAAAAAAAATGCATATAAAGTGTGAGTTAATAATTCTATTATTCTATTATTATTATATATAAATATAAATAAAGAGTTATTTATAACAATATGATATAAATTAATGTTATCTTTCTCTGTACTTTCGTAGAAAATCATTTAAGGACTTTGAACTGTTTTTTCTTCTGGTGTGGTCGAGCCCCCTCCACAAAAATACATAATATTGTTCTTAAAAGAATTAATATTCAGGTTACATCAAATAATTTTTTAAAATATAAAACAATTTTACATAAGAATATATTTCAATATTAAAAAAAACTAAAACAATATTATGGACAATATTAGCAAAAATTAAATACTATAATTAAACAATATAACTATAACTATATAATATAATAGTGTAATTAAAAAAGGTTTAAAGTGTATGTTGTATAATATTTTACTTTTTGGCTTAAAGTAAATTATTTATTGTGTACTAAACTCTTAAAAAGTCATATGAACAATTAAAACACAAGGTAATTATGCTTATTTAATTGAAAAAATAATTATAATATGTAGGTAATGTGAACTTAGTAGTTAAAAAATAATCAATATAATGATAAGTACGAAATGCTTAAAAATATATTTGAATTAAAAAAAAATTATACAGGGTGATTTTTTAACATAAAAATAGACGAATAAGTGTCCCATGTTAAGTAATTTATTTTATGATACTTTAGTGGTGTTTATTGGCAGTAATTTATGTAAGAAAAATTATACTTACTGTAAGATATTTTGTTTTTAAAAACCAAACCTTAAGTTTTTAATATTAGTTTTTACTGCAATATTATTAATATTACCAATACATTTCAATTATATCTTTGAATTTTAGAAAAAATTTAAGAAATTCGTGGACTTGTTGTGTATGTTTATGAAAAATGCTTAGTATTCAGTATATCATGTATAATTTTCATGTTTGGATCAGAAATACATCTCTACCATAAAATTTCGTTCAATGATGACCTAAATTATTGATCAGAGACACCGTTTTGGGTTTAACATAGGCTAGAAAATAATTTTTTTCTACCATCACGAAATTTGTATAATTCAAACCAAATAAATTGAATGCTTGTTATGTACATTGTATGCAAGAAATGTAATTATGATCTTGATTCTTAATACTGTGTTAAAATAAAAAATAAAAAGAGTTACAACAGTAAAAGATATTAAAATCCATCAAAGAAAATAAATGTGTGGTTGAATAATGATAAACAGCAAACAGTTAGTTCTATTACTCAATTACATATGTTATAACAAGAAAAATAATCACTCTACATTCTGCCAAATGGTGTCTCTAACTTGTTGTTAACTATTCGGTCATAAATTGTATACAATTTGTACCAACATCAAAATGTATAGAAAATGTTATTATGTTATTAAAATAATATTATAAAATTATTGATCACAATAAAATAATTAGGGACCTATGTTAAATAAATTACCCTGTATATTATAATAATAATGATTACAAATTGTATTAATAAAAGGGCAGTTAAGACGTAATTATTTTAATATTACTATGTTTTGATTTTTTTTTTTTTTTTTGTGATTTTCGTTTTGGAACAATTGGTGTACTTGGAGGTACAATAATTGACAATTGCGTCAGAGCACTGGCATCTTCTTCAAAACTTAATTTGTCAACAATTTCTTCACATACACTTGATGAACTTTCATCGCTAATATAAACAAAATTAAATGTATTAAATAAAAATTATTTATAAACAATGAAAAAATAATATCTAAAATAATATAAAATATTATGTACCTATAAATATCTATAATAAAGGTTTAATAGATTTATTAAAAGTTTGTAAGAACTGATATTGGTGATATTCAAATACACATGGTTAGTTATATATGGGTAGTCATAAAAACAACTATATCACATATAATTACATAAATTTAAAATGGTTATAGGTTTCCATCGACTTGAATATGTTGTATACACCAGAGTTGGGCAAAATGTTAACTAGATAATAATTCGAATAAATATGTATTCGAATAATTTGCGATCATAATATTATTCAATTTCGAATAATTTTCAAATATAATTATAATTATATCAATATTGAAGAAGGTATCTAGTAAATAGTCCATATTTAGTACTATAGTTTCAAATTATTGATGTAATTGGTACGAATATTATCATCAAATATTATTCATATTACAATATTATAAAATTATTATTTAAAAAAATATATCTAATTATTCATTTCCTGTTATTAATTGATATTTGTTTTTTTATATATTTTTAAATTTTTCTGAATAAAATAAGATTTATATTATGTTACTTAAAATAAAATACCATCTACTGTTTATAAATTATAATATGTGTCTGTTTTAAATTATGAAACCTATATTTACCCAAATAAAATGAACGAAAATTATTCGAATACATTTTTTTTTTAATTTAGTTTAAAATTATGGAGCTCTATGAGAAAATGCTGTTTAAAAAAGGCTATGTAGCTGAAAAGGTTTGGGAATCACTGGCTTATTAGGCAGAGGAAAGTGGAATAAGTTAACTTCCTCAAGGTTTCAATCATTTTTCTTCAAAAATTATTCGATAGAATAACTTGAAATACTATACTGGTATAACATGCTAATATTATTGATATATTGAAAATAACATGAAATTTTATTTCTGAATTTTTAGTATTTAATGAAATATTATTAATTTAAGTAGATGAATAAATTTCATCAACTTGCTCCTCGTCTAGAGTAAATTGTAATTTCAATAGAGAATTTAATTTAATAAAGACTTTAATAGTACACAATATAAAGGTACTTTTATTTATTAAAACTGAAATAAAAATAACTAATATATATATTATATGTATAATAATATTAATCAACATTTTTAATATATTAGTGTATTAAGAAAATATATAATATGTATTTTAAACTTTTAAAAATAAAAATAAAATCTTTATATAAAAATGTATATAAATAATCATACATTAATATTCGTAATAGGTATCGATTTTAAAAATCAATTTATATCATTTAAATTATTTTTTTATTACCAATAGTATTCTGAAAAAAACTATCTACTTTTATGATGATTAATAAAAAAAAAAAATTGAAAATATTCTAGACTACATATAATTTAATATAATAGAATAGATATAGTGCAAAGGGTTATAAAAATTACTATCAAAGTTTTTATTATTTACCTTGAATAATCAGATATGTCTATATTTTTAGGTTGTTCTGCATTAGACCCTTGTTCCATTAATCTACTGCATATCTTCAATTTTAGTTTTTCCTATTAATATTTCATATAATTACCAAGAAAAAAGTAATTTATTTATTATAGAAAAAACAGTTACAAACATTTCGAGGATCATCTTTATAGTAGTCCAGTAGAGTTTTACAAAATGTCTGTCCAATATCTTCGAAGTCCTTAATAGTGAGATGAGTGTTTGCTCGGGAGCCGAGTGACGAACCACAAAAAGAAGCTTCCATAGTGTAACTATTCTCCACTCCCATTAGCCATACGACTACTCGAGCTGTGTTTTCCTTTGAACGTTGTATGTTGAAATTGCAATCTTCGAATGAAAACTGATTTTGATGTGATCAATACAAACACAACATAAAATAACTTGAGTTAATTTTCTGTGTGATGTTAGCATTTAACGTTTACTTTTTCTGGAGCATTTTTATGTAATAAAAGTGGAAATATTTGTTCCTGCAGTTTTCTTCCTTCGTGACCTTTTCCTTCACAACCGTACATAAAAATGTTTGACTTCCTCGAATGAGCATGTAAATCACAAAACATGACCACTTGACGTTCTTCTATTAATCTTATAAAAAAATTTAAATAGATTAATTACATTCATTTATAAACAAATAATTACATATTACTAAGGAAAAAAAAAATAAAGTAAATTTTATATTTTAAGTAGGTATATAAAATCTTTATTGATATTCATAAAATTAATTTATTATGTAGGTAATAATAATAATGAAATTATGATAGATGTATTGTAAATTAAATAGTATAAATTTCATAATTTCAACTAACAATTAATTGCAGGTATATTATTTGTTTTAAAATTAATTGTTATAATTTTTTTTTTTTTTATAAAATAATAATTATCGATCAATATTTGGAAAAAAAATTATGATACTACCTATTAAATAATTTAAAATGTATTTACTTAAATGTCTCGTATAATATAAAACTGGGTACGAACTGTAAATGAGTCACCGTCAAAACCGTGAATCTAAAAAAGCGAATGTCAAAATAGCTAAAAACCATAATAGCGTATGTTCAAAACAGATAAAGTATATTATTTTAAAATAATTTAATATAATAAATAAAAATATATTAGGTATTTAAAAAGTTTATTATTTCAAAAAAAAAAAGATAAAAGATACTATATTATATTTATAATTTATACTTGTACTGATAAATTATAGGCTATGCCTTTCAAATAATTTACAATATTTCTTTCTGTATATTGTTTTTGAATTTATAAAATTCTTAATGCAGTATCTTGATAATTTTTCTTTTTTTTTTTTTTTATTGGATTTTGTTCGCTTATGTATTGCTCTATTTTCATTTCTGTGTTAGTATGTTCTTGTTTAAACCCTTCTATGAGTTTCCAAAGTGTTGGGTAACACGATCCAAGTAAATGATTAAAAACCACGATTCCAACCTATATATAATATGTAAAAATCTATTAAACATACTTAATATATTTTAGATATATTTATTTATAAAAATTAATTACCTTCAACAGAATTATTAGTCTTTGGCATATCTATCAAGTCACAACAATTCCACATTTCCAAAGGAAATGTTGGACCTCTACGTTGTTTGCGTACAGTCTTTCCAAGCCAAGTATCTTCAAAGTAGTCCAATAGTGGTCGAAAAAGTTCTTCGTGTTCTATGTAATATTCACTTTCACATAAGTGATCGAAACTTACTATTACGTCACATACTGATACACAAGCAAGTGCTGGTAACAATCGTATTTGAATATAAAGTTCTGCATCAGTTATATATTTTTCGTGGATTATAGGTATCGATTGTATTTTTTGCTATACACATTGACTTAAGTGAAAGTGGCAACCACGAAAAATTCTATTGGGAAAATTTTTCTTAAATGCCAATATCGCACTTTGTTCGAAGTCAGTCATAATAGTTTTAAGATTTAATGGTATATGCGATTATAGTGTTTTGATTAAATAATAATATGTTGCAGTACTTTTATCAGGTAATAATGCAAAAACTACTGGTATTACAGTAATTTACAGTATTTCAATATGTGAATTGTGTATATTTGTGTGAATATAGAATGAGCACTCTTAAATGTACCGTCGGCAAACCAATATTTAGATTCAGTCATTAACCCTTCACCTGTGTAAAATATTAAAATTCTACTTTTTATAGAACCATTAATTTCGTAATTATCAAACAACAAAAACTTACTTCCATTGTTTGTTTCTTTATACATGTTTGGTATTTCTCCTAAATCTTTCAAAATTAGTGGATTAGGTAGAGAGCGTTGATTACGTTGCCTGAATAATTCTTTTAAGATTTGATACACTTGTGAGATTGCCTAAATTAAACTCGATGAAGCCGTTATTACAATATCACTAATAATCTTAGTTGGATTGTTTTGAGTAGTTAAAGCACTTTTTTTCATTACTTCAGTAAATTTTTTAACTTCGATTTTAGTTGGATTGGGGACATGTACATTTTTGAATGAAGAATCTTTAATAACCAAATCATTTTTAATGTTAATTCCACCACGACATTTTTCAACTTCCGCAAATCTCCAGTATGAAACTTCACCGTTTTCACAATCCTTCCGATACAAAAACCCATCGTATTTTACGAGTGATTTATTTTTTTTGTGAAATTAAATATTCGATATTTTTAAACAACATATGTGAAACTATATAATATACGAAGTATGCAACTGAGAGGTTAAACATACACTGTCGCTGTCAAATATTGTGCTCATATCCAATCCACCTAATCAGTGGCGTAACTGGGAAAAAATTTAGGGGGGACAATATAATATATTTTTACCAAAACCCTGACACCCCTACCCCTCACCAGTTAAAACATATTTTTATTGTATGTATTTTATACAGTATATCTAATTGTTTGATTTTACATAAGTCTTTTAACTCATTTTGTGGTTTAGATTAACATAAATTGTAGGTAGCAGGTACTAGGAACTAATATTGTTAAATAATACCCATAAGAGTTCATTAATTAATGGTGCTATTTGTACTGTTGGATTATCGGGGGGGGGGGGGCAAAATTATACCTTTATCTCTCAAAAAATTGTTAGGAGGCACTTGAACCCCTTGCCCCTCCCCACAATTACGCCACTGCACATAATTTATTATTATATCTGGTCCGACCCGAAAATAATATTGGATAACCCAGCTATAAAACTGATCGTCATTATCTGTATCTTTATAACGTAATACTATTACTATAGATAAATAATTAGAGTAATAATTTTAAAATAATATACTTTAGCTGTTTTGAACATTCACTATTATGGCTTTTATCTATTTTATACTTAGCTATTTTGCCGTCGCTATTTTGACATTCGCTTTTTTGGATTCACGGTTATGACGGGTTACCACTGTAAATAGGAATGAGCTTTGACTTTTGGAGACGAAAAATAAAAACGATTTTAAAAAACGATGTTGATGAATTTACTTTTCGAAATTGATGTAGAAAAAATGTAAACTGGTAAGAGAGTTTAATTTTTAATAATTTGTCGAGAAAGTGGAGAGGGACTGGAGAGGTAAAAAAAATAACTATTGGAACCTAAACTCATCTCACATCTATTTCGTATATATATATATTCTTTTTTTTAATTTGTTTATTCTAAATTTAATTAGACTTAAATTGGTCTATAGAATATTATTAAAATTATACCTGCGGAGCATTAGTTTTGTATGCCAAATAACAGGATGAGCATCTCGAATTACACTACGATATTGTCGATTTAAGTCTCGTCCATTCAATGAACATCTACTATTACCAACAATCACACCATCAGGGTTTAACATCGGTATTAATTTGAAAATAAAACGATTCCGTAATTCCTAAAGCATAATAATATTTAAATTTGTTTTGAACAAATAAAATAAACAGGGAGAACTTGTAATTAAATTAGTGAAAAGATAGAAATAAATAGAAAGAGATTAGTTATTCCATTTGTTAAATCTAGAAAAAGCACTACCTTTAATATTTCTATAAAAAATAATCACCATAGCTTGTAACGAATCGCCAGTTAAAAAATCAATAAATCCTTTCATCATCCAAGAAGACGGAGTTTCTGATGGATGAACACGTGCTGTTAAGACTATAACTTTTTTTTGCTATACAAATGTTATACAATATTATATGAAAATAATAATAAAAATAGTAATTAAAATTACTTTTGGATCTTCTTCTTGGCAAGGTTCTGTAACTGTTAAATAATGAACATTATTACCAGCTAATGTCCGACATAAAACTCTGAGCTTTGTAAACACTGCTTTAACAGGATCATCCTATAAAACGAACGTACATTTTTGTTTAAATTTAATTCACTAAGTAATTATAATCGGTTCTTATAATGTATTTATTTTTTATTCGATACCTTGAGCTTTATTAGATAGTCTTGTAAATTCGTGTACGTGTACGGATAATTATAAGCTAAATATACAGTGTCCATATCGTGCGGAAATTCTAAAAGAAACGACAATATATAACGTGGGTTATCTTCGCTGTCACCGTTTCTGAAAAAATACATGTTTAAAAAAGCTTAAAATTTTTTATATATTAAAAAAAAACAAAGCAAAAAGTAATTACGGAGCGTCGTTTCGGTAGTACGCAATATTTTCTCCGCAACGTCTCCAGCTCACACATTTTTCATTGTTTTCTTTTATCGAATACAATAGTGGTTTCATTCCAGCAGTAAAAAGGCTCTCAGACTTGTACATATTGACAATCGAAAATCTGAAAAAATGAATTAGCCGAATTTATTTTTTACCTTTACCTTCCCCGAATAATTAATATTATTTTAATAGTATTGACCAATGATATATTTTCAATTATCGATATTGTATGCCAATAGGTATGCCATAACACAAAACATTTCAAATTGTTTTCAAACAGTATCATTAAACAGAAACTTCGACAATTGAAATCTAGGATAAAATGCAAATGATTTTCCCAATACTAATCCCATAATTAATTAATAAATATTTAAAACACTTATAAGTGTTTTAATTATACCTAGTTAAGAAACGTAAGTCTTATTTGCTAATTTTAACGTAATAAATTAGTCTTTAATTAGCCTCCTTGTGCTATTGATGCGATTGTAATTTTTTTCCATCTAATTTGTCAGTAAAAATTTTAATTTCTTACAGTAGTTTCGGTGAAATTTCCATATTTTAAACTAGCAAGTAACTATAAATCAATTATCAACATTTTTGTTTTTACATATTATATAATTAAATTAAATTTTATATTTTAAAACACTATTAACCGCTATTGTTTTAGCATTACTATAGTTTATAACCATTTGTCCACTATATTATTCCGAGTGACGATATCAGGCACGTAAGCACTTTTTTTTTTTTTTGTATGGCTCGACCCTCGTACAGAATAAACATTTTTCTCTTTTTACCAATCCTTCGATACTTAGATACAAGAATTTTTTTTTTAGATTTTTATCGTCTATCTTCAAATGGTTTTTACTTTAAAATCATTTCAAATTTAGGTTTATTAACAGTAATATTTCATACGTAGCAAATGCAGAATTAAAAAAACCTTCCTATGTGCAGTAACAAATTCATAAAAAAAATTTTTCTTACCTATATTTGATGTTTTTTTTTGTATTTTCTATTCTGAAATAGAACCATTGCGTATGCCGATTAGTATACATGTCTGATCTCAACGATAGTTCATAATATGTGCTAGTAATTTTGACCACTTTAGCAAGATTACCAGATTCAAAACGGGATTCAAAAATCAAATCTGACGGGTCTTGGCTATAATGTGCTTCAGAACACGCACTACCACCAACAGCTGATCGACAAAACTGCGAAAAAATAATTAATTAAATCGAGCTTGTACCGAAAAAATATAATTTTATAATATAAATGTGAACACACATAATTTACACTGCTGACAGGATAGTATTTAAAGATTACTTCTCCTGAATCTTCGCCTACTTGTTTTGGCTGTATTTCTTTACCCGTAAACTTATATAGGGGCTCTTTTTCTGAATAAGATGTAGACGTTGGATAAATATGAGTAACTGGATCGTCTAAAACCTAAAACAATTCTTTCAGATAAGTTTTAATAAATTAAATAAGGAATTAAATAATCGGACGCCCAGATACCCGTTTCGACCAAAGCCATTTTAGTCGTTTTAAAATTAAGTTAGCAATGGTTTTTAAATAATATAATACATATACTATTATTAATTTTTATTACTATTATTATTTTAACTGTTTTTAAAAAAATTCATAAGAAAAGTTTTTATAAAATACATATTTAAATTTAATTATACATTATAATAGTTATAGTACAAAAAAAGCATTAAACAATTTACAATTTACACTATATTATTTTTTACTAAAATTCATTAAAAGGCATAAAAAAATAAATTTACAAAAATTATCATTTTTTAAAATGTCTACACATGCTTTTTATAAACTCATACCTCGTAATTTCGTCAGATCTATATAAAAGTAAACGTTTTTCATTATATTCTTGCCTTTCCTTCGTTTTTTTTATCTTTAATTATTTTAGGAATTTCAATACTATTAATTTTGATATAAGTTTCTGTCTGGATGTCATTACGTATATTTAACCAGCTTATTATTGATAGAGAATTTGAATAAAAATCATTATTGAAATACGAATGAAATGATTCACATGCATTTGTTGTGAGCTGTATACTCGCGGAATTGCATGTCCATAATGTTGGACTAAAAACACTGTTTTCTACTAAATATTCGCAATACTTAAATCATTTTTCGTCAGTTGGATATTCAGACATTAAATCTTGAGTAAAGCAATCGGATACTTCAGTGAGTACTAAAAATATTAAGCCAAAAGTATGTTGAATCTAATTACCAATACTTGTATTATTTTGGTATTCAGTTGCTAGATCATATTTTTGAACCTTCCTATACCAAGCTTGCGTAAGTTGAAAACGACAACCAACTATTTGTGAGAAAGGCCAAACTTTATTGACTGCTTAATGAATTGCTCTTTCAAAGTCAATAGTAACAAATTTTGGTATAAAAACTAAGACTAATCCTTTGCATTTATTTACTATTGATTTAAAAGTATACACATATGTATCGTATTTTTTAACCGGAAGTAAAATAAATATTATTGGTATATAATGACCATTTTTAATACCATGTGTACAAAACATTTGCTCAAAGAATTTGGTACAAAATTGGAACGTTCCGTCCATATAAATTGTTTCCACAATATTACATAAAAATGTAAGGTTAGTTTTACAAGAAAAAATGATTATATTTTTTATTTCATCATTTACCAACACAAATGGTTTATTTTTTGTAGTAAAAGTGGTTTCTGGTGTATTTAGAGCCATACGTGCTTCCGTTATAGAAGTTGGAATAAGAGGAAGAACTTAACGACTACTTCTTTAAATTGATTTTCTTATTACATTAAAATCATTTGAAGTTAAACCATTTGTAAGTAGATTGTTTTCCGATAACTCTTTTAAAATGATTTGTTTTGACTGTATGTAAAAATGTTCAGTAGCTTTTCTTTTACATTATTTTTGTATCACTACACGGATTATGATTATGTCGAAGCTGGTCAGTGTTTAAAATATCTTCTACATTCACCACTTTAGAAAAGGACGTGTATAATGAAGCTGAACACGTACGTTTCACGCAACGCCAACGACTTTCATCAGTATTTACATTTTTTGAAGCAAAATTGTATTTATATTTATTAAAAGTCACCATGTCTTTATCTCGCTTACTTTTTATAAACATAGCCATCGTTAAATATTAATTTAAACAAATATTTTAAACTAAAACTGTCCATAACTCGAAACTCGATAACTAACGACTTTTAACTTATACGTCATGTAGCCATGTAGGTAACTGTTATATTAATGTGGAAACTCCTTCAGTCGACTAACATGTCATTAATTTGATGTTATCGGAAGATGGTATGTAATCTAAAATAAGAGTCTACAAGTATAGTATAATAAAATCATAGACCTTATACTAATAAACAGAGTAAGGCTATAGTTCGAGTGGTCTTGTAAAGTTGCGCTGCTTAACAGAGCCTGGTGAACTACACACATGCGCAGTAGAATTTCAGAATAATCATATCAGTATCATCCAAAACATTAATTGCAATAATGTATAATTAAATATGTATTTTATAAAAACTTTTTCTATGACTTTTTTTTAAAAATAGTTAAAATAATAATAATAAAAAAAATTAATAATAGTATATGTATTATATTATTTAAAAACCATTGCTAACTTAATTTGAAAACGACTAAAATGGATTTGGTCAAAACGGATATCTGGGCAAAACAGCAAAGGTTCATTTTGGGCATAACGGGCTGCGCCCAAATATTCAGTTTCATACAAAAAAAATTATATCAAGTTTTTGATTTTATAGTATACATATGATCTAAAATTGATTGTACCCAAATAAATAATAAAAATTATGTTAATATAAAGCTATTTATTAATTAATATGAAAGTATTATAGAAGTATTAATTAAAATTATTCTAATTTTAAAAAGGTTTTAAAATGTGTAACTTAAATTAAATAAATGTAACCTTTTAAAATATAATAATATATGTAGTTCATACTTGGCACTCCATTGGCCATCTAGCTGCTTGATAAGGGCAATCTACTTCTTTCATCAACGGAAAAACTTCTTTAACGTCTCGTAACTTGGAATCTATCTGCGAAGTGTCACTATCTGCGTTTACATTATCAACTTGATCATTCCTTAGTGTACGATTCAATAAATTATTTAAGAATGTCCCTATAAAAATTATAATAATCATAGAAATGAAATAAAATACTAATAATAGAAATAATTTAAATGTTTCACGTTTTTTGCTTACATTTAATTAAATGATAATCAATTAGGTTCTTTGTTTTTAAAATAATAACTAAATAAGATACTTAGGAATATTTTTTTGATAGCCATTAGAAAAAAAATGTCTATTTATAATTAAATAAAATTGTTAAATTTGTTTTAAATTTCTGGACAGAATAAATTAAATTAAATGTTAAGTTAAATGTACAATAAACGAGTATATACCTTGTATATATCAGGTAGGTACTAATGGAATATATAAACAGATATATTAAAAATAAGTAAAAAGTAATCTGCCAATCTCGTTTAAAATGGTTAATCAATTATAAACAGAATAATAATTTATAACCAATTGTAAAAATAACCTGTAGGAAACTAATTTTGAAGCAATATTATAATTATTTATCACATTATATAAAAATAATAATTAAAAACTAGGTACTCGTAATTATTAATATTAGTATTATTTAATGTACCATAATAAGAAACCCGAACGAATTACTACTACCAGCTCGCTATTATATAGCACTAATATTCTATAATAAAGTGGATAAAACTTAATTCGTAAATTGATTCCGTTTTTAGTATAAAATATGAATATTAAAACAATGGCATTTTGGCATGTAACGACCCATTAATCAAAATCGCTAAAGTTTTATGATAATAGTTTTACCTATTAAATTTATTGAGTTTGAGAATATTTTATACAATAGTTTATCGTGTGATGTCACGAACTTATAAGACAAATTCTATACACAGGCATAATAATGTATTATAATTTTTATTTTTGTTAACTTACAACAAATTATTAATAAATGGTTTGAAGTACAATGAGGTGTTATAAATGTATAATACATTAAGTCATTGCAAAATAACAATAATATATTATATAAATATACCTACATAGATATTATGCATTTTTTTTCGACACTACTTACAAAAATGATGAACATTTATCTAAAAATCACCAAGGATATCGCATAATCATAAGTAGGTATTAATAATTTGTTATGTTTATTAAAATTATTCGCAACGGTATAAGTACAAACGATATCCTCCCATTTTTTTTTTTTTTTTTTTATATACATCAGAAAATATCTAAAATAATAATTAAGCACCAATGTGAAGAATATAAAAACAAAGAAATAAAAAAATAAATAATATACGACATAAAATAGATGTTTAATATAAGTGTTTATGAGACAATACAACAACGCTTAAAAAGAACAAACACGTGTGAAATGTTTTTAATAACATGACGAATATAATAAAACATTGTACCTTTTGTACAAATAGGGAAAAGCGATGCTTGCAAGTCTCTGACCTGTGCCATGTTAACGTCTGCATTGGCCTCTTCCATGATTTAAACTCATGCCACACCGCGTTCTCGCTAACATTCGTCTGGTTACTACGGTGACACCAGCAGACTTTTGCCAATCAATATATTATTATGCCCCTTTTGGTTACAATTTATACGTACCAAGACAAAACTATAATCATAACACCTTGCACAAACTACATGTGTATATAAAACACACACACACTTGGGTCTCAATTTGGAAAAAATAAATCGCTGCATATAACATCAAAATCCTATCAGATGTTTAAAGAGAAATATGTTTTAAATTTCTTACGTTAACTTACAGAATTGCTTACATTTTCCCCAGCCATCAACCTATAATAGTTATCTAACAATCGTTTATCTATATTATAAATACCATGTTATGCAATACACAATATTTAAAATTTTTTTTTATTTATCAGTACTATTAGTATTTAGTAATAGTACCGTATATATCATTTAATAATAAGATAATAATGTAATAATAAAATGCATAATCAACTTTATAAATCACTAACATTAGATTAATATATTTTATTAAATTCAAACTAATAATTCTTAAGAATTATACCTAATACGTTAATTCTACAATTTTATTGAGAACACTTTTATATTGTTTTGGAGTGTTTGAGAAACAAATAAATAAGGAATCAAGTTCAAGTCATCTAGTAATATTCCGGTTACATGGCAAAACTCGAAAATACGATCAAAAACTAATAATTAAAAAAATTTAATTTGTGAAGTAATAGTAAAAATGATTTCATAAAAAGTGTACATTTTCATTATAATATTTTATTTTATTTTTGTCTAAAATTTTAATCATATAAATCAGTATTAATTAATCAACAAACTTAAATTATCTTTGTACAAATATTCGAATATTGAATAATAATTTTATAATTTATATTATATAACTTATATTTTTACATAATTCTAAATGAGCGAGTCCGTTTTCAACCAAAATCATATCCTTTCCTTTTCGACCAAAACAAAAATGTATATAATAAATTTAAAATAATAAAATAATGATATACAATGTTTGAATATGATGGAAACTATTATAAAATATTAATGATTCAGGGCTTTACTCACGTAGCGAGGTTTTAGGTTCACATACAGAGCATAATTCCATTTGCTACAGTATCAAGGTTTGTATAAAAACTAGGTTATGCTTATACTATAATTTCCTTTGGAGCGAAGCCCGATCCCCCCCCCCCCCGAAAAGTGACAAGCAGTGGCACTCGTGTTTGTGAGTGGAGTCGTCGACTGCATCCGAATTGGTTCCTGAGATTTTATGCATTCTATTTTTGTAAAATACCTTCGATAATGGATTATGCCTATGAATTCTCCCAATAATTCAGTTTATCTAATAATTTCTCCAATCATAAATATATTTATAAAAATAAAATACGAAAAACATTATGTGTAGATAATTAAAAATGGTTTTTGGTCTATCCTTGTTATCACCTGAAGAAATTAATGATTGCTACACTGATGATTTGATGACAATAAAATCTATTAATGAAAAAATTGACGAATTCTTTGATTATATATTACAACATTATATTCAAGAAGATTGTACATTCCCGCCAACGATGTGGGCCGAATTTACGAGTAATTTAGAACGAACGACTAATTGTTGTAAATCATTCCACAGCAAGTTTAACAGAAATTTTTATTCCACAAAAACAAACATCTTTCAATTTATTGACGTTTTGAAATAAATTCAAATTGAATTTTGTGTAAAACTTCGAAGTACCGAAAAAGTTCAGGGCATAAAATCAATTCAAAAACAAGCACACATCAAAACTAAGATGGAAAAATTAAAAAGAAATGAAGTACCTAACCAGAATTCAATATTTAACTAATATTTGCTATAAATTTTTACCTCAATAATAATAAATAAATAATAAAAAAAATAAAAATAAAGTCAAAATTATATAATTCAATAAACATGTATAATCAAAACATTAAAAAAATATAACTTAACTTCTTTTTGTGTTATAAACAAGCATACCTACATCAAAAGAAGCATAAACAAAGTTCAAAAAAATTAAACTATCATAATACTAGAAAAAACAATTTTTAACCATACTTACTAAAAGTAGACAATCCTAAGTCTGTATGAAATGGGAAGGAAAACTGAAATTACTCCGTAAAAAATTGGGAATTAATTCAGATTTAGCGGAGTAGTCAGGCGTAACAAGCGAAGTCCTAAAATTAAAGTTCCGATTTTTCGAGAAAAAAATGCAAACAATTTTCATTACGATAAGAGATCAAAACTAGATACAAAATATCGTTCTCTTTTATATTACTATTTTAATAATTATTAACAAAAATTGTACATAATTATTTTGTTATTTTAAATTTATTATATACATTTTTGTTTTGGTCGAAAAGGGAACCGACCTATTTTAAATTTGGTGGAAAAATGAATTGACCGAAAAGGGAAGGGTATGTTTTGGGTCGAAAACGGCCATGCCTTTCTAAATAAGTTAATATACACATATATAATCTTATTATATAGGTACTATCTATCAAAGTTTTAGTAAAGATAAATCACAGTAATTTACTGCACGAATTTAAAATATTTCTCTAATAAAATCAGAAGTCAATTCATGTAGTTAAAACATTTTAAATATTCTTTACTAAATATTTTTATGTATAAAAGACATGCACTTATGAATTATTGCAATATTATTTGTTACATTACACAAAGTATAAATCTATCTTACAGTTATTATATTACATAACCAGTGGCATATTTAGAAATGTCTAATGGAAAGGGGGGGCACAAACTAAAACTTCAAATTATACTTATTATAACTCATACTTACCATTTCAAAATAATGTCATAATTAATGACCAAATAACACAAATATATGCGTTTATTAGGAATATAATATTTAATCAAATAATTAGGTGATAAACAAATTTTTAAATTAATTTTAAATAGTAATAATAACTGAATTTGTCTGGGGTATTTATTAACATACATATCAACTACTTCTTCAGATTCAATTGTTACTTGTAGATGAATATTAAATAATGGCCATCTGTTTAGTCGATTTTCTCCCGTGGAGGATCTTAAGTATGTTTTGATCCTTTATAGTGAAGAAAATGATCTTTCAGATGGTTAAAAATAGTTTTAAAAGTAATTTAGGTAAAAATCCATGAGAAATAAAAATATTGTTTTCAATACAGTGCATGGAAGTTCATCAAATGGTTTTTCTTTCTATATTATATTCCAATTTTTCATTTCTCCTTCTAATTCCATTTACTTGATAAGTCAAAAATAAAAATAATACTGCATCTAAAATATTCAAACTCTTTATATTATTACAATACTTAAACATGAAGCCTTTCAAATTCAATATTTTACTATTTTTTGTTTCAAATATGTATTTAATTTCAGATAACAATGAATATAGGTATGGATAATAAACAGAAATAATGACTCTCAGGTGAAATATTTAAGCAGTTATGCTGTTTGCTATTCAAGGTATATTGACTTCAATGTTAAATTTATTAGCAAAATCTTCAATTTTTTTAAAAATATCCTTAAAACTATTTTCATTACGGAGATTTGTCAAAACAGTTAGGGTAGATCAAGTGTGGTGAACCTTTTTTGATTCAGGTGCCAAATTTTCCCAATTAAGGATTTGAAAATCGTTCACGTGCCCAAAGAAAATTATATTTTCTAAGAATGAAAATAAAATTACAGATTTATTACATTATTTTTATTAAATATTAATCAATCTTAGTAAAACACAAGCATCAATCGTTTCATTGATCAAAGAATGTATTTCCTTCGATTTAATTAAATTTGTTATGGCTTTCACAAACATAAGTTGACGAAAAATATGTAAGCATAAGGAATATTGTCATTTTTAAAATACATTAAATATAAATAAATAATAAAAATAATATACAAAAATATATAATTTGTTTCTTTGAATTTTTTATAACCAAAATTTTGTAAATAGTATAATTTTTTTTTTTTTTGTACAATTTTTAATAATTTCAATTTTTTGCTCGTGCCATTAAAATTTGGTCAACGTGCCACCTTTGGCATGCGTACCATAGGTTCGCCACCCCTGGGGTAGATTGTTAAAATTGAGCAACAGATATATAAAAAGTTGGAGACTGAAATTTCCTTAATAAAGGTAGTGCACAATTATGGCACTTATTATAATTTGTAATGTCAATAAAAAATCAAATATTAATATTGAGTTGTATAAACCATTGATTTTCGCCAAAACTTGTCCATTTGAGCTTTAAATCATATATTATAAACAGGGCTCGGGAATTAAAGCATTTGCTTATTTTTATGGATTGACTTAAAATGTAGCAGAATACTATAGAAGTGTATGGCAAGTTACATTATTATACGTACATTTATGAATTAATTTGAAAGTGCTTTTTTCTTGCTATTTTCAGTAATTTTTTAAAAAAATGCTTATTTTCACTTTTTTTGATTATTTTTGCTCATTTGACAAGTTTTTTTATGTTTTTATATTTTTCTTCTGCTAAGTCGTTATTGATAGAATTAAAATTAAAAATAATTCTTATCTTATCTACGTTGTCACGTAGTTCGTCGCCATCTGCGGCATCGTTGTAGGGTTAACAAAGATATTCCGACGCTGAAAATAGAATGATCAAGAACCTAGAGAACAATTCACATTTTATTTTTCAGAAAAATCCCTTAGAAAATCCATAAAATCTTTTAAGTCTTGAAAGTGATTATTTATTAAGATTTTTTATTTAGAATTTAAGTTTTTTTTTTTTTTTAATAAATATTTTTGCTTAATTTAAAATGTTTGAAATGTTTATTTTACTGCTTATAATGATGTTGTTAAACGCTTATTTCAATAATACTACAAGTCCCAAGTCCTGGTTACAAGGCCGTATCTGGGGGTTCAGAGTGTCTGGACCCCCCCCCCCCGAAATTTCTTCAATATTTTACGAATGTTTAAAACACTTATTTATTTTTAATACCAACATAAATATTTTCAGTCAAAAATGACTTAAGCTCCAATTAATCATTGACTGCTTTTAATTTTATAACATAATATCTTATGAAAATATGATATTAATTTTAATAAAAGAAGAATAAATCTTTTTCTGTCTTATTTTTAACTAAATATCAAAAGTTAAAATCTAAATTAAATAAAATTACAATATACATGTTTTGAACTCCTACTAAAAAATATTTCTGGATATGGCCTTGCCGTATATAAAATATGATAGGAAGCATTTGATTAAATTTTATAAAAGTGTTGTAGTGTTTGACCCACCTACTTGTATATCATTTTGATAATATATCTGAATTAAGATTCGGACAGTATTTTTAAATTTTATTTTTGGAGAATCTCTCATGAAATTTGTAACTTCTTTAACAACTTCAATTGTATTTTACATTAGTTGTATTGAACATGACTTAATTAAAACTAAATTTAAACAGTAGCTATAGCAATGTGCATATGTAGCTAGAGGTTGATGTTTTAAAATATAACCTTGTGTGTATTTAAATTTGCCAGACACGTTGGCAGCTCTATCATATCCACGTCCTCTTAAATAAACTTAATCCTAACTGTTCTAATAATTCAATTATAGTTTTTTTTAATGTTTTTCCATTTAAATCAATGACTAAGAAATAAGCCTAACATGCCCGTATGCATAGTCCTGTGGTTATGTGTCATATATAATGGCTTAAGTGACCCATAGCTAAGTGGCTCATAACAATTTTTATGTATGACATAAATTGTGTCTTGCATAAACAATATTTATGTATTCCATAGCTATGTAAAAGTTTATGTAATGATAACCATTGTTATTAGGGATTTAGTTACTTAAAACGACTAGCAATCTGATGGGAGATTCTTTTAATAATTATAGATACAGTGCTCTGGTTAATGCCTCTCAAGTCTCCACAGACAGTCTATAAATTAAAAGAAACATGTCTTAAATAATTTTTACAAATTAAAATTAGGTAGGTATTTTACTTGAAAGTTTGCTGTTGCATAAAATTGTAATTTTATCAATAACTGTAGAATGAGAAGTACAGGTAATCCTTGATTATTGACTTGAATACCTAATAAATCTACTAACTGATCAATGACAATCAGTTTTGGAAAACGATAAAGTTTCAAAAATGTATTGTCATTGAATTTTTCAAACAGATCTTCCATATTACAATTATACTTTCTTGGAATTTGTTCAACATCAAATTCGTTGAAATATTCATTAACCATTTCTACATAATTAACAAAGATATAAAAATCATCAGTGCTACTATATTTTACTAATTCGATTCTTTAAAAATTTATATTTAGAGCACAAAAAGTTATTAATAACACGTAAAAAATAACAAATATATGTATCACTTAAGACTTAGTTGGTGGAATTCGATTGCACAACTTTATGTTTTTATTAATAACCTATGTAACACATAAATATTACTGTGCAAGAGAAAATTGTAAAAGAAGTATTAAGTGTCACATAAATTAGTAGTATATGAGTATGCATATGGGCAACAATCTTTAGCTTAATGGCTGAGCCATGGACATGTATTCAATCCATTTCTATGGAGTTTTCTATTTTTATTTCCCTGAACAAATATTGAAAATTAAAAATTTTCCGATGGAACCCAAGGTTTTTTTTGTTAAATTATATCCATCACCATTAGATAGTATAAGAAATTTGTCTATAAAATATCCTATATTTAGTGAATAAAAATGATTATCATTGACTGAATATTGATCTATAGTTTTTTAATCCAATTTTATAATAAATTAATAATTTATATTAAATGTAATGTTTAAAATTAATTCTACTATCAAAAACCAAAATGTAAATAGAAAGTACTAAGTAGTAACTATTGAGAAGCAGTAAGTAATAAACTAACAATAAATACCTAAATTTTTCATTTCCAATAAAACAAATTAAAAAAAAGACTTACTTGTTAGATAATTTTTTTCACAAGTACCCAGATGTTTTTTTAAGTATAAAACTATTGACTATAATATATAGTAGTATTTGATTAAAAGCAATGCCGTGTTAAGTTGTAATATAGCTGGGGGCACACATATTTTGTTGCCCGTCGTAGATACGAATGTATGATATTAGGGAAAACTATAAACTATTTATGGTTAATAGGGTTGTGATACATATTATTATTGATATTTAGAATTTACTACAACTGTATGAATGTGTGTTAATATTGTAATCATTCAAATAAGAAATAAGTAAACAAGGTTTAATATAATTAAAAATATTTTCCTTACAATACTTAAATCTTTTTTAACATTAAATGTTATAATATATCCAATAACTGATGGAAAAATTGATTCATTACGAAAAACTAAAAAAAAATCTTTGAAAAACTAGTGTAAGAATGCTGCCTATGAAATATTTTCAAATTTTGACACTAGGGGAAAATGCCCTCTTTGCCCCTCGTTAAACATGCCTCTGATTAAAAGGTATCTATTATACCTACTATAAATATTCTAACTATTAAGTAGGTAACAAAAATTAAATATAAACTTATTATGAAACCTAAAACCATATAACAAAATCACAAAAGCAACTATAAACATTTATTTCACTAAAAAATTTAAAAATACACAAACCAAACCAATACAATTATTAGAGAACTTACTTTCTTTAACATTAGTTTTCTCTTGAATATCATCAGTAACAGATTCTGTATCTTCTTTTTGAATTACATTTGTAATAAAAATACTTGAATCAGTTGAATCTACAAAATAATGTATATAAATAAAATTTACAAATATTATTATGTGAATAAATTATTAAATTATCATTATCATTTTAATAGTGAATAGGTACTCTTCGATTATTTACCGGTATTTGACTTTGATTTTTTTGAAAAAAATTTATTTATCTTTTGTCCTCCCCTTTTATTTGACGACAATGGTTTTGAACTCATTATAAGAAAGTAATAAATATAAAAAAATAAAAATTAGCTCAATAAATTACATAATATAAAAATTATCGACTTAAAGAATGGCCGTTACTATCACTATAGTACTACGATAACATTAACCGTATAACAATGAAGAATTGTTCGTAACGTTTCATAAATGAAACGAAAATACTATTATTTAATAACTTTGCAACTACGATTTCTCGTTCATAAACAAATATTTTAATTCGGTGATATAATACTATCACATCATGGTTCATGGTATGGTACCGTTAGGCATACACAAGAAAGGTTAATAGTTAGACAAGATAGTAAAATAGTATAAATAAGGTGAATGGGGAGGCATGGCCGCTAAATTGTAAAGTGTTACATTGGTCTTAAACATGCCCTCTTCCGCTACATTCATACAGCTACAACAGCCCACTATTACAAAATATGCTGATCAATTATTTTAGTTTATAATACCCATAAATTAGGTAACCATACGTCCCGTTTTGAACGGGCGGTTCCGTTTTTCTTATTCTTTGTTCTGTTGTCCCCTGGGGAATCTTCGGGACACTAAAATATCCGTTTTCAAAAAGTTGTAACAAATAAAGATGGTCAATTTTAATTTGTTGATAAATTATTGATATCGACACTAATATAATAAAAAAATAACTATTGCGGCCAACGATGTATTATTATTAAATCGGATCGATCTAATGTATTATTATATATAAACAACGCAAACTACAAACACAATCACATTATAATAGTTATCTAAATTAGTTATTATATATTTATATTTGTTTGCATATTTGGCACTGCCAACTCGTTACGTTTTATTCAACGATCTAAAGATTCAGATGAATAGTTATACATTTATAGTGTTTGGCCTTCAAATGTATGTAGGATCCGGAATTCACGAGATATCAGTACTATAGCACTACTTAGAACCCTACGTGGGCACCACTGCATAGACCTGTACTATTAGTACTTTATTAGTACTGTACTATGAGTACTATCAGTATATGTACTGAGTATAAGGTCTATGATAATATTAAAACGATAATAATAATATTATTATTATTATTATTATTATTGTAGTGACCTAACCTCCACGTTATTATTCTGTAATCTGTATTTCCTGATATTATTATTTTTATTATCTTATTATTATCTGACTTTGGAATATTCCTATTAATAAAATAGAAAATCTTAAACCGAAAGTGTTTTCTAAAAATTGTATAAATATAAAACTTTTTTGTCGTCTTGTGTTTCTGTTTTAAACTGTGTAAGATAATTAATTATTTATTTATTATTTTTTAGAATTTTATAATTATATAGTCCACTACCATTTTTTATTTTTATTTTTTTACATTTTATTTTTATGTAAAATTATATAAAATGTATATTTGTATAATAAATAACTAAAGCCTATATGATATTATTTTATTTTTACATTAGTTTGTTTAGTTTGTGATTTAATTAAAGGTATGCATTTTATCTCTTAAATATCCTTGAAAGAACTAAAGTTTATTCACCAGACCAACTATTTTTCTTCATAATAGAATGCATTTTATGAAATTAAGATTTTAGATGTTGCTGTAAATCATCCTCCTCAGTAATTAAAATAAAGATTCTTTATTTGCCTTAAACAAATGAAATCATTAGAATACCAATTTAAACAACTCAATTTTTATGGTTTTTAATAAAGAAAATAATACTAAATACACTGTTGATATTAGCTCTGAAATCTGTTCTTGTCCCCAAATACTGGAAAACTATGTTGACATCAAATTTTGATCTCGAAAAATTTGAAAATGTATCATTATTTGTACTTGCCTACTAAAGAAAAAACAAGGAAAGGTTTTATTTTATAGTGACAGCGAATTCTGAAGTGCAAAATGGATGATATGGTCCAGTTAATATTGAAAACAATAATGAAATTAGTTACATTCAGTGCTGTAAAGTATTTGAGTAAAAGTATTTGAATAAAAGTTGGTAGGTATTCACTTTTTAACAGCTTTCGACTATTTCTCTGCAAAACATTAGTTTATCATGGCCTAATTACTCCAAATATTTTTTTACAAAAGTATTTGAAAAGTATTCCAAAAACTTTTTTAAAGTATTTGAGTAATATCTTAAATACTTAAAAAAAAAAGGTATTTGAGTATTTACTTAAATACTTTTTAAAGTATTCTTTGCAGCTCTGATTATATTACAATATGTTTCAATACCACAAATTCTAAACCCAACACATCCTTTATAAAAAGATAATCTAATAATATTGAAGATGAAAAAAACAAAAATTCAATTTATGATTATTTTGATAAATTTAATTAATCAATAACAAAAATGAAGACTAGAAATGTCAGATAAAAACATTTTTTACTTGAAATTAAATTCATGAATAAAAACATCAATACCCATGCTCCATTATTATTATCAATGACGTTTGGTAAATATAGCGGTCTTAATCTCTAGCTCTCAAAATAAAATAGAAAATCAGAACATACCATCGTCAAATCAATTTCTTAAAACATAAAGAAAATCATTAGGTTAGATTCATTAGATCCATCAAAGTGACCACTGAAAGTGCCAAAAATACCTCATCTACTTTCTTATTTTTATAGTATTTTGTTACTATTTATTTTATTAAATTTTTTATTTTTTATACTTTTAACTGACTAATTATTTTTTTTGATGTTTGTGAGTAATTCATCAATTTTTGTTAAAATTAGTTGAATTTTTTATATTAAACACAAGGCCGAATTAAGCACCTATTGGGCCCCAGTGCTGAAATTTTATACGAGCTCTTTTGATAAAACATGCTTTACAAAGCCGCTCGCAGAAAGATACATATTTTTAACTATTTCACAAATTTTCATTTGCATTATAAAATTATAAAATTAATCGGTATATAAAATTTATCTATAAAACTATTAATTTTAGTGTGATAAAAAATGTGTATCGGCTTAAAATTGTTTGGGCCCCGGGGCTATTACACCGGCTAGACCCCCTTAATTCAGTCTTTATTAAACATATTATAATCTACAACTATAAAACTAATATAAATATAATGTAAATACTGAAATTAAAATATGAATTAAGATTACATTATAATATTAATTAAATTAATTAATTAACTTAACCGTATATCCGTATTATTTGTGGTATTAAAACTTAAAATCAATTATCAGTTTCTTTTATTCGCAGTGGGCTGTACAGTTGTATGAACGTAGTGGAGGGCGACATATTTAGGAGCCATTGTCACACTTTTTATAATTTCGGGAACGGACCTCTCGTGCCCTCCCCCCCTAATTACCTCACTATACATAACTGCAAAGTAAAGTACAAATACGTTAATATATACGTAATAGAGCAATAGTATAATTATCGATTAAAAAATCGTCGATGTTAATTGTTTTTAACGACATAATTATTAATACATTACAAATCGACTTCAAAAATAAAATTGAAATAATTCAAAGACGTTTCCTTCGTATGATAGCCCAGAAATTTGATCTAGTTGGTAAACCAGTAAAAGACGTCGCTATAATATATCAAATCCCAACTTTAGAATCAAGACGGCTAAACTCAGACGTATTATTTATACGTAAATTACTTAATAATAAAATAGATTGTTCACATTTACTTGAATAAATTTATCTCAAAATACCAGTTTTTAACGCCCGCCAATCACATTTATTTTACACTAATTTTGGTAAAAATAATTTCGTTAAACCCAGCCCACTAAACCGCATGTTAACATCATGTAACAATATTTTTAATTTCAATTTTTTCTATGACAACAGTAATAAATTAAAGTCATATACTTATTAGTTTCTAATCCTACTTAATATTTATAAATATCTAATACTATACTCCTCTTATCTATTATATTACAGAATTTATTTTTGTTTATCTTTATCACATTGTATGCATTTTTGTTTTTTATTAATACTTAAACTTGAATATTGTTGTTACTCAGTACATACGTAGTGTTCATGATTTTGTCTTACTGTACCGTATTACCCTTCGAAGGTGTTAATTTAAAATAAAATAAAAATACTATGAATTTGAATTCTTATCACAAATATTTAGAAAAAACGATAAACGCATGGTTGGCCGAGTTTATAATTGCGCTGCTGTCACAAGTTGAAAATCAAAAAGATTCAAAACGGTTATTAAGAAAAAGTTAACCAGCAAATTTTTACGCATTGCTGTGCGTACTTTTAAAATTTAGCACTAACTCATTCATGCAATGTTCAACATAAATAAGAAATTGGTATAGATACAATAAAATCCATAAAGAATTTCATTAAAAGTTTGAGTGAATGGATAAATTTATTAAAAAGTAAAATAAAAATGTTGTCTCAAATAGGTTAGAGAATGTTACCTAGATGCGGTTAGATAGGTCTATTAGGTGAGTTAAACTAACATGTGAAATAATTCAAAGATTTGTTGACAATTTCCAATCCATAATTGAAACTTAGGAAGAATTACAAACAGTTTAAGATATCGAAAGGGGCGGTTTTTATCACTCACCAAGAAGGGGGCTATTTAAAGTTAAAAAATGTAGCTAGTTTTATAAATCTATATATATTTTTAATTCACAGAATATGCTTTTGAATCACTCAAAAGTAAATAATTCTTTTTTTATTTTAATTTATTTGTTTCACAATGACGATATTTAATAATAACTATTGATATATCATAATATTCATAATACTTACCTTAGAAAAATAAATAGCTCATTCCCAAGGAGACTATTTTCCCCTTAGCCACCCCCTTAAACCTACCCCTGGATATTGACACATCACTTAAAACACATACATTTTATCGATCTATAATGACAAGTGAATTTATATAAAAAGGATGATAATATATTTTAATTAACTTTTAACCGGTAACCGGTCGACTAGTTTAATTCATTTTTAAATTATAAAGCAACTTGACGGTTGAGCCCAGAAAAATCATAATTTAACAGAAAAATGAAACAATCATGTACTTACATAAATTTAAAAAAATTGCATAGGTATCTAATAATCAAGAAAGTAAATTAATTTTCACAAAATAATAATACAAAAGTTTAAAAGTTTAAAATTATTTCATTTGTAAATCATTTACATTTCCATATCACCAACACATTTTAAAGGATAAAAATTAACTGTATGCACGAACTTTGAAAATAAAACTAATGGCCTATATTTTGTTTTTCTTTTGTTACACGATGCCTATAATTACGTTATGTACTAAAAACACGCAAATCTATAACAAAATAAATAAAAATTTCTGAGCACAAATTTTTTTTATTTAATACATAAATTATATTTATAGTATATAAATCCAATTCAATTATACATTTATATATTGAACAGGTCTCATATATATTATATTTAAATACAAACATTAAAAAGTCCCTTTAATATTTCAGTTACCTACTTTAAAACTTTTTATGTGCATGTACCGTGAGTTCACCAATTTAGGGAGCACTGAATTTCTCGGCAGGATTATGTTAGAATAAATCGAATTTTTTTTTTAGAAGCTAGTGGTATATAAATACACATTTTCAGATAAATTTCAAATTTTTAACCCTCTCAGTACGCGCATGCGCAATGCAACTTATTTATTTTTTTAATAGCAAGTGGTATTTTCAATACCAAATTCGCATAGACTGAATTTTTTTAAATAGTTTTGACCAATTAACTATGACTTGTAACATAGCTTGTAAAAGCTAGTATATAAAGTACTAGCTTGTAAAAAAAAAAAAAACACGCTATATATGTATTAACGTTTACTATCTAATTAATGGTAATGGTAAAAATTACTATTTGAGCTGACAAAAAAATAGAAGTCGCGTATACAACTTGTATACTACCTACTGTAATAAGTAATAACTAATTATTATATTAAATTATTCAAAATTAATTACAACTATATACTAAATATATAAGCATATTATATATATTATATATTATATTATATATGTGTAAACAAATTTAAAAAAATTACACTCATGAAATATATTTTAATTAAGAATCCAATCATTTAAATAAGAATTACCGAATTAAAAATGTATACAACTATATTTTCCGAATTAAGGGGCCTCACCACCACGTCTTTTTTTAACAAAAACTACTGTTTCGAATTCCAACGCTACATGTCGACAATTATCACGATTTTCATTCTGAAAAAATATTCGGATGCTCCGTAATATGTACAAGGGAACGATCGAACCACATTTTTAATTTTTGTAATTTAAATTGCAAAAAATATTGTTGAAAATTCAAAAAAAATACAAAATTTCAAACTTAAATATTTAATTAACTAAATACAATTTTTAAAATGTGCCTTGATCGATCCTTTGTACATATTACGGAGCATCCAAATATTTTTTCAGAATCAAAATCGTGATAATTGTCGACACGTAGCGTTGGAATTAGAAACTTATGTTGGAATAAAAAATAAACATTTTTTCGCGATCACAATATTGAGTGATGACATGTGCGTACGAGTGCGTGTGAGAGCCCCCCGTACTGCTACCACGCCGTGATACGATAGTGAACCTAAACAGTGCAGTATAATTAGATACCTTATTTCGTGGTATCCTATAATAATGCTAGCAATTACTTATATTTCCGCGCCCTGATAATAATACTATATACCTACATTAGATGTTATTATATTTTATTATCGTTCTGTATTTCAATTTTGAACTGATTATTTATTCACTATTCAATTTTCTTTCTGTAAAGGCTATTTAGTTATTGCAATTAGAAAAACGAAAACTAAAGTTCTTCTATCGAAAAAAAAAAAAACACAAAGGTTTCAAAAGGGAATAAGAGGCCACCATACCATCAACCGCTGTGGCGCTGTCATAAGAATCGTAGTTTTACGCTAAATTAAAAAATGACTGAACTAAATTTGAATATGCACCTATACTCTATATCTATAGTAACTATATACAAATTATTTTACACTACGGACCATATTATTATTTTGCTCAATTCATAAAAGATAAAACTAATGAACCCAAAAATAATTCTCCGAAGTCATTCAACAAGCGAGTACGGGACACCGATTATAATAATATGATTACAACTAGTGACTACCTGTTCTCATGGTATGGAAGGGAGCGCGGTAACCACATTGAATTGTATTCACATTAACAATCATTTACAACTAACAAATATCCCGGGCTGCTACGAGATTAGAAATTGCCTAAATGTTGCCCCTTAAATAATAGCGGTAATGAAGTATTGAAATACAAAAAAAAAATATTTAAAATATTGAATACTTACTAGTTATTTTTTAATGATAGCGGGTCCATTTTCCTTTTTCTAAAAAAAAAAAAGGTTTGATTCCATTTTCCTCAAAACAATTTTCTAATATTAAAATATTTAGGTGGCACCAGTGTTTTGCTGTATATCATTTATATTTTAAAGAAAATGTTTATGAATTAAAACCAATTATATGGTATCTATGTAGCTAAATATTGGGAAACAAGTTCAGATTGATATTTATTGTGAAATTATAAGCATACATCTTACAAAAAAACTAATAATTACTAAGCAAAAAAGAAAACAATTATTCATTTGTCAAATATTTTTTAAAATTTCTTTTTTTAATAAACATTAATTCGTTGCAGAAGTATCATATAACTTAAAAAAAATATAGAGATGTAATTATTTTTTACTTATATATACATTTTTGACAATTATTTAATATGCATTACACATAAACATAAGTTAATTTATTAATAATTCCTTTTTTGAGGAAAATGGTATTGATTTTTTTAAAAATAGAATTTAAAATTTAAAATAATAGGATACTCAGAGCATTTATAGTTGTCAAAATAATTGAAGTACTTGTATGAACTACTTATAGTTCAATTATATAAAAAGATATTTATCATAATTTTTTTAAAACAATAAGAAGATATTTATGTATCAACAATTCATGTGTATTAATGTATAATTTAATGATGTTGTAACTATACAAAACTTTCTTCGTCCATTTAGAAAATTTGATTAAAATTTAATACAAAATTTTATACAGTGATTTCTGAAATCTATAACAGATTAAAATAAGAAAAAATACTTATGAAAGGTATTTAAAATAATACTTAAACACGTAAACATTTAAACATTACCAGTAACTATGCACAAAAATATTAAATACTTATTTTGATAATGATGATGAAAGCAATCAATTGCAATTAGTTAACTTATAGTTATAGATACTATATTCAAAAATAAATATGGATTTTATTTATAATTAATATACTTATTAAACTAGAACCAGATATTATATTTATTTATTTTTAATAAAAAAGAATGTGTACAAACATATATTTATTGTATAGGTAAAAATTATTAAGCACTTAATCTATAGCAAATCCTTTTGTGTTTCTTTTTAAACAAGTATTTTGTTGTGAAATTACAAACAAATTAAGATATATAAATGCAGAAAATTCAATTTCTGATATTTATTTATTTAAACAAAACATAAAATGAAAATAGTGTCAAATTGTAAGTGAAATTGAAACCACTTTTAGCAAAAATTTTCCAACAAAGCTGGGACACATGTAAATAAGTTTTATATTTTTTGAATAATCTAGAATTGTTCTACATACTAATTTCACTCTATATTTTTCATTTTAATCTATAGTTGGTGCAATTACCATAAAAGCACACTTTGTAATTTTTTTGTTTCATTTTGAAATAAAATCCTTAGTTCATATAATGGACTTAGTAATTAATTGTTAATTTGTAATCATTGACTTGTATAATTTACTATTTAATTTTTTTTTTTTATTATTATTTAATAATTATAAACAAAAGTATTCTAAACTATGATATAAAAATTATGTTCAATACATTTAATAATCAAACTGATAACAATAAAAAAATAAGTAAGAATCAAAATAAAATTTACTTTTTATTTTTAATGAATATTTAATTATTAGTTTAAATATAAAATTGTTTAAGAAACTGTTCTTCGAGTGGATGAAGTGTACCAACAATAACCAAAGAATGTAATGGTGATCCTAAATCTACATTGGCCATTTCAGTTAATGTGCCAGCAACAATCTTTTGATCTGGCCATCCAATACGTGCTGCACCAACACACAGGGATTCTTGAGTCACATCTAAGAGAACAATTATTGTTTGATATGAAAATAATTTCATATATTATTTCAAATTTAAACTCACAATTTTTCCCTTCAAATTCATTATTTTTAATAATATCTAATAACTGTGAAACTGCTTGTTTTACTTCCATATACCTGGATGGCTGATATTCTTTTTTCTTTTTAGTGATACTTTCCCATGTTGGTTCTTTTACTTGAATATCTACAAATAAGGAAGTGTTATGTAGATTAATGTAATATTTTTGCATAAAATATATACATTCAATATAAAATATAGAAGGTTAAAAAAAATTTACCAAGTAAACATAAGGTGTGCAGACCATTTGATTTGTTTTGATTAATTTTGTTTATAAAACTGGAAGGTTTCCAAACATCTGTCCAGAATGGTATTGATACAGTTTCTCCAAAATGATACAACTAGTTAAAAAATAATTTTCTGTCATTAATCAAAACATAATTTTTGTTTATAATTAAATTATAGTTACTTGAAGTCCACAACATCCAATAGCATTCATAATAGAAGCATTATGAATCACTCTAGTTTCAATTTTTAAATTGTGTGCTCTCAGTAATATATCAGCATGTGTAGTTGCACCAAAAGGATCACCAACTACAAGCAAAACTATATCTACCTCATTAGATTTATCCAATATTTGATCAGCATCTTGTTCAACTAGCTCGCGATCAGCTTCAATCAATGGTCTTTCATAAAATTGTTCCTATATATAACAGTAAAAAACAAAAAAAAAAATAACAGAATAACAAAATTTTTATAAAATATGAAAATAATAAAATACATGATATATATGTATTAAAATATTTATTGAATATTGAAAAAATGAAAAGTGTAGTAAACCGACCTATTTCATATTAGTAATCTAAACCAACCGATGTCTTATTAGTAATTTACACATGTTCTAATGGACATGACCTACTCTTAGGTGTCCTTTCTTCACAACTATTAATTGTCAATACAGAGAAACTCTCTATTACAGCAGTGTCAGAGCCTCGTATGCATGAGTGAGAAGGGTGAAACAGCATTCGCTGTTTTATATAAATATGACTACTGTTAGAATAAGAAATAGAAGTTATTCAAACTTAGTCATGAACACTATCTGGTCGTGTAGTCCACACACCACACATTGCCACCAGCTCTAGTGTTAAAACACTTAACTTCTCTAACAATCTAAAATTAGTGTTAAAATATTATCTGAAAGAAATTTTTACAACAGAGAAAATGGTAATACAAAATTCATTAAACACATACTTGAAAAATAAATTATTTTTTGTATTCAACTAGAAAATTAGAGCTTCATAAAAGACATTCTGTATAGTAATTTTTCTTAGCAAAATTAAAGAACGGGGACTCTGTTTACTTAAAAAGTGTCCCAAAAAACTTGTTAAGCGTTATAGTTATAACCAAAAAATAATAAGGGATGCTAAAATTTCTGAAAATTAGTTGGGGCACTCTGTCCGTCTGCGTTCCCCCTTAAGTCGATCACTAGTTGTGTACGATTACTAACAATAATTGATTTTGGAATAAATAAATTGAAAAAAAAAATAAACACACACGAAGGGTAAAAAACAAACAATTTCTCGTTCCTGTCGAAAAGTAAAGGTAATTTTAATGAATTGAAATAAAAACTGATACAGGTGAAAATGTTGTTTCATTAATATCTACTAACCAATTGTAGTTTGTCTTCAGCTAATATAGATGTATACGATTCTAAGTACACACGTTCAGCCTTTCGAACAATTTCGAGACCTCGAACTGTGATGTCTTTGACGTCCCCTAAACCTATTCCTATAATGTAAAACATGATAAATATAGAACGTAAAGTATAAAATCACAGAAAGACGTTAAATTATAAAGATAAAGAACTAAAAGAAAATATAATCACAATCCAATTTGAATAACGAGAAGCCGATTTCTTTACTGTTATCATTCGTACAGTTTGTGATAACGATTGTGTCACTATCAGTTGTACGAAACAGTGAAGCACAGATATATGAACTGTATAAAGCAAAAAATGCATACGTATCAAATACCAATGGTTATTATTTATTATTAATAGGGCTCGGATTCAAATGTCCTAAAAAAATCAAAAAATTAATTTATGACCTAAAAACTAAAAAATGTATAAAAAATTATATGTAAAATATAAAAAAAAAGTGTAAAAATTAAATTTGACAAATTTTATTTACTCTCTTAATGCTAATTAATTAATTAATATTAATACTATGTTTATATTTCAACGAAGTCAATATTTTTATTCATAATACAAGAAATAGGTCAAAAGGGGCGTAGGTAAATTGAGTCCCAAATGAATTTATCTTTCGAAATATGTAAACTGAGTCCCAATAATAATATTGAAATTGGCAAACTGAGTTTCACGTATAAAATTTAAAGAGGTAAACTGAGTTCCTCGTATAGCAGTTAAAGTGGGAAATTGAGTCCCAAATAAAATATTTAATACGGTAAATTAATAATAAAAAATGATAAAAAATAATAGAATAAAAATAATATAAAAATATTAAACAGGTAAATATTTTAATGATACAAACTTAATAAAGTCAAGTCTACTAATTGAATTATTTTTGTACTTCGTCATTTGTTCTCTTAATATATTCTTTTTCAATGTTGTGTTTTGACTTTTTAATTATGTCTTCAGTGCATTTTTTAACTAGTTAACTAGGTGACACAAATGTCGCCCAGTGATTATACTCTGTCGACAGTATTTTAAAAGATTGGGCGAAATAATGCGAAACAAACGTGTAATACTATAATCGTACTTTGGTAATATACATTAACTATTTTGAGAAAAACATTTTTTGTCGCCCAGTGAAAATTCCTTATAAAATGCATGTCTTTACTCCTTATTTGAATGTATATATTTGATTGAGTTTTTTCTTCGAGTGGATCAATAAAAATATAAATATTTGGATGTGCAGTAAAAAATAAACTAAGTAATTAGTTTTGAGTAAAATGATTCACAATTATTTGTTGTACGATTTGATGTTGTCGAAAATTCAACCCAAACACTAGGCGGGAATATACAATCTGATGCAATATATGTTGTAAGAATATAATCAACGAACAATTTTATATTTTCATTTGGAGGAAGTTTTGGCAGAATATCTCCAATGAAATAATCATAAACAACTTTAGGATTTAGAAATGATAAGCCAAAAAATAATTTTAAAAAATTACTTTCGTTCGAATTTTGTTTTTTATAATTTGTACTTATACCTAGACATTATATTTTTTTCACCCACATTGTCCAAGGTAAAAACGACAACCTTTAATATTAATTGCTAGCCAAATTTGTTGGGCGGCATTGTGTATAGCTTTTTCAAAGTCTATAAAAATATGAGTAAATTAAAATCTTAAGGCAAGAATCGTATATTGATCCATAGATTGATGATTTGTAATTTTAAATGATCCAATATTAAAAATACCTGAGGCTATTGAAATTCGGTGGTTAAGTCATTATAAAATAGTTCATGCAATTAAACAGTCATATATTGCTATAACTACTACTTGTGAACATATTCATCAAGATGGCGCAGATTTAGCATCTTTGGCCGGTGGAATTTTACTAAGTCTCCGCGAAGAAAGTTTTAGTACTTTTGTGTGGACTGGATGAAATATTAGGCGCAATCTCTAATTTAAGTCTAACACTGCAAGGTCCTACAATTTGTATTTCAGCTTTACCCACATTAGTTAAAAGTACTAAATGTCACTTAAATAAAATTTTAGAAGGTTTAAAACAAGATGCAGTGATGGTACTTTTGTACCATCATTAAAAATGCTATAGATATTTCAAGTAAACTTAATTCATCGAAAAAAGACGATTATTTCAAAGAAACAATAGCTTGCCTTTCACAGTTTTTGGAACAAACAATCAAAGAAATGAACCGTCGATTTAATGATACAGATTTAACACTTATCGAAGGGTGTTCAATATTCGAAGATTACAAATCATTTTCAAATTCTTCAGAAAAAAATATTAAACAGTTATGTTGATTGTTTTTCTTTGAATGAAAATGAAAAAGATGGAGTATTATCAGATTATAAGTCTTTTATGTTTGTTGCTTCACAGAAAGTTAAAACAAACGGATATCCAATAACTCACCTTCTTGAAGCAAATATTAGTTATGAACATCTGAAAAAATTATCAGAATCCATTTTATGTATTCCAATAGGAACGCCTACCGTAGAAAGATCATTCAGTGCGATGAATAGAATTATGAAAAATCTTCGCAACCGAATGGGACAAGATACTCTTCAATACTGTATGAAAATAAGTATAGAAGGTGATGAAGATCCGTCAATTGAATATGTCGAAGAGATGATTGATTTATATGCAACAAAAAAAAACTCGCCGCATACGCTTTAAATGATAATATTAACTATACATTTTTTAAATATTAAATAATTTCAATTGTTTTTATAAGCTTAAGTTCAATTATATCAATCAGGTAAATAAAGTAAAATTTGTTAATTTGTATTATATTAATTCCACATCTCAGTGCCCCCCTTGGAAAAAATGTCTGAATTCAACACTGAATTAGGGTAGACAGTTATCGACAGTTAATCAAATATTTCGTATATTTCTTTTGATAAGAGCCGTACCAAGTTAATGTATTTACGTTTTCTTTTTGTATCTAAGAATGTAAGAGTTTAAATGGCTTACTTGAAATATCTTCAACGGCTTTCCCCGTTTTAGACCACTGCTAATTTTTTGCCGGCTCAATGTTTTTTCTTCTGGTTTATCGTGATTATGATTTTCAAAACTCTCAAGAATTGTGTTTGAATCATTGATTTTCAAAAACCACATGCATGTATTATTTAATGATCAAGTCTAACGCTGTATATTTTTTAGCATAAATTTAAGTTTAATGTACGTAGTATACGATTGTGTTAATATAATTGAAAGTGTGTTAAATAAAAAAAACAGCATTTCACCATATTTCAAATTACCGCTTTAATTTTCATACAAAGGACTCAATTTACCGATTTCATTTTTTTTTATGAGGGACTCAATTTATCTTTTTTTTTTTTAGGCGGGATTCAGTTTACCTAAACTTAATAAAATGGAACTTAATTTACCAAACCCGGTCAAAAGAGGCCTAAATAATTAAAAAATGCATTAAAATCGTTAAAAATTCTAAAAATGCCCCAAAAATATTTTATAGTTACAATATAAATTACTTAAAACATATTTGTAACTTGGAAAGCATCGTATAAGACATTCCTAAAAAAAATGTAAATGCATTCAAATCCGAACCCTAATTATTAATCATCCATTATTGCCATTTCAATAATTGTATGTACCTATCAATACGCAAATTAAATATCAACCGATTAAATCCAATACGACTATTTTGGGATTGAGCTTATGAAAAAGGAAAAAATTACATAGATGACTGATTATTACAAATGCGTTTAAACTATATAATTTTTGAGTTATAAATTATAATGCTACGACTATATGCTGATAAATACGATTGTATAATAACTATAAACCGATCAACGATGTTATATATATCATTACACGAAACACATAAATATGATTGTTGTAATACGTCTCGGTCCATCACAATATAGCTATATTTAAATCTTTTGATAAAAATTAAAACAATTCGTTGTTTTATTGATTCCTAGAGTATTTTGGTCTTTGTATGCGTACAGCCTTAGACGAAATGTAGCATAAAGTCACTCACTAAACAACAAAACAGTCGTTTCGTTTTATTTTTGCAGACCGATAATTATTCAAATTTTATTCTTATTACTTATAAATACTATTTTTACAACATACCCATTTTTGTTTGTCAATACCATTTCGATAAAATATTCCAAACACATTAGCGAAAACATTGAATTACGTATAAATTGAAAGTGAAATTAAAGTAGTAATTCCTCGGCTCATTTAAAATTCTAAGTTAGGTACTTGTTTTAATTGTTAATTTAGATTTTTTATAAGTATATGTTTTGCATTTAGATATTAAGTGCACCAAATTAGAAATTTTAGGTTATTAATAAATAGTAAGGGTATTTAAAACAAATTTTATTAGCTAACATTAAAGCTCGAGGGAAAAAAGAATTGGTACCACTATTCGTTTTATAATGAGGAACTAAAAATAACTCTGAATTACGTGTAATTAGATATGGAATTCGAAAGCTGATTTCAGACAACAATTCGGGACACAAAATATTGTAATTAATAAGATCATAGACAAACATAATATCAGTTAATTTCCGTCTAAGTGAAAGAGAAACAATATATGTTGTATTGTAAAACGTTTATCAACAGCAACTTTTACATTGCATACCTTACACAACAACACTAATCCGTTGGTAAAAAATATCTATAATCCATAATTTTAAATTCAAAAACACCAACAATAATTTAAAAGCTTCTAAAATGCCCTAAAAAATGAGAAAAATGACCTTAAAATTAAAAATTGTCAAAAAATGCAAAATAAAATTTCTTATTCTAATTTAAAAATACCTTAAACATATCTGTAACAAAATGAGCATCGTACAGAAAGCTTCAGAAAAAAATCTAAAGTGCATCGAAATCCCAGCCCTAATGATCACCATAGAAACAATGAACACCAACATTATAAAATATACATTTACATATCATAAACGTTATACAATTGTAACTGTTTCGTTGATTTTCAATGTTATGTTTTTTTTTTAAATTATACATATATGCTTTTTAGCCAATATAACTATTAGAAATAATTAACCACTACAACAATGTTCAGCGACAGTCCAGTGGAGGTAATTGGGTTTATTCACACCGAAATGCATAGGAAAGGGTAAGTTAAACAGTAGGTATTAAATTATTTTTTCTATTTATATACATAAAAATTAATTTGCTTCAGGAAAACAATGGAAAAGATATGTCAATACAATGGGTTGTTTACTGAGGACAAATCGTGCGATACTAATGATATGAAAACTATAACAGTTGGTTATATTGCCTCATAATTTCATAATTTTATTTGTATTGTATTAAACTTATATTTTAATTTAAATAATACTTAATTATAAATATTTTACAGACACAAACTGATGAAATCGAGGATTTTAATGTTGGAAATGTTGATTTTGTTGCATTAAATGACTGTTTAAAAAATGGCTTAAGAATTTTAGAGATTGAATGTAAAGGTTGGCCAAAAATGAATGATTATTTAGAAACACCCGATGAAAACATAAATTATGATAAAACTATTAAAATACCTCTGTACCAACATCCTTCATTTAGATCGGTAATAACCTTTGAATTCCTTAATTAATTAACAATATCTTAATTTAATGATTTTTAATTTACTTAAGTTAATTTTTAAACAATAATTTTACTTGTTTGAAAATAAGAAAACAAATTAATTAATAAAAAAAAAAAAAAAAAAAAACAATTAAAGTATTTAACGGTTTTGGCTGGAAAGTATTATTTATAATGATTGAAAGTAAAAAATATTGAAAATTTCAAGACTATAATAATGTATATATCTTAATTTAATCGTTGTAATTGTTAATAATTATGGTGTACTTTGAGTCTGAAAGGATTAAAAGTCAATATTTACCTATACAAATTAATAATTCTATATTACAAAATGTATTATTGCTATTCCCTCCGTTCATTAGTAAATTATTATTAACAAACAGCGGCGGATTGGCTAAAAATTTCGGCCCGGGAAATTATCGTATGACTGGCCCACCATCCAATGATAATAATTTTTCATAAGTCTCCTTTATTCATGGATTAAATGCTCGTGGAACTGTTTACACTAATTTTTTATTACAATCTTACAATAAAATACAATATACTTAAGTATATTATTTTTATAAAATTTTTAATCCAAGTCCATCGGCCCAGCGTTATAATACGATTACCGACCCACCGGGAACTTTCGGGTATCCCGGTGGGCCAATCCGCTACTGTTACCAAATAACATTTATTTAAATTAAACATTATTAAATATATTTAATCAATTGTTGAAAAAATCAAAAATATTTTAGCTACAGAACAGTAAATAAGTATGATTGATAACAATGAGCTTTAAAATCTCAACTGTCCTGCAATAATTAATTTTGTTAGCGCAGGTAAATGTTAATTAAAGCATAATTTAATACAAAGTATATGAATAGATATTTATTGTACCATTAGCTAGAATATTTTTTATTTTAAATTTCATATTGAATACAATAAAATATTGACTGTTTATCACATAAATCAGTAGTTTTAAAGTCATCATAAAATCAACCGAGTAAGGAAAAAAAAAATGGATAGGAATTAAGTGTTTTTATAGATGGACTTTTATTTCACTAATATATAACATGTAGTAGTACATTAAATTTAATAAATATTAGTTTAATAGTTTTAAATAAAACAAGATATAGATAATTCAAATTATAATAGTAGGAAAAACTTTCTTAATTTGATTTTTTAAAGTAAACTAGAAAAATGTCTTTAACTTATCAATAATGATGTCTTTCCATGTTTCAATTATACATATATCTAGTTAATTTTTAATATTTATATTACATACATTTTAATAGGTATATGAGCTTTTTAAATTTATTTATAATATATTTTACAGAAAAATATAAGTGCACTTTGTTGGAATTGTAGTGGTAACAAGATAATGATAGCTACTGGTGAACAATGTCATACACAATGGTGTAATCATTTAAATTCAGTATTTGTATACTCTTTATCTGAGTGAGTAATTAAGCAAATTGTCATTCAATTAAATTAATAACACATCTATAATATTGGATATTTAGCTTAGAAAAAGGTGAAAATACCGTGATTAACAAACTAGAAGTTACATCTTGCGTAACATGTTTAGCCACACATCCAATGAATGAACATCTTTTGACAGCTGGCTTATACAATGGTAAAACAAAAGCTTTTTTGAAAAATTAATGTTCACATTTTAGTTAATATCATGAGCTAGTTATGTAATCTGAATATTAATTTTTATTTATATTATTACACTTTATTAATTAGATATTAAAATGAAACAAAAAACTTTTAAACAGTTTAACAAGTTTTAAAATACACCAATTATTACATACATAATAGAAAACTAAAACACAGCGTAAAACTTTACAATTTTTATTTTAAAATTCTTATGAAATAATAATGTTTAGTTTATAAATTGTAGGTGAATTAGTTGTTTGCAACACAAATGAAAATATGACTATGATTTCTCTTGAATGGCATTCACAAGCAGTATCTAAATCATTGTGGTTTGTAAGATCTGATCATCGAGTAATATTAGTAACTGCTGGAAAAGATGGGTATGTTTGTATAGGAACAATGGTGAGTGACAAAATAAAATTGACCCAACGACTATGCAGGTGTGTAAACATAAGCTAAATTAAATTTATATTATATATAATAATTATAACATTAAATGCATGATTATTATAGTTTGATAGTTGTTAAAATATATTGTAGACTAATAAAAAAGGGTAGTAAATTATTAGATAAAAAACATACAAATAACCTATTTGATTCAACAAAATTATCCGTAAAGTACGAGCAATTTGAAAATATATATTAATATTAAAAGCTATATATTTTTTTTTTATTATAATAATTAGTAGTAATCTGTTATGGAATGTAAAATTAAATCTCTCCAGATGTAAATTATGTGAAGGTATAGATCAAAAAATTAATTTGACATCAACATAAAAACCTTGGTTTAATCTATTATAAAATAAATCAATATCGTTTATTGAACGAGTTCAATATTGTATTTGCATCCATAATATAAATTATTAAGACATATAAAATAAAATTTAAGAAAATTATTGTTCATTACTATTACAAAATATACAATTGCATGTATCACAAACATTAAGGTGGTTGAAGTGGGTCGAAAAAAACAGGTAAAACAACTCAAATGTTAGACAAAATTATAATATTCGAGATAGGTCAATTTTAATTTAGAAAACAGATTATACTTTGTATACAATTCTTCTAGGTTCTGATCGAAGCGATTTTCGATATTTAAAATATTGGAATAAGGAATACAAATAAAAGAAGTTTGTGTATTTTTAAATTATAAATATTTAAATGAAAAATTGGAATTTTAGAAATTGCTTAGATCAAAATCTTAAAAACTAGAAGCCAAATTCCAAGCTGTTTCCATCCATTCCAAGCCTCACAATATTGTCTGGCTTCTTCGTTTTTTGAAAATTGTGTCAATTTTAATTTAATCGGTGATTGCGATGTTCATGCGCGTGCAAGAATGCGTTATCGTTCCCGTGAATTACAAATATCTTTTTTTGGATAATTCATAGACACTGAAGTCGTTAGATGATTCCACAACAATCTAATACTAATCATATTATTACTTCTACCATCAGTAACACGCCTTATTTAATAATATGTACTTATTACTATTGGCTATAAATACTAATACAATGCTAACTCATACCTAGTTTTTTTGTATAAGAATTTATAGAATTGACCATTATTATTATTTATTATATATCAATGAAAACTGCAGTATATGAAGGGAGAATTAGCCCTTGAAGGAAAGAGATTGAGAATCAGTAGAAATAAAACATAATATATAGAGTATGACTTTGGAGGAAGATATCAAGAAGTTGAATGTATGAGGAGACAATAAGTTGTGATATGATAGGTGAAGTTGAGAACTTTAAATATTTAGGATTATTTGTACAAAAGGATACGGGTTTTGGTATGGATGTAAAACACAGAATTAAGTGTGGTTGGATGAAATGGAGAAAAGCATTGGGCGTTTTATGTGATAAGAGAATTCCAATGAGGCTGAAAGGTAAATTTTACTGGAGTATACCAACTATGCTATTTGGCTTAGTGTTGAATATTGGGTGATTGACAGGGAATTATAATAAAGTATGTGTAGTGGAAATAAAAATATTTAGATGGATGAGTGGAGTGACAAGAGGAATAAATATATGAGACATAGTATTGGTGTAGCGTCTATAGTGGACAAGATAAAAAGAAATAGACTAAGGTTTGGGCATGAGATATCTATATATATATGAGATGTGATTAAAATGAACGTTGAAGGTAAAAGAAGAAGAGGAAGACCAAAAAAATAGATTGTTGAATACGATTGAGAATGATATGAGAGCTGTTGGTGGTGTGTAGGGGATATTGAAACAACGAGACAAGTGGAGGTTTAGGACAGAAGTGGCTGACCCCAAGATAGTTGGGAGAAAGCAAAGAATATAAAAAATTTCTTTTGAAATTGTTAAAACTTAAAACAATCGTGAAATAAGTAAATTTATAAAAAAGAATAGTTTAACGAATTTAAGTAATAATATCAAAACCTCAAATATGCGTTACATACATATTATGCATTTACACCAAGTATAGCAATAGAAATTTTACTAGAATGTAACTTTTTCGATAAAGTAACAAAAAAAAAAAGTACAAATGAAATTAACTCAATTGTTTAAAAATAAATATATAAATTTACAACAAATTAAAAACTTTAATGTACAAATCTGATGCCCTTTAATTGTATTACATTATTATTCGAATTTCAATTAAATAAATTGTTTGTATTTTTTTTTTTTAAATCTATGGTATTCATATTTACTATAAATTCAGTTTTATTTTTCAAGTATCTTCATTAGCCTTATTAACATATTTAAAAAAATGATAATTAAGATATATGTAACATAATTAGGTACATCGTTGGAGTTCCAGGAAAAATTGGCATTCAAAGTTTCGATTATTCAGATAGACATTTTTTAGTAGGACTGGAAAATGGGAAAATCTCGAGTCATTTATGTGAAATTACAAGAAACATTAAAGGTAGGTACAGTTAAGTTTCAATATAATTGTATTAATCCGCAATAGAAAATAAATTCTTTACACACTATTCCACACCACCAATGAGGTTGTGTGTTAGGCGCGTTTTTTTTCAAGTGGTATCCCCAATAGGCCTAATCCACCATGAGAAGTACAAAGGATTACTTGTACCGTGCAACTTTTATTTTAATGGATTTTGTGAATACATCAATATAAATTGAATATATACTTGACTATTGATATTAATTTTATATTAAGCTGAAAATATGTATTACTTCAATACTGATGATCACATAAGTATTAAATGTTTAATTTTTTAAGAATTAATTTATATGAAAATAATAAGTGTTGAACTGATTATATTAGAATAGTGTGTCTTAAAACTTCAAATAATTAGCTTTGTTTTTACAAATTTAGTTTTTTTTTTTTTTGTACTTTTGGTGAAAACTAAACTTAATTTTCATAATGCTCATTTCAGAAAATCAAGTTTTAGAAGCAGTAAAAGTTAAAACTTATAATGGAAATTCAATAATGATTGAAAATATACAATTTTGCCACAAAAATACAAATAAATTTATCATCACACAATTTGATTGTACAATGCTATTATATGATGTATATCAAGTGAGTTCATTTACTTATTTAATTTTAACATTAGTCTAAAAGTCATTTTTTGTAGAAAGATCCGGAAAAAATTATTTTCAATCGAAGAATAATAACTAGACTATGTTGGAGTTTAAAAGATGAGTTTACAGTATATATTGGTGAAGAAAATGGAGAACTTGCTAAAGTCAATCTCTCAAATGGGAAAATAAATTCAATAAAAAAAATTAATGTAACCAGCAGTTTAATTTCCATGAATATAAATCCTAGGTTTGTAAATGTTTCTATTTGAGAACTTTCAATTTGATTATTTTTTTTTTAAACTTTATTTACTCCATACAGAAAAAACATTATTGTGATTGGCACAATACACGGAGAAATATATATAAATAAATATGAATAGCACAGATATCATTTAAAAAGAAGAAAAAAATTTGTCATTTAAAATACAAATAAATGTTGGTCGGAATGTTATTCATGGTTTACTTATTAAATATAAACATATGTACTATTTATAGTAAAGAATTATTGATTGATTTATATTCTTTAGAGGATGTTTATGAAATTAAGAAAGTTTTAAAGAAATAAAAAATGTGGCAAAATTTAAATGTTTGAAATGAATAATAAAACATGTAGTATTTTTATAAGAATGAGATCGTATAAGGAATACTAACAGCTTAGGAATGGCTGTGTTTTTTAATTTTTTTTTCTTTTTCTTTTTTGTTTTGTTTTTTTTTTTTTTTTTTTTGTTTTTCTTTTTTTTTTTTGGTTTTTGATATTTTATCTTAAGGAAGTGATACAAAATTCTAATAACTAATTGCCTTAATCTAAATGAAAAAAAAAACTACATTACATTAAAAATTAATAACAAAGTTAAAAGATATCTTTAAAACAATTTAAGTAAATAAAAATACATTTGAATTTTGGTGATTCTTCTTACATATTATGAATTGGAATACTTTCTTCTTAAACTGATAACAGTCTTACAAAAAAATCCAATTCATTAATAATATACTTAACATATATTAAACAATAATAAAATAATTTATCATAAAAAAATAACACAGTAATATCACACTAATGGCCAGATTCCTTATAAATATATATGTATAGTATATATATATATATATAGTATCAACAATAGTAGGACAGCCATTAAAAAAGACACATACTGCGTTTCTTACAATGAATTTCAAGTTATGGTTGAGTTAAATCTACTGATTAATGCCTAATGATCAATGAGCGACTTAAGAATTTTATTGGGATAGGGATGTGCCTATTTCTTAAATCATACATATTTTTTTACTAATTAGTTATAGCAAAAATCAATGACAAAAAATAATATTGCATAAGTGATAACTTAGCATTATTTAACAAACGCATATATTGCTAACAATTAAACAAAGTATTGCTATTTTACATTCTTTTTTTTTCTTTATGTTATCACTTATGACAATTTATGTTTTTAATCTAAACAAGATTTTTGATATGAAATACATACCAACCTCATAAATACAATGAAGGAAACTAATGTCTAATTTACATGATACAGTCGGTGGAATAGTTCTATATAGATCATAGCATTATATAACAATGTTATGAGAATATTGAACTAATATACTAATTTAATTATTCGTATTCATGAGGTTGACCTGTCATATAATTTCATAACCGAAATATTTTTAATTATCTATTCATTATAAACCATATCTTATATTCAATTCATTTTGTAGAAAGTTACAACATTTATAAGTTACAACACATAAGGCTTACTACATGTAATATAATTATTGTAAGTAAACCTTAAAAAAATAATATTGTTCCATATCACAATTGTACTTAAATAATATCTGAGAAGGGTAACAAGTGTATTTGAAGTAGCATTTATATATCAAAATTTTTATTATTTTTTTTTATTTTGTATAAATTATTTTATTTATAAAATTATTAGTTAAAATATGATCAACATTTAAAACAAGAGGTAACTTTTAAAGGGACGATAACATGTTCCTTACTTATCTATTGAATTAAATTTAGATATAAATATATTTTCTTCACATTTCACGTTCAAATACATTTACCACAGTCATTGATACAATAAATTACAAATTGAATTGCTGATTTTTATATTATCACACATATCACAATAAGTGAATAATTTTTTTTTTTTTTACATAAATTTTATCTGTTGTAAAATATAAGACTGTTTGTTGTTGACATTAAAATCTTGTTTGAAAAATACAACTATATAAAAAAATTGTTTTATTAAACATAGATTTGATTTATAATTATTACAACTGATTAATTGATCAGCAATTCAATTCAATTCCATTATAGCACTTTAAAATTAAAATTTTTGTTACGATACTACCTATGTATTATAATTTGTATTGCATTTACATGTAAATCACCTATAAAAGTGACTAGACTTTGACGCAACAATCAGTCACTGATAAGTTAAGTTTCACAAACAATAAAAATAATAATTAATAAAAAAAAAAAAATAAAACAACATTTAGATACATCTAAATAATTACACATAAATTTAAGAAAATAAATTTTTAAAAAAGACTGTTAAGATAAAATGAAACAATAAAATTATATAAAGCATAAAACATTATACTAATGAAACACAATTATTATTTAAAAAGTTTAACTTTTAAATAATTTTAGAAAATTTTATCATGACTCTAGGTAGAAAATACATTCATACATTCAATCATTTAAATTTTTTATAGATGGGGAGATATACGTTGAGTGACAAAAATAACAGGTATAATGTAAAATGTAACGAAAAAAAAAATAATTGTCAAAATTTAAATTTCAAAGACTGTCTAGATAGTGATGTTGAAGATAAGATGTGATTTTTGCATTGTTTTTGCTTGCGCTTGACATGAGTTAAGCCACTGCATTGGTGGCAATGGTAAATCTCCAGGAGATGGGCAATTGCTAAATTTAGCTCCAGCATAGAAGTTATCACCATTAGGTGAGCCACATCGTTCATCAATTCCCATTAGTTGCTTGAACAGGGCATACTTTTCAATAACAATCTGCTGAATATCATCTTCTTTAAATTTCTTGTGTGGACCATATTTTTGAGGAGATTCATATGAAGGTGGAGTATGATTTAATGGCACTTCTGGTAGACATTTAGATGGAGTGTCAATAGGTTTTGAGCGTAATTCTGTTCTTTTATCTTTTATAACTTGATTCTTTTTTGTCGATTTGTGAAATTTAGTTCTATCATCTGAAATATCATCGCCATCAGATAAACTATGGTCCATAAAAGTCCTAACATTTTTGGTAGGTGATTCATTATAGTTAAGCTGTTTAACGCAAGTAGGCGTTTTTGATACAGATCTTTTTGACTCATGAATCATTTTAGAATTTTTAGGTAAATTGTACTCTGATTTAGGTAAAGTTTTTGTTTTACTTCTATGTACGTTGGTTGGTAAACTGTTTCTTCTTGGACGAATTGGTTTGTACATGTTTGCGATTTGCATTAAATAATACTTAATGAGCAAAAACCACCTACATAAAGAAAATACTTCTATTAACATTATTTCTTTGTAATACATTATTTTTTTACTATACTACAAAATTATATTGTTTTTTACAATAATATTTATATTTTAAAATATACTATAATACAATTTTTAATGTTTTTTTTTTTTTTTTTAACACTGCCTTGATCGACAGACGTTCACAGTATACATAAAAATGATATATAAAAAAAAAAAAACTCTGATGAATAGATTGCATTAAAAGGTAAATAAAAATAAATTAATCAAATTTTTAACATTTTTTTCATATTTGTTTCACCTTGTATATTATTATATTAATATGCATTAACTTAAAGTACCAGAATTGAAATATTATTTAATAGGTCAAACAATTTGAGGTTATACAAAAATAGCAGCTATTTAATGTAAAGGCAATACTACATAATGTATAATAAGATACACAATTATAAAATAAAATGCAAAACAAACATTTGTGTACTTCTAAATATCAAACATGCAGCAATAACTTTGACTGCACATATGAATTATTAGCAAAAACTTTGGTCTTGGCTATGAACAATAGTTGTAGCAAACGTATTGACGATTAATTTAAAGCAAAAATTATACACAATAGAAAATAGACAATCTTAATCACTATGCAATTTCAATCTTAGATACTTAATTTACTTTTTACAGATAATACCTAATAACAATCAATGAATAAATATAACATTAAAATGCAATGGATATTGTGAAGTCAACTCCAGAGTCTCAAACTTATTAAAGTTAATAAATTAAACATAGAAAGAAGTTTAATATTGATATTAGAAATACATCTCTACCAACCTAAAAGCCTAATATTAAATAATCCAATCTATTAAAATTCAAAAATGAATAAGAGAAGGAATTAATGTAATAAGTAAAAATACCTATAAAATACCTAACCTAAGTATGTAAGTATGGTTCTACTTAGTTAAATATTTTATAGAGGTTAAATAAATAACCTTATTAAGTATTTTTATTATGAATAAATATTGATTAAAAACTTATTTAGAGTAATGAGTAAATAGAAAAAATGAAGTACAACTAACATGATTTTTTGAAAACAAAAATTAATTTAAATGAGTAAGTACAAAAATATTTAGTTTCAGCTTAATTTATGACATTGAAATAAAAGTGTACATATTGAAAATGAAAAAAACAACAAATGATTATTAGCTATTATAATATAATATGTATTGTGTACATATAGTATGTCTATTTTAACTATCAACTTTTCGATTGGTACAAATTACTATTATATTTTGAAATAGTTTTGAAATCAGTTACTAAATCATTATATGTGAACATTAATTGTAAGAATCATGATAGATTGTACAAAATGTAATATCCACTCAACTGTAATATATCTAGTGACTTTTAATTGATTTATACAACTGCTATATATCTATTCTACAGCGACGAAATAAACTACAGTAAATGGTCGCTTTGGTCTATTCATTAAAAATACTATAGGAATTATGTATTTTTTAGTATTAAATCACTTGACAATGTTTAACAACCCTACCAAAATGCAAACAAACCGCTTTAGACAAAATTAAGATTAGGTGTGACAGTTCACACAGACCCATGAGATGGATTTTAACATTATATTTTTGCTATTTGTAATTTGCAAATATTTGCAGAAGTGACCTAGAACAGCTTAGTACGAGCACTTCTGTATTAAGGATTTTAATAGTAAACAGTCTGTAGTCGATAATAATGTCGCGTCACCAACTCGATGGTAACAGCACAAAGGCCACTCCGATGCGATTTCATAGCGGCAGCACAATGACCTATCACTAGGCCATAACCGAACGTGTTAATGTTTCTCAACCCGTGTCCTACACTCACCTGTATGACGCGTCTGTCTTTGGTAGCGACACGCCGTGGACCTGGTTGAATACGTGGCGATCTACGAAGGCTTCGTTCGGGTCGCTAGACGAGCAGCGGTACGTGGTGTCCGTTGGGAACACGGCGTCTGGTCGATAGGGACGGTGTCGATGTCGTCGACGGCGAAGCAAAAAATGCACTAGTGCGCACGAAATGCACCGGTCGATTGCGAATGAAATGTGTTACGCGAGTTTTACGGTTTCTTTTCTCTTCCTGTGTATTACGAATGAAACAAGACCGTAGTACAGTAGTGCGCGGACGACGTCAACGCAGCAGTACTCCGGAACGCGAACGAAGATCGCAACGACGACGATGAACGGTATCGACGGACGCGCGCTAGTTTAATATTTATACTATGATATTGTAATATATATCTATGTGTACATGTAATGTACATACACTATAATATATAGTATTAAATGTTATGCGTCCGCGTGCGTGTGTAGATACAAACGTCGCCTTACCGTCTCGAACGGTGAAAACGGTGAAAACAATAATAATAATAAAACAATGCGATGCGGACGTACACAACGCAATGAGATATACAAACAACGGATGAAAATTCGAGAATGACTGGTCGGCGCAAGTGCGTACGAGCGTTCAGTCCGAGAACGATGTAGCTAGGTGGGGGCGATAATGGTGATAGGGTGGACGGAGGTGAGGGGGCGACAAGTACTCTACGAACAAAGGAAGGTAGCGATCGCGCGATCGGTGGACCGCGGGTGGCGGTTGTCGGACTGATCGTGCGGAGGGTAGACGGGGCACGTAGAGCGATCGTCCATAGAGCAAATAATACAAAAAAAGTGAGAGGCTGCTCGACCGCCCGTTGCAGCTGCAGCTAAGTGGTTCTCCGTTGTGTTGCCACATTGCTACACTGCCGTGCCCCTGTGCCGCCGCCACCACCCTCCCGACCATTCGATCGACGTACGCACGGTAGCGGTGGCTGCCTCACCGTCACCCCGCCGAACACACCGTGTCCCCTTAACGCGGAATAATTCATAGCCGCCGCCGTTAAAACAATCGCTTCTGGTCGACTCGAACGACCTCAGCGTTGCGTTCGCTACGATTTCTCGACCGACGTAACACATATAAACAAACAACATCGCGTCTGAATTCGGTGAAAGGCGAACAGCGGTAGCAGCTGTGCGCGGTACATAATAATAACATTACTATTATTATTACTATCGTTACGTTCTGTTATGTTGGTATCTATACCATTTTTAAGCACAATAATTGTCTTACGAACGGGGTGCATTCCGCAGCCCTCTCCCCTCATTCGAATTTGAGGAGAATCGTACATCGTTTTGATAATGGTCACCCCACGGCGTATAGATACAATGTGTACTGTTGTTAAGACATACATTTACTCTAAAACGCTGTAGTCCCGTGATTTTATTTGAGATGTAGTTTAGTACATGTTTACACATATTCATATCAAATTCATTATCGACCAATCTGATCTTGAGTTGAAAAATTAAATTTTTAAGGTTCACGCTTACCTAGAAACTTTTTACCTAGTTTCTATTCTACCGAATAATGTCGATAGGTGTACCTGCATAGGTGCAGAGATGTGCTCGAATAATGCCGAATTCGGAATATTTTTCACGTTTTCCAAACCATTTTTCGTAAGAATATTTAGGTAATTATTTATTAACATTGTAATAAATGCATTTCATCAAAACATGTAATAAATTATATCCAATCAAGCGATTGATTTACTATTGATTTACTATTATTTACATAGTACCATCTATAAATGGTATTTTGTAAGAATATTAAACCTTCATTTTTTTAAAAAAAAAAAAAAAAAATGGATACTTATTACATATAATATTCTACATCGAAATTTTGTAATTATATATTTAGTTTGCATATTTTTATTCTGTATAAGTACTTACATATAAAAATATTTTTTCCTAGTTGGGTTAAATCGAACATGAAAATAATACTGTCAAGTGGAAGACTCAATTATTATATATTACACTATTATTACAACCGCATACTTCACCATAATTTCTCCATTTGCGTAGTATGTACCTATATGCATATTTATGTACACGTACCTAATAATAATAATAATAATAATAATAATAATAATTGGTACGTATTTAGGTGTAAATGGTATAGGCAATAAGCTGACTATTTATTGTTTGTGTAAATATGGTTGTTTTTGCTGTTTATATAATTTACTAGTTTACATGACTACCAGATAATCATACTCTGCAGAGTAAAATATTTACTCATCTATTATTATTAAACGTGTATCATATTGTATGACAAAAATATTGTAATTAAAGCTAATTGACGTACATCCAACGGTGTAATAGTCAATTTATTATTTTATTTTGTAAATATTTAAAATTCTAATAAAATATTTACTGTAGCTGTAGTTTAAAATACGAGTATCTGTTGATATTTTTGAAAGCATGTACATAACAAGTAAATGTATATTATGCAATACTGGTAGTTCTTCACATTTGTTCTTGAAGAAAATAAATACGTGTAATGAGGCATCGCGCGATCTGTTATTTTCCTTCAAATCGACTTTAACGTAAATATTTATAATTCTATAGTATATATGAATTAAAGGGCCGATGGAATTACCAGGTAGCTCTAATTTTTTTTTAAAAAATTGATGTTTTTATGTATTCTAATAGAGAAAAATCGGCCGCCATTTTTGTATAATAACCAGGTAGATCTGATTATTTTTCGCTCGATGTAGTGCAAAAGGAGCTTTCTGGTTGTTTGTGTTCTGGGCAAGATCTGGACAGCTCCGGAACTACCTTGTTTTTGCACGGAACGATGGTCATATATTGTTTTGATATCTTTGTTATTTCTACGTTATATTATTATTTACTGTTAATATGCGAAATGTAATTTTAACATTATAGTATATTGTGATATTATGCAAAGTTACATGTTTTTTTTTTTTTTAAATAAAAGAGATTACTTATACCAGTGATTTTCATCCTTTTCTCGTTCATGACACCTTTAGTCACTAGAATAAAACACCGTGTCACTCTAACATCAAAATAATAAATAATCTTAACTGTGTATTTTAGAATAATTCTTGAAATAACAAAAAGAAAAAAAAATACAGTACACAGAAAAATAATGAGTTCACCAACAATTTATTTGAGTTGTAGGGTTCAATAAACATTGTCAGTTAGAAATTTAAATTCGCAAATTAAAAAAAAAAAAAAAGAAAAAAAATAATAATGATTTGTATGAAAACTGATGAGAAATTGGGCCCTGGTGGTTTTTACAAAGTTGAGGAAATCAAGGGCTGATGGTGGAAAGACCGAGTCTCATATTGTTTTATAGAGTTGTAGAGCTATAACACTACATATCTAGCGACTTTAAAATAACTGACTAACGAGCCCGGTTAAATTAATAAGGTAATCGATAATGCATAATTCGATAACGAAATTCAAAATACTGTATGTATTTATTGGATCTAAATAATATAATGATACAAACTTAAAGGTATGCTATTTACATGATAATAATATGATTATGGCAATAATATGATTTAATTAAAATTAATTTTTTTTTTAATTTCTTTCCTTTTCCTTTGGAGATTTTGTGTCACCCCTATACTGCGTCCATGTCACTCTTGGGTGACATGTTACCCCGATTGAGGACCACTATCTTGTACATAAATTTATTCTGATTTATTAACGTTTAGACTTACTTAACTACTTCTTAAATTTAAATGTATGAAATTTTTCTTGTTTATATGCATAATAATAATATTATTAGATACCTAAGTTATAATTAATAATATAAAATATAAATAAAATGTATTGCCGATTCCGGGTAAAAACCAGATAGCTCCCGTAAAAATACTGAAAAACACAAAAAAAAATCAACATAGAATTTATTTTAAGATACATTTATTTTAGACTTAATTATATATTAACTTATAAGTGTATCCAACAATTTCCAACATTCAAAATAAATATTTTACTTTTGTATATTATTTTTAAATTAAAAAAAATTCTCTCCTGTAAAATTTGAAAAAAGAAATGGAGCTACCTTATTATTCCATCGATCCCTTCAATTGTAATTATTTATTTATTTATATTCATCTCTTACGATGCAAATACTGTACAATACAGTTGTAAAATCAATTACTTTATTGTTAATAATGTTTAAAATGAAATAGAAATAAGTTTACTTTGCAGATGTATGCCTATATGTAGATTGTAATTTAATATCGGGCTGTACATATTTATGTATATTTACTGTTACAAAAGTCTAAAAGACAATTTTTGAAATTACCATCGTTCCCAACCGATATATCTACGTTACCAAAGTAATTCCCTGATTCGTATTTTAGATAAATACTTCCATAAATTATAATATTTTAAATTAACATTTTATAGTCTACGTTCAATTAAATGTAAATTGTCACATTATAGAGTACCTATATAATTTCTTATTTTGCCCATAAAAAACGTATTCATCGTAAAATGTATTTTTATGGTATAAACATTTGAATTCTAAGTCAACATAAAAAGTTCAAAATGAATAGTGACTCTATGTGTAAGTTATAATATTTTGTGTCTTGAATATTTTTCAATGAGTTATTCTAATATTTTCAAAAAGTTTCATTATAAAATTATGTTAATTTATTTAACGAATAACTAATTAGTACCCTCTCATTCTAATTATATTTACTATATTTTACTCAACACATCAATGTATAATGTATTCATTTTTATTTGCTATGCATTATAACAGTCTACGTTAAAATTACATAACATAGCCTTTTAAATAGCTGACATGAAATTTACTAAAAAAAAGACAATTGTGGTGTACCAAAGTTGGTACTATTGCACATTTAAAATTATGAATATACTCTAGAGACGTTAACACCGTTAATGCTTGAACATCGGTTAGCTAAACGTTAAACAATTTTGATTTTATAAGCATGTTATTTTTCGTGATATTATTTATAATAGAGATTTAATTCAATGTATTTAAAATGTGTAACGTGAGTTTATCTAAGACATCACAACAATGATCAATTATACTCTAAGATTCTTTGTATATTTATTGTTTACCTCTAAGTTATTGTTACAAATAAAATACACGAATAATAGTATGTAATACACATTTACAATATAGCATTTGGACTATGTATGTTATAACTAATTGGTCCATAGAACGTCCTAGCGATTTATTATGATATTGTTTTATATTCTAAGACGAAATTGAACTGCATACCTATACATCAGTAAATACGAAGCAACGAATAGGTATGATATTGTTATCTGTTAAGGGCGGGTACAGTGTGTTGTAAAAAGTATATACTATGGATTCTTGCACGTATATAATTTATGGGTTGTTAGTCCGTATTTTCAACAAATCTACACTGCACGTGCACGTACAATTATCCTTTAGTTACTATAAGACTGAAGAATTTGAACTCTGATCGAAAGAACATATGCGTCATCGACATGGGTGCAGCGATATATATATAAATTGTAGTCGCTATTATTTGTCTACGTTAATAGCGTCTAATTGAGGACAACGATAGTTTTCGATGTCGAAATCATACACGTAACCACCGTTATCGGCCGCACATTTTCGAAAATAATCGATCACTTTTTGCACTTGTGCGTCGGAAACGCAAGGCCCGATACCTTGTACATAGTGTCCGGTACTGCCGTGGTAACAGAAATCGTTATCGACCATGTTCGCCGTCACTGCAGGGACAAATATTGATTCCAGGGACGCTCCGGCATTACGTTTTAGTTTGTTTTCAGTCAACGGTGTGAGGGAAGTCGGATACGAAACGTCCAATGATTTGCTGGTCTTCAACGCGATCGTTACTGCAGCATCTGGTTTTTCAGTGTTGTTTTTGTTATTTTTGTTGTTGTTGTTATCTTCGTTGATAATTCGGTCATCTGAAATTATGACGCATGACAATTGTATACACTAGGAGTCGATCAGTGGCGTATATAGGGGGGCGCCTAGTTTGCTGCAGCCCCCCCCCCCCCGAAATGTTTACAAAAAACTTAAAATTATTTTAAACGTAAGTATGTTATATTTTAATGGTGCTTTACGCTTATTTAAAATTTGCGTTCAACAACAAATCGTTTTGGGACATTCTGTAAATGAAATGTAGATAAGTACCTACTGTGTCTTGTTAATAATTCTTAGATAGCAGTGGAAATTTAACTCTCTCCATAATAGCCCCTCCCGAAAATATTTTCTATATACGCCACTGGGGTTGGTGAATGATTTCTATTGAAGTCTGAAAAATTACAATAATAAATAGGTACAGGTAAACAAATGTGTATTATACTATTTACTAGTTCTTTAACTAAAATATTTAAAAAAAAAAAAAAATTACAACATTTAATAAAATTTAACGAGGAATTTAATGCAATCAATTAAATCAAATATTAATTTTTTTTTACCAATTATTATAAAAATTAAATTGATCTATTATCGTCGGATATTTTGCTCAGTTATATTTGATTTGGTTTAATTATAATCGTTACTATTTATAAAATTGATGTATAGAAAGCGTGCAGAAAGAAATTGCTAGTACTGCGATACAAACCTACACCGTCTTTGCCATCACCGCCGAGGTCTGCGACTGGGAGTGAACAATCTAGTTTCGCTAGAAACTCGTACAGCTTACACGCAACGTCCACGTTCAAAAAGTATCCGTTGGTGGCTAAACACTTACAAAACGCTTCGCAGCACAACAACATGGTTTCTTTGAGTGACTGGAAAACAACAAATTATTAATAAAACTATGTGTATAGTAGGTATTATCTGTATAATTATTTCACCATACTAATATAGTCTGGATTCTTTGTTTGTATCTACAGTTCAAAATGTAACGTTTTAATACCTAATGTAATCTAAAGTATAATGAGTTTATAATATATGGTTAATACATCTGTTTACTGTTATTAATTAATAATATTGTTTATGTCGTTTATGATTAAAAATTGTTTTCCTTAGCGTCCATCCAAACGTTTCTCATTGCATCATTACACAATGATATACGTGTATAGAATTATCAAGTAATGGACATATGGTATGTCTGTAAGCGGCGTAGTAAACGAATCAATGTATTCATATAAGCAAACACAATTAGTTTTTTCGCGAACTTGGCTAATCGATTCAATTTATCTACCGAGTTAAGAGAAACAAGATTTATTTTTCCATAAAATAAACGAACTCGAATAATATGCAGTGTTTAAGGTTTGAAAATAATACGTTATGAATACACTAAATATTATACAATGTTCCAATTAACTATGTAATTTACCTGCCAAGGTTTTTGTTGTAGAAACATTTTAGTTATATTTTGTTAATGGGTATATAGCAATGTATTTCTAGATTCCAATAACGGATTTATAGGAATTTAAATTTAAATTAAAAAGAGGGCGAGCTACCGAGACCTATGACTAATATAGGTGAATTATTCTTTTGAAGCGAAAAATGTATTAATTAATTTAAAATCAAACAACGTAAATGATTGGAGCAATATTTCTGTTCAAAATTGTGAAGATATCTAGATAAAACATTTATCGTAGTAAAATTAATATATTTATCGCTTACGTCATATTCTAAAAAAAAAAAAAATACAATACTTAGATGATGTCGGGTGTGCCCGGGAATCCCCCCTAGGCCCTTGGCCATGGGGGGGGGTTTACCCCCAGACCTGATTGTTGCCCCCCCAACAAAAGTTAATAATATCATGACATTTAGTAGTTAGCATGAATATAGATAGTAGGTTTTTACTATCTACAGCCGTGGTAGTTAAATATAATATAATTTATTGCTTGATAATAATTTCATCGGTAGTAGAAGCACTGTTTGATATAAGAAATTATTTTTAGCAATATTTTATAGCATTTGCACTGGAAAATACGATGGCATCTGATTGATGTCTGACGACAACACCGAACAATAAATATAACATATCGAACCGATAACATTCACCATTTCATTAGATCCTAAAATTCTAAATTTGGATGTATTATTAATGGAATTCAACAAGCAAAAAGATAGAAAATTACAACTGTTTTAGTTTAAAAAAAACTGGTAAATTCAAAAAATAATATATTATAAAAATATTCAAAATGTAATTATGTTCACTTTATTCTAATTCTTATTATTTTAATTTAAAGTATCTATTATAAAAATTACAGTATTAATAAATTAAAAATAGCATTAATATTGATTTTTTTCTAATGCCCCCCTACAATTTTGTTTGCCCCACCTGAAGATTTGGCCTGGCTACGGGCCTGCCCCCCCCCCCCCCGAAATGTCTTAATAGGGCCCTACAATTTAAATCTAAAAGTAAGGATATTTTAATTGATGTTGCTCAAATTAAATGTAATCTATTGTAAAATATCTGGTAAAAATAAATGATGTTTCGTAATAGAAAAACTAAAACTAAATGTTCTAAATTTTTGTGCGAAAACTTCTTTTGTTGACATAACAGCTACAGTTGACTACAAAAGTACAAATCATAAATAATTGAAGCTATCTGAGAAGAATATACAATATTCAAGAAAAACATATTGATTAGGACTAAAATAACATACAATATCAAATAGAAAATTAAAGTTACGTTTATACAATAATTTATTAAATGTTCCTACACGTTTTGATAAGATGGAGCTCGAAAGTATGCAGGAATCCCCTGAATTGCAGATCTGCGCACGCCTATGGCTTAGTGATAAACATTTCCTAATAAAATATGTATTATTTTTGTGTAACTAGATTAAATTAATAAATAATGAATAACATTTATTTCACATTATACCATAGTAAAAAGTAATCATCTATTATAATATGATATGATCGAGTTAAATATATAAGTAAAAATATTCACAAAATAAATATATATATTTCAATTAAAGTATAATTTTTCAAATAATAATTACATTACTGAGTGAAATATTAAAACTAGATAAATCTTTTAAAATTAGTGGTTCATAAAACCGTTCGTTCAAAATCTAGAATATATTAAGTCTATTACTAAATATATTAGATCATCATGCATATAATTATTCTAGTTAATTTTTTATGTATTTTGTAAATCATTTTTATAGTGCAATGATCATAGTAAATTTATGAAATGTTCATAAATATTTTCTAAAATTAAACAATAAACTTTATGTAATATTCATTAAAAGTCTATTTTTTTGTCTTATAAAAATAAATGATGGTATTATTTCATCATTTTGAATTAATTAAAGTATAATAATGCCACCAATATAATATATATATAAAACATAAACATTGTTTATAACTTATTTTTAAATTTATAAAAAAAAAATAGTTCAACTAGAATAAAATTAATTTAATGTAATATAAATTTAATTAATAAATAATAATAATACCTCGTACTCATAAGTAAATTAATGGATATATATATATTCTTAGTTTCGTCCCTATAACTACATTAATGTATGTCATCTACTTTAAAAATATAAATTAGTATAGATTATGTACTATTATAGTAATGTGTAGTAATGTGTTATATATGCACATTATTAATTACTATAATAAGTTTTCTCAAGATAAATGAGATTGATATTTGGTTATTAGTATTGATAAATTAAAGATAATCTAATGTAGTTATTTTTAAAATATTAAAGTTTTTTAAATGTTTTTGTATACCTACTAATTAATATGTTTTCTTTTGTGTATTATATTTTATTGGTGAAAATTCAAGTGATTCTTATGATTGTTAATTAACTACCTGCGTTGAAAAAATTACTTATCTTACTTTTGTCCAATGTCCAAATGTAACACCCAAAAATTCTACCATATCCACGTGTTCAGAATTAAATTTTCCAATGCTATAAATATGTTCCAATAAAATGAAATCCAATGATAAATCTGACCATACTTCTTCTATCCTTTCTTTAGTGCCTAATGTTGTGCCTAACTGAAATTAAGTACGAATACTTAATATTGACATTGTCATGTAAAATGTAAATACTTATATAGTTTGATAATTTACTTGAAACGCTAATATTCTAAATATAGTTCGATCTGGTTTGAATGAAGTATTATTTTTGCATGTATTGATTGAAGTATATTGTTCGTCTGTGGTTTTAAAATATTCTGCAGACCAACTTAATATGTCTTCTGGTTGAGATCTGATTGCTGCTTTCACATATTTTTTTAATAATTCCGGCAAAGTATCTGGAATGATTATGGAATTCATGGTTTGAATGTAAAAAAGTTCAGAATTTTTTCTGTCAAATTTTGTTTGTGCATTTAAAACTATTGTAGTGTCTTGTATTTAAAGGTTTCGAATAGACATATATTAAACATGAACTTAAAATTGTAATAATGCTACTGAGAATAATTTGTATACTATATTTTTTTCGGAAGGGTGCAAACTATCTAAATACTTTTTACCCATACACACGCTATACTGACGTGTTTTGGTATTTGTTTCTATGGTTCTATAAGAATATCGATTTTGTTGGAAGAAAAACTTAAAAACTTTTTGTTTTCAGAAACAAACGTAAATTACTAATATTATTAATATGTAAATATATACATCAATAGGTGTATTCAAATAAACGTCTAATCTATACTATATTTATATTATAATTAATTGAATCAAGTTTCTTTTAGAAACTAGAATTTGAATGAAAACATACCTAGCAAGAAAAATATTGTGTAAAATATATGATTAAGTGTCAGATCTAATAAATAACATATACAAATTACAATTAAAAATAAACAGTTTTAACTAGATATAATCCATCAAAAATTAAAAAAATATATTTATTAAAAATTATAAGACTTGTGTAGTTCAAAATTAAAATTGTACAAAAAAAAAATTTAGAACGAGGCAAATATTACTATAGTCTTCATACACCGTTCAATAAAATATAGTATGAACGGCGTTCATATTAGTTTTATCTAATGTTTTATCTAATCGATTATAATAATGAAATAATATAATTATATTATATATTTATAAATACTCATATTTCCTAAAATCATTTATTATCAATTTTAACAAGAACAATATTCACGTTTAAAACTGTTATTTTTGACAAATGTAACCGACGTAAAAGCGGTCAGTTATTAAGATTAAATGAAAAATATTATAATATTTTTGAAAAAAATCCATCAAATTGAATAATTTTGTTACATATTTACAAATAATATTTTATGTGTACAACTGTATACTATTAAATTTGAATTTAGTGTGTTTCTATTCATTTTAGAGTAATATAATTATGTACATTTGTAACGGGTTTGATGTTTATTTATACTTTATTGTAAGTTATTTGTAAATGGTGCCGATTTAATTTTTATTATGTGGTGTAAATTGTTTTATTATTTCTTAATCCAATTTTAGTTCTTTATTATTAATTATAAGTTAATGACCAAATAACGTACTTTTAATAGTTATTTAATTTTATTTTATAATGTTCAATATTATATCAACTCATTAATTGTCTTACATTTATCTTATTCTTATAATACTTATACGGTAATTGTTTGTGATATTTAACTTAAAAGTTCATACATTTTGAACAATACAGTTGATTCCTTTAAAGTTACTTTATTTATAAATATTAGAACGGAAATGTAGCGTGTTATTATATTCTATAGATAGATATATTATTTTCCATAACGAGTTTACTATGACAATAAAATAAACAATCCATTTATTTCATATTATTTTTATAGACGTTCTAACTTTCATAATAAGTAAGGAATTGTATTACAATCGCGTGACTTGAAAAGTCGAGTCTTTTTTTTTTTACAGATTTATATGTATTTATTCAGGGGTTTACAATTGCAGAAGAATTATTATATTTGGGTATGCACAAGTTAAGCTGCAGAAAATATTTAAATTTATACATATGTATAGTGCGTATATAATATACACACGCAATTAAAATATGGTTATTTTAAAATAAGTCTTTTGTGAATTGGAAATCTGAATAAATATGAAAATTATAAGCATTCACTTTAAATCGTTGAAATAATTCAATATAAAATACTTATTAACGGATACGAAAAATGATATCTTGATCATCTTGGTTTTATTTTAATATCATAGACAATTAGCGCATGACCTCATAGGTATACACATTTAAGGTGAATATACATTAAATCGTATTTTTATATTGCGAAAATTAATGAAACCCATACACGTTGCGTTTTTCACTTTGAAACAAATGTTGAGAAACATTCGTCACGCATATACGACATTTAAGACACGATACTCCAATAAATTACGTTGTACAATATTGTCTCGTGCTTAGGTTTACTGCGACATTTCATCCACAAAACGGTTCACTAGCTACAATGTAGAATAATAGGCAAGTTATTTTAAAATTGTTTGTCATAATTTAATAGTACATTTCTATGCGTTAAAATATAATCATTACATGCACATTTAATCAGGTAATTATGAAATATTTTTAAGGCATAATATATTTATTAATTTACATTTTATTGTATTTAAACCATCATAAATTTACAATTCACAAATAACAATAAATTACAGTTTAATGGATTTTTAAGCTGAGCTTAATTTAGAGATAAAAGAATAACATTTTAATAATCAAAAAAAAAAATTTTAATTTAAACATTAAAAGAAATAAAAAAAAACAAATTATTATTTATAGATTATCAAATGTTTAAATTTAAATGCATAATATTCACAAGAAGAAATTCAAAATTTAAAATAATTTTAAGAATAACTAATAAAATATAATTTTTTTAACACTACTTTGATATAAGTGGATACATATTTTAAGCTGATATGACATTAAATCTAAATTTGTAAACCCTAAATAATAAATAAATGATTGTTCAAAAGATTTTTTCGTAAATTTAATAGGGATATTTTATATATATTTATACATTAAATTGTAGTCTATGAAATTGTTTTTTTTGTTTTCTGTTGCTGTATATTTATTTATATTAATCAATGGTGTTGAAAATTATCAATATTACATATATTTGTGACATACTTTTTCTATAAATATGATTTTAATAATATTAATTTCATAATTTTATATATATATATTTTAAATTTTAGTAAATCATCTACATATAATGTCGGAAGGAAATGATAATCCGCAAGATCCACGGCCAGAATTTTTCGGAAATTATATTATAAAAGCGTTGAAAGTGAAGTCAGAAAAATGGTTTAGATTAATGGTAACAGAGGAACAAGGTTCAAAAGTTTACAATTTTTTGGACAATCATGAATGTATTGTTCTAATCATATTTCAGGTATCAATTAAATGTTACTTATAAATTTAGAATATCAAATCGCATACTCATTAAAGTACTTTATAAATGTAAATGTTCAGTCTAATTTTGAAAAAATTACCTAAATCAAAAGATGAGAAACATTATTTTGTTAATTTAACTACTTATTTATACATTATTTTATCTTATAAAGTTCCGGTAAATTTATTTTATTTTATTAAAATAACTGCAATATGGTCAGATATTTGAGTTCGTTTCTTTAGTTTATTTGGCGCTGTTATTATTATAATTTTGAAATTAATGATGAATTGTTTTTGTGGGTAAACGATTTTTAATATAATTCTATTCAATAAAAATTAAAATTTTAGTATATTATTCAAATAGTTTTTATAAACCTATATTTTCTGAAAAATTAATATAAATTTATAATATGATATTTAATTAATGTATGTTTAGTATTCAATACCTATTATAGATATAAAATCATTATACAACTTATAGCAGTGTTTTACAACCATTATGATAAGGTGGTTATGAATGTGTTGGGTAGACAACCCTCAATAAAAAAAATAAATAAAAAAATGGTATGCTTTAATATAATAATATTACTAATAATTTTATTTTAAAGAATTTTATCGTATACTTTAATGCAGTACTGTAGAACTAAATTTTAATAAATATAACTATATTTTGATAACTGAGATATTTTTATTGATGTCACTTTATCTCAACACAATTTATAGTAATAATTATAACTAAAAAAAAAAATTAAAAAAAAAATAATAAAAATTAAGTTAATAATAATAAGAATCTTTATTATAATAATAATAATGATAACAAATATATAATGATAATAATGATATTATTATAATTAAAACTAAAAAAATATAATTAAAATAGAATAAAAGAAAAATCAGTTATGTATAATATAATGGCGGAGAATAACAGATATCGCACATAAAATAACTAGGTCACGAAGACGGCTAAAAGCAGAGAAGCGTCGTTGTCATTCGCGGCGGTTGTCTTACCGTACGCGGGCGCTTCGCGACTTATCGCTGTTTCCAAAACTTGTTCTATTAATCAATCGAACGTCCCGATTAATAATCAAACGTGTGACGATATTAAAGCAAAGGGGTATAACGGGTGAGATTGCGATATTCGTGTGACATGATTGTGTCATTGTTATTAGTTTACAAACAGCGACTCATCAAAAATATTTTGCGACCCAATGTTGGGTCGCGTTCCATAGGTTGGAAAACTTTAATTTACAGAACGTTCATTATACATTAAAAAAATATATTGTTTCATTAAAAGGATACTTCAAAATATATATATAAAAAAAAAAAAAAAATTGTACTATATAATTATGAAATAATGAGTTTGTGAAGTATGTATAGATGTACCTACCTAAATATATTAATAATTTACTTAAATACATCGTATAGCGTAAGGTTAATATATTAATATGCAATTACATTTTTAGAACATGGCAGCACAATTATTTGCAATGGATGGTTTTCCAGTTCCTTTAAAAACTAAAGCTATATATTTTGTGAAAACTGCCAAGGTTGTTGTACCCAAAGATAATCCGAGTTCAGTACTCATAATTGGAGATATGGCTAGCAAACCAATTGAACAATTGGCGACTATTGTTGATGATGTAAGTAAATGTATGCATTGAGCCTTGTATTCAGTATCTAATGTATTCCATGATATTATATAAGGAAAAACAAAATTGTAACGTTGCATAATTTAAATAATTGAAGAACTATTATTGTTATTATTTTTTATAATAACTTGATAAAATTTAAATTTATTATCATGATATTATTAATATCTTATAATTATTATCATTCTTTTCATCAGTGGCGTAAATTGGATCCAATTTCTAGTGGTGCAGAGGCATAATCTCAACTTTAAATTTCCAACACACCAATTTTCCAATTTCCTAAGTAAAACTCTTCTGAATAAACTATATATTTTCCCAACTATTTCTTTAAATAACAAATACATTTTGAATTATTTTAGCATTAAAACCTTTATTATTATAATATTAATAAAAAAAAACAATCAAATTTTGTTTTTAGTAAGCTGATTTCCTTGGCTCTTGAAAATAATATTATAGGTATACAAATTTCAATGATTTTCTGGTGGTGCAAAAACTTATCTTTGCATCACCCAGTTTACGCCACTGCTTTTCATTATTCTTTAAAATAAATTTTAAGCTGGAGGCGTAATATTTTAAAAATGTTTGCAATGTCATTACGAAAGAGTTATAAAAACTTTTGTCCTCCCAATAAAATTTTGAATCGATTTTTATGTTTGGGATATACGGCTGTGGTTTCTTTAAAAGAAAGGACAACTAAATAAGAAATTTAAAAGATTTTTAATATTTAAATTACAAATTCGTGTATTAAAATTCTGAAGGTTCTAGTGTTCTACAGGCAACTTCCCGTTCGGGACTATCAGCTGTACACCGTCCATAGACGGTGTACGCTGACCGTCCCGATTATACTGTGTAAACGCAGCAATAATAATAACCCAAATGTTCTGTAAAATGCTCTTAAATCTAATAACGAATATCAAATAGTTTTACAAACCAGAGATTCATAACAATACCAATAATTATATTTTATAAAAATAATTTTTGTTGCTATTTGGATTGTGAGTGTGTATAATGTTATTTTATTAATAACTAAGAAAAATAAAATACAAATTAATTCCTCTTCTTCTCAGAACTTAGGCTACGTTGGCAATCTGCAAGATGGTCGACTATCAGCTATTGTTTTACGTTATTTTTACGACTACATCAGTCTTTCCGTATCAACATTCCATCTATTGAGCTTATTATTTGACATTGTCACAGATTGCTTAAAATAAAAATGAAGTTAGAAAAAAAAAAAATTCAACATTTTATCAAAATTATTATATCGTAGACTGTATTGAATAGCAATTAGCAACTAGAAAGTATTACTTTTATACTAATTATATCATTTTTAGCGTAAACTAAAAATTGAGTTAGTACAAAAAAAAATTTTTTTAGTGTGACAGTTTCATTTTAAATTAATATAACTTTTTTTATATAGAAATAATATTCCCGAGTATTCAGCCATTGGTATTAAAACAATACACAGATGGGTGAACAATTATTTTAGTCACCGATAAAAAAAATATTGATTTTATATAATAGATTCTTCGTTGAAAATGAATATAGAAAATCGAGACGAGTGGAGGTTTAGGACAAGGGTGGCCGATCCCTTTTCGGAAGAAAGATGAAGGAGAAGAAAAAGGATAATAGATTCTTTGTTCCACTTTGAATATATTAGTTATACATTGACATATTTTTATTTGATCTCTGAACATGAACAAATGTTTTATTTTTAAAATAATTACATTTTTTATATAAAATATTTTATATTTCAACGAGTGCGTAAAAAAAGAAGGTTTTTATGGGTTCAACCCCTTGTCCCCAAAATTCAGAAAAATTATGAAATTTATTTTTATAAAGTAAAAGTGGTATCTATATAAATTATATAAGTATGAACATTTACAACTTAAACCACCTCCCAAATAATTTTTTATGTACGCGCCTATATTTCAATACATAATTTAATATAATTTCATATATTTTACAGATCTAGTACATATTATAAATTTTAGTGATGGCATTGATGATAATATACGCAGATTAAACAAATGCTATCATACTATTAAAATTCGTAGCGCCTTCGTGGATTTAGTCTTTAGCTAATCACTTTAGCTACGTCACTGTAATCGTGTACATTTGACATCCAACTTGATCAGAACAAGTTGTCATCAGTAGAAACAACAATTGAACATATCGTTTCTTCAATTGTTAACGGTTAATTGAAAACCGGTTTTAATAAAGTTGAATTCTAACGATAGCATTGATATGTAATGCTTTTATTTTTAATAAAACGATGGTTTATTTGTGTATTTTAAAATCAATGTCGTTGTTGAGAATTGAAAATATTTATTAGTTTTGTATAATTGTAGGAAATCATTAATAAAATTGGAATATATAAAAAATGTAGTTGTATAAAAAAAAACATCATTTGATCGTGTTTAGAGATAAAAAAAAAATGTCATTGTAAGACAGAATATATTCGGAGCAGAACGAAGAATCTATTATATAAAATTAATAACTTTTTAACGGTGACTAAAATATACATCAAGTCTTGGAATAACCGTGTCCAAAGATAGTATATCCCAGTTAAGTAGAATAGTTGTTCATATATGTGTTAGAATTGAACTCGATAAAGTAAATGAATTATAAATTGTATGGTATTTTCTGAGTTTTTCGGAAAAAGGCATAAGCAGAAATTTAGTGTAATTAGTAAGGGGACTAAGCATTATTTGCTTATACACCTATAGGTACCCCTGTACGCAATTATTTATTTCAACAAAGCAATTTACAAAGTTTGATAATTTAACATACTTAACAATTTAACCAAAAAATCAATTAAGTGCCTTATATTAAACGTTTTTGGAGTAGGTATTCTAAACAGAAATTATTAATTAAACAACTAATGCGGGTATTATTACATATTATTAATATTACATTACCTACGATCATTCCAAGTTATGACAATAAGTTGGTAAAATATTACGAATTTGATTTAATTTTTATCACAGAATATATTTTTTTTAATTCAGTTATTGAAAATGCATTTTACAACTAAAATAATTATTGTATTTTTAGTCTCTTAACAATTTTTAGGGCTAGGAAGGCTAAGACCTGTACTTTTCATTTTTGGGGGGCTTAGTCCCCTCAAGCCTCTCCCCCGATTTCCGCCTATGGAGAAATGAGTTTACGATTTCATTGGGCTGGAAAAACGCCGCGTACGCACAATATTGGTGGAAATGAGGCAGTTAGTAATAATATCGGCTAAACGTCTCACAAATTTAACTCGTTCGATTACGATCAATTTGTTCAAATTTGATCAATTGTTCGCGGCGTGTTATAATTTTCCGTTTACCCGTCACCGCGACTGCGTCCGTACTGGTCGCCCCGCGCGGAGCACACATAATGTATTAAATATACGTCGAAAGTGATAGGGGGAAATAAAACGCTATCGGAGAGCGACAGCATGTTGTGTGCGACATACACAACAGAAATACGTGCGCACGTCGAATAGTAAACGTATGGTAAACGCGGGCCTGCGGCCTTGTCCCGGTCAGGTCGGCCCGTGCGCGCGTTCGTTTTCCGACGATCGGTTTGCCGCACGCGGCACTGATATCACACGATGACAATTCCAATTATTAGCCGTTTTGTACGCATTGTACAGCTCTGTGGGGCCATCCGCTTACGTTTTTGATAAACGTAGCGCGTACTCGCGCCTCCGATGATGAATTTTAAGTGGCGTACGAGTAACACATGTCACGCGTTTAGCCATTGAAAAACGCAAGATTAGCTTATCGCAACGTTGACATTGAACGCTGAACGCGTGCGTATATTAACATAATGCGTGTACGGCCGGTTCATTTATATTTCTAACAATGGCTGATTAATACAATAATATCGTGTTCGCAACCAGAGCCTAAAATAGTGTGTACCCTGACACATGGTGTGTACTCTGAAAATTAAAGTGTGCAGTCTGAATGAAAAATGTGTGTACCAAGTTTTTACACTAGCGACTACAATAAGAAATTATTGATGAAATAACAATGATATAATAACTGTAATATAAAATACCTATGTTTTCCCTATCCCTTATCAGCTATCTCAATTCATACTTATAATAGTTATGGAATATCTCACAGAGTAATAAAACTATTAATATCTATTAATAGCACAGCTGAATTCATTCAACTGCCTATTATATTATTATATTCTATGCAGTGACGGTGCTAGAGTTTGCGAGGCTCTGGGCAAAATAAATGTTGAGTCTTATAATTTATATTAATAAAATATTTTAAGTTTAGTTAAATCAGAATCGCGGGGCTTTAATTATAATTTAAGGCGCGGGGCCCTGGGAAACTGCCCCTATTCTCCACTCCCTCGCGCCGTCCCTGATTCTATGGTAAAATCATAGAACGCGTGTTTGATAGCAATTTATACGATAAAAATCCCATAACAAAAACAAATAGATTTTATTTTGTCATGAATCATGGGTACTAAAAAAAATGTGTACCCTGAAATTGGATATATTTTAGGCCCTGTCGCAACCACTCGAATCTCTACGACGCATTTACAAGACGTCCCATTGTACGCAGACGGTTTGTCACGTGCGACCAGTGATCAACGCGTGCTCGTGCTCACAAACGAAACGCATTAGTATTTGTTGTTCGTAGAGAACTTTAACGTGTACGATAACTACATAGCACTCGAGACAATGGAAAATGGGAAACGTTGGGACGGTGCAGCATGGTTGTAAATTCTAAAAACCGAAACGGATAACTTCCTGGTTTAATCATGTGAATAATCCTCAGTGACGCTGCTATATTGAATACGTTCTCTCGTTGTAACGATGAAAACACATTTCGATATGAATGTTTACATTTGTTTGCTATATGTTACTAATTTACTACCCGGTTGAAAACACGTGTTTGGCTGACATATTATCATTGATTTTATTATATACAGATGCACCATGCTATTTTTAAAATTATTCAGGTGGACGCAGTACCGGATTACCCATTAGGCGGATTAGGCGCCCACCTTAGGGCCTCGCTTATTCGAGGGCCCTGTGAAAACGAAAAACTATATTATTTATACCTGTATTTTATTTACGAATTTACGAGGCAAAAGTCATTATGAAATATAGTATATATTAAGTTGTAGTTGTTGTATGCAGTAATAATAATAAAATAGAAATAATATAATGATTAATTAATTTTTCTATTAGTACTATTAATACATTTTTACAACTAACTTATACGGCAATAAATTGTATGAAATGTTATCATATATTAATATATATAATATATGTTATTATTATAAACTTGTTTAGTTAAGAGCTTGCTGAAGGGCAATTTTCAAACAATCAAATAATCATAAGGCTCACTTTTCCTCATTACCTATTACATGTCTTAAAACTTAAAATTAACAAATATTTTAATAATCAATTTAAATGAATATCCTCTAAAAATGTTTATTCTTGTTTCTTTCAATGTATTGCTATCAATTATGTAATCAATTATTTTAATAAGATTTTAATAAGATTGTGATTATTTAAGTTTGAAACTGTCATTAAATAAAATATTAATTCGAGTAACTAAGATTTACTAAAATAAAACCTATTCACAATAAATTGTATTCCTGTCATTCTGTAAACGATTAAAAATTTCTGTGAAATAATTAATAAAAATATTTTAAAGAAAAACAGTTTGTTTGATAAAAACCATAATTTGCATGCTGCAAAATGACCCTAAAATTAATTTTAAGCATTATTAAATGATAAAATTATATATTTAAATATTGAATGTATATAATTTTAATTATTTATAGATATTTGTTCCCTTGCTTGCAAATCCAGAAAACCACAAAAACTGGGCCACTGTTGTTTCGTTAGATGTTAAAGAACATGTACACAGTCTAAAAAGTACTGTTTATCAAGTTAAAGGCCAAATAAATGGACAAACTATTTTGCCAATGCCTGTTGGTGTAGAACGTTTAGAAAATATTGAAAAGACAGTTAAGGAAAGGTATATTATAATTTTAAAATATTAGAATATGTTCATAGTGTAAGCGTTATAAATTTAGTTAAATTTATTTTTATATTTTATTATGTATTTCAAATCTTGTTCAATCATTTCTTGGCAATCTTTCATCGTGTGTTCAGTTTGTCACGTACCATATGGTATATAGTAGATTAATTTATCTAGAAACGATAATAAACACAAAAATATGTTCTTGCTCTGGAAATTATCTACTCAGAATTACAATTTAATTTTTGTTATAACACCGTTTATTTATTTAAAAAATATTATTAAGTTTTTTTTTTTAAAAACCTATTTTTAATGCTTTTTAAGCTTTTTTTTTTTAAAGATTTATTCCGCTTTATTGCTTTTTCTTGAGCGCTTTTCTTTAGTTTTTATTGCTTTAAAAACGTATTCTATGTATACCTAACTATTAAGTATGGTTTTATATTTATTTCCATTTGAAAATTCAACATGAAAAATAGATATCCTAATACTTATGTTTATTTAAACTTTTTAAAAATTAAATAATTTAGTATCTATCAAGCCTGGTTACCGAGTTACCGAATTAATAAGTTAAAAGTTAAGTTAATTCAACTTATTAACTTAACTTATTTATTAACTCAACTCATTTCCTTACAAATTAAATTGAAATCAACGTATTATTTCTTCATTTATCTCAATTAAGTTAATTTTGATCTTCAAGACCAGAAAAATATTTTTGTAAAATACCGCATTCGATAACAAGTTCATGGAATTTAGAAAAATATAAAAATAAAAATGTCGAAGAATTTTTAGACGTGACCATAATATTTATTCCGGTATTAAATATTAATTGGGGTCCCATAGGTCCTAGAAAAGTACTCAACCTTCTTCAGACTATTGAGTAAAAATAGCCATACCACCCTTGAATTACATTCCATTGTCATAAAAAGTGGCGGTAAATCTATGTTATAAAAATAGTTGTATATTATCATTGACTAAATAATTCTTAATAATAAATGTACACTATTATTATTATTAGAATTATTCCATAATATATGACATTATTAAATAAGATTGATATTAATAAATATTATTGAATAAGAGAAGAAATGTAATAGCTGATCATCATTTTGAGATAATTCTTTTATTGAGATTCAATAAGTTTTTTGATTAACCTGTCCATTGTATTGCTTTATTTATTTAGATTTTAATAAAATTAAATAATATTATATTTATTTTAATATTTTGTATCAACTGTATACATTTATCGTCTGTATAATTGTATAGTTACACTTTCAGTTGCAGTAATTATTTTTAGTTTCCATACTGTTATTGAATGTTAAAAAGAATACTTTTTTAAAATTATATTTGTTATATGTGATTTGTATGCAAAATGAATAAAAACAAACGATACATAAATTACCTCAAATTTGACATTTGAGTGTTTAAAAACAATCCCAATAAAGGAATGTATATTTTTCTATTCTAATTAGAATCTAATAAGATTTTCTGCATTTTCATTATCGTTAATGTTAAATAAAATCTATTGTTGTAAATTGTTAATATATATTTATCACTTATATCATTGCTTAATTTAAAAACTTATTTTTTTGTAATTAACTTAACTTATTGATTTTAAGTTAAGTTAATGATAATCATTAATGGTCATCATAATTTGTTAGCATGGCTAAATATTAATTTTGTGAATTCAGTCTAAAATAATTGTTGTATTATGTGTTTTTAAATGTTTTTTAACATTTAATTACATCAAATTAATATATTATTAGGAATACAGTAATTTTATGTTACTAATAGTTTAAGGTTAGCAATATATGAAAAATTGAGGTTAGAATATTTCTAATTATTATAATTGCACGCTAACAGTGAAATTTGTGAAAATAATACATATTTGTTGTATTAGGTATTATAAACTGTTGTAAATAGATGAATTATATTGTAGCTTTATTAAATAAACTATAGAACTATGGGATGAACATAAATTAAGTCTTAATATTTTGATACTTAAATACTTTTGGCATTTTTGTCTATAGATTAATATACACTATAAAAAAAAAAAAAAAAAATTATTTATAATATGAAAACTTCAGTTATACTATTTGTAAATTTATAAAAGAATAAAAATGATAAATATAAATATTAAGTAGGTATATTTGACATTATAACATTTTGTTAATTCGATTACATTTGGAGATTTTTATAGGCACAAGAAAAATAATGTAGTTTAAAAATGTATGTTTATTATAATATAATTGTCATATGTTGAAACTGATATAGAAATATTTTAATATTTATAGCGATGGAAAAATAGTTGATTTACATTTTAAATCGGCTGTTGAGGGAGTTATAATAAAATGGGCAACGCAAATAATGGAAGTATTAAGTACAGACTCTGTGTCAGCGTTTAAGAATAATCAACACTTAACTCCGTGGGCTGGTAATTTAAATTATACATTAAAATTAAATTTATTTTCTTGAAATATTAGTATGTTGATAAACGCTATTTTGAACAATGTAACATAAAAAAAAAAAAAAACCATTCGATCGTTTACATAGACGTCCACCGGTACTTATTAAAATACGATAAAATGCATATTTTTTTTTAACATTTTTTAGAAGTGGCATTCTGGAATAACCGGGTACAAAATCTTGAATATATTTTTGAACAATTAAGAGATCAGCGGATAGTGAAGATGACTACAATCGTTAAAATGACTAATAGCGCTTATTATCCATGTTTAAAGAATATTTATGCAAATGTAGTTTCTGGTAGGCATTTGACAGTTAATTGTGTAACTAAAGATTATAATGTAAATTTCATTTTTTGACTTAATAGCTCTGGAAGAAGCGAAAGATATTGTTCATTATTTAAAGCCATTGCAAAAACATTTTAAATTATTGGAAGAAACTGATTTCGGTGAAATAGCTTTATGCTTAAAACCGTTGATGCATGTCGTATGCTTAGTCTGGTCCAACTCTAAATTTTATTGCAGTTCTGGCAAGATAATTATTCTTTTAAAACAGATATGTAATTTATTAATAACACAGGTTAGCATAAAGTTATCAAAGCTTATAAATATACGAGTATACTTAAAAACTTAATTTTATATATTTTATATAGTAAAAAGCTAAATATTCTAGATTTTGCTGTGTCAGTAAGTTAGTTCTAATTTGGACATAGAATAATTTAAAATGCTTAATAACATGCTTGTTTCTATTATACAAATCAATAGATCTTGCGTAAATTTCATTGAATTAAGTGAACTTGATTAATTTTTAAAACAATTTTAAATAAAATAAACTATACAGTGACAATTTACCTTATAGTGTAACAATAATGAGTATTAAATACTGATTACTGATGTCATTACAGGCCGTTCGATATTTGGATCCATCATCAATATTTCAAAGTGACATTCATGAAACTAAATTTAGAGTTCGGCATTGCATAACAATTTTTGAAAATTTTAGGTATCGAAACAAATGTATTTTTATGAAATAAATGGCACGATAAAATTAAAAGATAAAATGCGATTCATTCTTAAATATTCGAATTATTGACACAAACATTTAATACTGGGTAAATGTCTTATTTCAGAAATATATTCAATGATTATCGTCAAAATTTACATACGTATTTCGAAAATAAATCAACTCCACTTTTGTGGACTTTTCATCCGAATATTATTTTTACTCGTACTGACTTGTTCATTAGAAGATTACAGATCATTGAAGTATGACATTATAGTATAACAAAATTAATATTGTAATTTTATTAGTTATTATTATTACGATTTTTAGTGGTTTTTTGATACGGTTGTTGAATTTACGAAGCTCGAAAGGATTGAATTTAGTGGCCTAAAAGGTCGAATACTCAGTTCTCGTATAACTGAAATATATTCAGATTTCAACGAACAGTTTTCGTTATTTTCAAGTAAAGCTTACGACGTTCTCGAACCAGAAGATGAGCGCTTTGAAGTAGATTACGAACAATTTAAGGAAAGCATAAAGGATCTGGACCATCGGTTAGCATTTACGTTGAGTCAGGCATTCGATGATTGTTCAAATTTAGATGGTGTTTTCAAGGTCAGTAAGTTTTATAAACATTTTAAAACCTAAATTGTTAAAATAAAATTAATTTAATATAGTACTAATAAAATAAAATAAGTTTAAATATGTCCGAAAACTAATACTGATCAATAATTTATTAAGAAAATGGTTATAATTTAAAAGTGCTCTTTAAATATCTATTAGTATTATTATATAAGGTATACATTTAATTTTATACTTCTAGTGTAGACTTTATAAATTGTATATATGTATGTAAAACGTACTGTTAAGAAATATATATCTATATATATATATAAATATATACTACTTTTATATATACGTTTAAAATAATATTTTTAGAAAAATAGGTACTTAATAAAAATATATATAATTTTTCATTTGTTTATAATATAGTTTATCGAGATTGTTGGGTTTGTAATGGATCGCTCTGGTATAAAAGACATGTTTGCAAATAGCTATGGTAGAATTTTAAATATGTTGTCAAACGAAGTTGCAATTTGTAAAGTTCGTAAAGATATTTGTTATAATTTGGAATATTTAATGATAAATATTGATATTTTTTCATAGAATTTGTTTGAAAGTCAACAGATAGCTATTAAAATGCATGGTGTAGCGGATATAGATGATCTTATGCCTCCAATAGCAGGTTTTTTAAAATGGTCAAAATCTCTTAAAGCTAGAGTTGAACATCCAATACAATGTTTTAAAAGTTTAGATCACCCGTAAGATATTATTTCATTCATATTGATTTGAAATTAATAAAATTATTTTTAGAATTATCAAGTCTAAAAAGGCCCAGTTTGTTATAAAAGAGGTGGATGATATGATTATTTCATTAAATAAACTTGAAATTGATTTAATTGAAAACTGGAAAGTCAATGTAGCAAAAAAATGCGAAGAACTATTAGAGTTGTCGTTATTTACTCGTAAATCTAAGTGTAATGAATTACAGCTTAATTTCCATCCAGAGGTAAATCAAATTATTTAATCATTAAACGTGTTACGAAATTGTCTTATATTTTTAGTTAGTTGCTATACTAAGAGAAGTCCATTATTTTCGTTCATATGAGCTAAATGATATACCTATTGAAGCATTACATTTTCACGAAAGAGAAGATACATTTCGAATATATTGTATTAATCTTAATAACACAAAAGAATAGTAAGCTGTCAATCGCTGTATAATTAGAATATGTGAAGTAATTATTAATTTTTTTTTAACGCAATTGATTAGTTACAACAAATTAAGAAATAATAGCCGAGAAATCGAGTTTCAGTTGGTCCAAGAAGAGATTGAACAAATCGACGAATTGATTAAAAAAGGCGAATATTCTTTAAATTGGAATTCCGAAGGTGTAGTAATCATATTCGAATATTAAAAAAAATAATAGTATAATTCATTTTAATGTCTGAATTAAGGTCTGAATGAATATATTGGAAGTGTTCAAGACCTTGTATATAAGTTATACCGTAGAGTGCAAAAAACCCAAGAAAATATAAAACGAATGCGATCATCAATATCCTCGTGGGCTAGACTACCCGTATTATGTCGAAAAGACAATAAAAAGGATACACTTTTGGCAATGGACGATCGTACAGAACGATTTACTAAAAGGTGTTATTATTACACAATAGTTTATTAGCATTTATTTTATATTTAATTTAATTTTAAAATACGTTTTAAATTAATTATCAGAATATTGTATATGTAATTATAATAATAATAATAATGTCTTAAAGTAATATTAAAATATTTGATAAATTAAATAGTATTATTTTACTAAACATATCGTGGTTGAGTTATGAACAGTGTTGGGAATAGATAATGCAAAATGTATCTAGATAAAGATGAAAGATAATATGTTCAAATTCGTCTAGATAAAGATAAAAGATAATTTCATTTTTATCTAGATAAAAAAAAAGATATTTTCAAAATTTTTATTTTTTGGTCAATATTTCATATTTGTAATAATATTTATGAAGACTCAATTATAATTATTATTATCAATAGGTACCTAGGTGTTTAATGTTTATTGTAGTAATATAGTAATATACAATAGTTAATGCTAGTTAATCACTAAAATGTTATACAAAAAAAAATCAGGATGAATACAGAATACATAAGAAATTATTTTAAGTTAACATTATTGTTTTCCATATAATCTTAATTTGATGATTTTCATTATTCTATAAGTAGTTACAACTTTACGGGTTTCAAAAGTATTGACTATCCAGCGTATGAGTTACATGTGTATACTAAAATCAAATACCTACTATATTTGGAATTTCCATGGAAAATAAGAAATTAAGTTTAAAAATACCAAAAATATTTTCCCGACATAAAAGAAAGTGGGGTTAGTTACAGAATTTATAATTCAAGAACGGCTGGACCGAATTTTATGATCTCTGATTTGTTAGATTCGTTTCCGTACAAGAATAAAAGTAACTATAATCTTGGCAAGAATACAGACAATTATCTAGATAAGTAAAAATTTTATCTTAGATAAGTAATTAGATAAATTAGCGTTATTTATCTAGATAAGATAAGAGATGACAAAAAATCTATCTAGATAAGTCCCAACACTGACTATGAATGTACATAACTTTTAATTTACATGAATGTTATTAAATGAGTCATCTTGTTCACGAATTGTTTATGCCAATGGAAGATCTATATAATATGGTACATAATAGCATTGATTATAAATATTATTTAATAGTAAATAGTATAATAATAGTATATAGCAGGGGTTCTTAACCGGTGGTCCATGGACCCCTAGGGGGTCCGTACATGGTTACTAGGGGGTCCATGGACTGATTTGCATTTTTTGTTTTTTTTTTAAAAAATACCCAAAATTAAATTTATGCAAGAGTTATTCAAATTATTAAATGAATCAAGATTGTCGGTTGAAGTAGAAATTATTTTATTTATTTTATACATTTTAAATTTCAACCGTAAACTATTTAATTTTTCTTATCGATGTACAATATATTGGTACAATTTCTGAAAACGCGAATAAGATAACAAAAACAATGTCTTGCTCGTGTTCCTCCTATCGATAGACAATCACGGGGTAAACCAGTCATTATTTCGTATTTAACTAATGTCAATTACGGAAACCCATCACTTATCAGTTGACCCGTAACCGTCGTATTGAACGTTGTGCCATTTAATTTTATTACGTGTTTTGAGTGTTCCGACTTTTACCGCGTTATATTATTACATTTTGCCGACATATTATAATATTCACTTTAATTTCCACAATTATTTATTTTATTTTTTTGATAATTCAACAATATGTCCATGTCAAAAAAAAGAAATTATAACAATTCATATGAATTGTTTGGTTTTACATTTATTACTGAACACGATGGTAAACAAAAACCACAATGTTTTATTTGCGGAAAAGTCCAAGCAAATGGAAGCATGAAACCTGCTAAACTCAAAGAACATTTGGTTTCGTTGCATCCTCAACATGTGTCAGATAATTCGGAAGTCTTTCGAACAAAAAAGGCACGTTTTGAAAAATCAGGTACTTTACCTCAACTTGGATTTGTACCACCACAGAAACCATGTCTCGAGGCATCTTATAAAGTAGCGTACCGCATTGCTCAAAATAAAAAACCGCATACAATTGGTGAATCACTAATAAAACCATGTGCATTAGAAATGGTAGAACTAGTTTGTGGTTTGGAACAACGAAAAAAAATTGAGGCTATACCTTTGTCAAATGATACTATTCACTCCAGGATCTCTGACATGTCAACTAACATTTTGGAACAAGTAATTGCGGAATTAAATTTATCTCCTTTTCCATTCAGTATACAATTGGACGAAAGTACTGACATCTCTCAATGCAGCCAATTATTAGTTTTTGTTCGTTACATATATTCTGGAACTAGTAAAAAGAATTCTTATTTTGTCAACCACTTTTGAAAAATACAAAGGCCGTTGATGTATATGAAATGATAACTAATTTTTTTTCCAAACATAAACTAAATTATAAAAAAAAACTTGGTTCACTGTTCACCGATGGCGCTCCTGCGATGCTGGGTAAAACGTCTGGTTTCACGGCTTTGATAAAGAAGGAAATTCCTGACATCATCATTATTCATTGCTTTCTTCATAGGCACGCTTTGGCATCAAAAACTCTACCAATGGATCTAAAAGAAATTATGACGACTGCAGTCAAAGTAGTTAATTTCATCAGATCTAGAGCTTTACATCACCGACTTTTCAAGGTTTTATGTCAAGAAATGGGAGCTGAACATGAAGTTCTTCTTTACTACACAGAAGTACGTTGGCTTTCTAGAGGACAAGTTATGAAACGTTTGTATGAATTTCGCGAAGAAATTTCTTATTTTTTAATAGAAAGGCAAAGCTCACTTTCCAAATTTTTCGATAATATTGAATTCATTCATGGACTAGCTTATTTGTCAGATATTTTTAGTCATTTGAATGAGGTTAATACATCGATTCAAGGACGAGAAGTTTCAATTATGAATGCAGCCGAAACAATAAGTTCATTTGTAAATAAAATTCCTCTGTGGAAAAGAAGATTGCAGTCGGATAATTTAGTAAACTTTCCAACAATTGAACACGAACTTTCAAAAAAAAATATTATTTTGTCCAGCTCCATAAAAACACAAATTTGTGAACATCTTGATAAACTTGAAAATTCATTTAACGATTATTTTATTTCTACATATTCAAAAACAGACATATGGTTACGTAATCCTTTTGTTGTGGACATAAATTCAATTGATGATTCAGACCTGGTAAAATATGAATTAATTGATTTAAGATCGAAAGAAATGGCACGTCAAGATTTTCAAACCAAAAATTTAATTGAATTTTGGTGTACATTGACACAGGCTTATCCTCGAGCTGTATCTAGGTCAATGCAATTTTTGATTCCGTTTGCCACTACATATCTCTGCGAGTCTGGATTTTCTTCTATGGTCACAATCAAAACAAAATCACGAAACCGATTGGACATCGAAGATGATATGCGTGTTACCCTGTCCAATACAGTCCCAGATTTCAAGAAAATAATGCTATCAAAACAACAACAAACCTCACACTAAAAATCTCTCTTATGTATCCACTATATCAGTAACTGCGTACGTATGTAACTAAAGTTAACTAAAGTTTTTGTATTATCATTAAAAATTTTTAAAATGAAAAACTTAATAGTTTTTGTTTTAGGGACGGGGGGGGTCCGTGGTTATAATTTTTACTTGTAAGGGGTCTATGGCCCTAAAAAGGTTAAGAACCCCTGGTATATAGTGTATTTTAATTTCCTAATATCAGATAAAATAAAAATTTTGGACCCCCCCCCTCATAAAAATTCCTGGGTACGCTCCTGCCTCTATGTATGCAGTTTTAAATTATATTTAAACTAAATATCATCAAATAATAAAATAAAACGAAAATTAATAAATAATTAATACTCGTAAAATATAATAATACTCCAGAATAAGATATTATATTAAGATATAAATTCTGTGATAGCGTTTTTCTTATAATATATTAGTTAGATTTTTTTTTTACTACAGATAGTTTTTCTGTAGTACGAATTGAACTTTATTTAAATGCTTTTTTAAATTTTATAATTACAAAAATAAATATAAAACATTCATTGATTGTATAGGTGTTTTATTTTTTATGTAACATTAAATAGTTCTTCGTTTTTTTTATTTCTTATTGTTTAAAAATGGTCGTCATATTTTCAGTTGATCATTCTATAGTAATAAAATTTCCATGTTCTACGGTTTTTATATAATAGTTTCTCGAGTTTTCCTTATTATGTCCGTCATATTGAGTATATATAGTGTTGTGGCAAAATAAATAATCTTATTCTGTCTTCAGTTTATTTAATACTTTTTTTTTATTATTATTTGTAGTAGTATAGTTTAAATTTATGTTAGCTATTGTCTTAAATTTAATCAATTTTAAATTATAAAAATATTTATCTTTCTAACTATCTAACCACTTGATAGTGCGAAGTATGTGAAATTACTCATACTAACCGATGTAGTTTATACTGAACAGGCGAAAAGAAATCGAAAAAGCTGCTGCGGATATTCATAAACTTCTTCAAGAGAATTGTGTTTTATTTGGTATGCAGGATCAAACAAATGTTGAGCAGTGGCAAAATTATGTGACTTTTATCGATTCTATTGTCGCAGATGCATTACTTAATGCTATAGGATGCAGGTGGAATTATAGTTTATATAAACTTTTGTGTATGTATATTAATTGTAACTGTAATTATTTTGATATTTCTAGCTTATGTTACATATCAGAGAACATGATTCCTAGTGTATCGACTGCTCCACTACTCGAAGCTTGTCTTGAATTACATGAACCTGATTTAGTTTTTACGCCTTCATTAGATTCAAACGTCGAAGGGAATTTTTGTTCAATTATTCAAGGGGTAATCGAAGAAATAATTGAACTTTCTAAGCTAATGCCACGGATAAGTGATAAAAATGGGGCTAACGATTACTATGTAAGCTAAAAAAATTTTTCTTTGACTATTTAATAATGTTGATCGATACACTAGGACGAAATGAATTCCAATCCAGATATTTGTGATATGAAAGAAGATATTATGAATACGGTAACTCGGGTGATAGCAGAGGTGATTTTTATTTGAAGTACTTGAATTCCATTAAATAATTATTTTTAACTTATTATCGGTCTTATGTTTAGGCAAACAATTATTGTATACATTTTGAGAACTATTCTTATTTGTGGTTGGATGATCGAGAACTATATATGCAACATTTCTTACGATACGGACATCCACTCTCAATAGAAGAATATGAAAATATGTCATTAGATGACACGTATGCACCTCCTATTATGAGCCCTACCATGGATCAGTTTAAAGAGCAGGTAGGTACTTATGCACTTACCTTGACCAATGAAAAAGTAATTTTCACGATTTTTTTTTTTTTATCAGATTGACAATTTTGAAAGTCTTTATTGTGAAATTGAACAATTAAAATCAGTCCAAGTATTCGATTCGTGGTTTCAAGTAGACATGAGACCTTTTAAACAAGCATTATTGAATACTGTTTGCAAATGGAGTCATATGTTTAAACAGCATTTAATGGACAACGTAACTAATAGGTATAAATTCGTATAAAATAAGTAATTTTTAGTTGAAATAAATTTTAATTCTCTCTTAATGCATAATTCTAATGAAATATTTATTTACCAGTAAAATATTATCTTAATGGCTTAAAAATAAAATAAATAAGTTTTGAAAAAAATTCAAATGATTAACATATATCATTAAATACATTAAAAAATATGTTACTGAATTAATTTAATTAATTTATATATTTTTAAATATCAAAAAATTAAATAATTTTACACTAACACCTTTTAATTTGGTTCAATTTGATCAGTCTTTTTGATTTGGCTAAGTTCATACAAGATGCAGATGGAGGTTTAATGCAACCAGTAGTAGAGGGTGATTATGAAGTTCTTGTCAGTGTTATGGGCTATTTATATAATGTAAAAGAGAGACAAGCTACTACAGATGAAATGTTTCAACCATTAACAGATACAATACAATTATTGAAATATTATGACATGGAACTTTCAGAAGAAGTCAACGTTTTGTTACAGGTTTTGAACGAATTAATAAATTATTTAGAATTATAAATAATATTTCATTCCGAACATTTATTTTTAGGAACTTCCTGAACTTTGGAACAACACTTGTAAATTGGCAATTAATATCAAACAACAAGTAGCTCCTTTACAAGCAATTGAAGTAAATAATATACGAAACAGAATTTTACATTTTGACAGTAGAATTAATTATTTTAGAGAAATTTTCAAAAAAGATAAAATATTTAGGTATTAACCGATCTCTGTAAGTGTTTGTTATAGAATTGAATTATAATTTTATTGATGGGGTTTTAGATATGATTGTCCATGTCCATATTTTGTATTAAATGATGCCAACTCTAAGATAATGTATTTTGAGATGAGTATGGCTCAAATACAAGAGTCAGCCTCATTATTTGAAGTAAATGTCCCGGAATTTAAACTTCTTAAACAGTGCAGAAAAGAGTTAAAGTTGTTGAAAGTTCGTATTGTGATTTTATTTTAAAATATTATTATTATTATTGAAATTCTTTAAAATTATTTTAGCAACTATGGGACTATATTCATTTAGTTCATTCATGTATAAATGATTGGAAAACCACACCTTGGCGTAAGGTGGATGTTGAAAATATGGATATTGAATGTAAAAAGTTTGCAAAAGAAATCAGAGGTTTGTTGATCAACAAGAATGAGTACATTCACGTATTACTAAACTGTTTATTAAATTATTTTAAATATATTTTTTCGAAGTACAAAAGTATTTCAAGACTAGAGTAGATACGTGAACTAGAAAAAAAAAATTATATTTTTGCAATGTAAGTAAATGAAAATGTATTAATGTTATAGCGCTAGACAAAGAAATGAGGTCATGGGATACTTATACGTGTTTAGAAGCTACTGTTAAGAATATGGTAACTTCTCTAAGAGCTGTTGGTGAATTACAAAATCCAGCAATCCGTGAGCGTCACTGGAAACAGCTTATGAGTTCAACAAAAGTAAGCTACAATTATTTTTCGTCGTTAATTCCTTAATTTTACAAATCAATACAAAAAAATGTTTACAGACTTTAGCTGATTTACCTGAAGAGTATGATGTGAGTAAATAATTGAAACATGAAATGTTCATGTTGCTTGTTGTATTTGTCCTTTTTGTGTGTCTGTATGCATTGTGTATCGTCCTATTATTTGCATTGTATTGTCTAGGAGTCACTTGTGGCCTAGAACTGCAACAATGTTAAGGCATATACGTATATGAACATTATACACAATATAAATATATATTTTAAATATAACGCATATGCCTCAACATTATAAATGTATTAATATTGTTTTAAAATAAATGTAATGAAACTAACACTTGTACTTTAAATATGTATTGTATACTATATCATCAATAAAAAAATATTCATGTGTAGTTAAAATAGATTATAAATAAATTGAGAAGTTATTCAAATTGAAGCATTTGCGTTTTAGGTGAAGTTTGTTATGGATCAAGGAACAACTTTAGCCGAATTGTTAGCGTTAAACTTGCATGAATGCGAAGATGATGTTAAAACTATTGTGGATAAAGCAGTAAAAGAAATGTCTATGGAAAAAATGCTACGTGAACTCCAAACTACTTGGGCTGCAATGGAATTTTATCAAGAAACGCATAACCGTACAGGATGCAGTCTTTTAAGAGCAAGTGAAAAATTAATTGAAACTCTTGAAGAAAACCAAGTAAGTCAATTTGCTATGTTAAATGGTAGGTGGTTTTCTTTCAAATTAATATTAACTAAATAATGATCATTTTTTAAAATATATATTATTTTAATATTTATAATTTTGATTAAGAATAACATTAGTAATTATGGTATATACATTATATGTACATTTCTGTTATAATTAATTAAACCGCTTTTTATTTTCAAATAAAAAAATTAATTATAATTTTTAGTAAGTGTTTATTCGTAAATTTAAATGTCAAACGTACATTTCTTAATATCATTAGTTAGAGTAATAATTTTACTGTCGAGTTATCAAATGCGTGGTAAATTGAGCATCCAAGTGGAAAATAGCGGTAAATTGTGATCGTAATTGTTCTTATTTCCTTTTAATGTTTCCACCACGTTTATATAAAACAAAGTTATTTTTCTCTCTATTCTAATTAAATACTATTTAACTTTAATTAAAAATAACGTGAAACTAAAAATTAGTTAAAATTAAATGAGATATTAAAAAAACACATTTAACTTTCAACCAAATTAAATTTTAATACAATGTCACTTAATAATACATCTAGAATATTGAATTTAAATCATATTTTATTGATAAAGTAATGACTAAAAATGTTATGCTGGCAAAATAATAAAATTCAATTAGGATAAACAGTAATGGTACACTATTTTCTAAAAATAATTTTAAATTTATTAAGAGTATTGGTTTATGATTATTTGTCTAGTAGAGACGAAAATAGAGATATTTTTATAGTAATTGATACATTTTTAAACTTTGATGCTTTTAAAAACTAATTTATTACTAAAATCATTATTCTAAAAACTAAGTTATGTTAACAAAAGAAGATGTTACAATAACATAAGGAATAAATGTGTATATCTGCATGTCTGAGTAAATAAATTGGGTTTTAATTATAAATAACAAAAAAAATCTATAAAATCACTTGTTATTCAATATCTGAAGGGTTAAAATTTAAAAAAAAAAAAAAAATAATAAACAAAAAAATAAATACTAAAATGACAAACGTTTATATAAGTTTGTATTGAGTTTTTTGTAATGTTAGTCGGAAGATAAGCAATAATATTGATTACATTATATTTACATGTTAAAGGTACAACTCCAGAACTTAATGACTTCAAAGTTTGTCGCATTTTTTTTGGAAGAAGTTTCTAGTTGGCAACAAAAATTGAGTATAGCTGATCAAGTTATTAACTCATGGTTTGAGGTCCAGCGCACATGGATGCATTTAGAATCTATATTTATGAGTTCAGATGATATTCGTAAACAATTACCAGAAGATTCTGAAAGATTTTTTCGAATCGATTCAGAATTTAAAGTAAACGTTTAAAAACTCTACTAAGTTCAATGTTAAAAATGTAATTTGAATATATTTAGGAGTTAATGGCAAATATGTCGAAAACACCGAAAGTGATCGAAGCTACAAATAAACCAGGTTTAATCAAACATTTAGATGATCTTCACGACCATTTGACGTTATGCGAAAAGGCCCTAGCAGAATATTTAGAAACAAAACGCTTAGCATTTCCAAGATTTTATTTTGTTTCTGCAGCTGATCTTTTAGATATTCTTTCCAATGGAAATAATCCAGATCTTGTAGTCAGGTAAATTAAATAATACTAGTAAACATATTTAGAAAATAATATTGTTCTTTTTTAAATTATTTAAGAGATCAAACGTAGTAACTATTAATATATTTACGTATAATATTAAAAATTTCCTTAAAATTTAATTTCAAAAATATTAAATATTAATAGGAAAATAAAAATATTATTATAATATACAGTACAATATATGTTGAAAATTTTCATTCAATTAAATAAAAAAAAAGGATAAATTAATTTATTTATTTTGTGTAATTTCTGAACAATTATTTATATTGTATTTTTTTTCTCATTATTAATACATTATTATTATATAATGAGAATTTGTACGGATTATTTTGAGTAAAATTTATAAATGGATTTATTTATTTCATAGTTATTATCGAAATGAAATAAAATAAAAATATATAATGTAAAATTAGATTATACATTTAAACATATAAACATTCATTGTTGTTATAAATATATTCATTATATTTTTATTATTTAAAATTTTAGACATATGATTAAATTATTCGACTCAATAGCATCACTTGAATTTATTGATTCGAAAACAACTGAAAAAAAAGTAGCTGCGGGAATGCACGCCAAGGATGGCGAATACGTAAAATTCAATGAAAACTGTGACTGTACTGGACCAGTGAGTAGTGTTGTATTTAAAAGTATTACGTTATTATTAATACAATTTGTATTTATTATTATAACGTTAATGATGGTCATAATAATTCATCTCTCAAAAAATAATGGGTTTAGCTGAAATTTTTAGTAAAATTATTTATTCATAAACTTGTTTTATGAGTCATATAATAAACGTATAGAGTATTTACTCATATAAATATTAAAGTATTTATCGATTTGCACTTATTTATTTTATGTCGTATTTCTTATTGTATCTATAGTAAGTATCGCTTATTACATACTAATTTATCATCTTTTGCCATTGTTATGAACTATAAGATAATTCATTTTACAATTTCTTCACTGTAAAAATAAAAATATTTCACTAAAAATTGTTACATTTTTATCTTATAATTTATATTATAGGTTAGGACAACACAGTAGGTATAACTTAGATTAAATTTAAATAATCATGTTTTTTGGAATAATTGTAATCCAAACAATATATTTTTTTTTTATAAATTTGTTAATAAGCTTTGATAAGAACTATTGACCTTCAAATATATTTCAAGTTAACTGGCGCATGCAAATATAGTATTTTTGAAATTAACAAGGAAATGGTCTTTCACAGCGATTTAAATGTCATTTGATAATTAAGTGAATAATTAGTATTCTCTTCCTTATTATATTGATGATAATAACATGTTTTAATACAAAAGATGTTCTAAACTTTTAATTATCTTGTTTTATGTTCTTTATTATAATTCATTGTATGTCTTTATGTTCGAGTTTTCCTAAGTAAAAATAATATTTTTGCCTGTAGAATCAATTTTTAATTAATAAATGAAAAGTAGTTGTATAAAAGTTAGTATTAACAGGTAAATATTTCATAAGTAATTTACATAGTTAACAATAATACAATTTAACAGCCTTTATACAAATTTACATTATTATCAACTGTCTAAAACTATTTTCAATATTACATATTATACATACAAAATATATTAAATAGGATATATATTTGGATATTTTATTCATCCTAGAAAATAGTTTTCATCTTTGCATAAATCGCGGATTTTTGTTAGATTCTGTCTTAGTCATGTTTTGCCGCAATTAGAATACTATACTGTTAAATTACTCATGGTTAGTATAAAATCTATGCACATGCATATAGGTCGCCGATCTTGGTTTGACTCACATCAGTGGTTCTATATTTTTAAATATCTGATGATCATCAAAATGTTTATCAGTTAAATTAGTATGCATTAATTAAAAATTTGAACGGTAGCGTTTTATAGCGCGTAAAATATGAATACTAATAAACTGTGGAGTTGAATTAATACATAGATGAATAAATAGTGCATTTTATAATTAATTGTGAAAAAAAATGTATAACATCTTGTAAAGTAATTAAAAATCGTGTAAATTTGAAGTGAAGTCGTAGACTCTCAAAGTATAAGTTTAGTATATATTCAATACTTTCAAATCATTCGATTGTTTATTTAACTGAAACTAAGAATTCATACTGTGATTTAATGAAATTTAACAAATAATATTTATGTTTTCTTTTCTTTTTAATACTTAAACTACGGGACCAGATATCGCTACCAGATATTTATTTTTTATGTAGTATAAATTGAAAAATATACGACCATAAATAATTAGCAATAAAGTTTAAATTGTAAAAATATTTTTTTAATGGCTAAGAAATTTCATTGTGTTATTTATAGAAATATAATATATTTAATATGTAAAAATATCTTTTTTAATATATAATTCAGTTCATTGTCGTATCATACGGTTAAATTATCAAAACTAATTTTTCTATTCTCAATTTGTTCTAGCTAGTCGACACGGCGACAAGTACATATATTTTGAAAATTGTGCACTATTGTACATAAAAATATGCACTATAAAAATGTTGTTTTTAATATACGTAATTTTATTAATTAGAATATGGTATTATTACTATTTACCGGTTATTCATATTTTATTTTTCACATCAGAAATTTATATGATTGACACTTGAAGTAACTTTTAAGTACTATATTAAATCTAAAAATAAATTCATGAATTATATTTATTTTTTATTTGTTTACTAACGTTTTCTTTTACATCATACTTTGGGCATGAAGGTCAAAACATAAAACAATATTTACTCATCTCACTGCGTATTTGTTCACAAGAAAATAATAATAACAATATATAATAGTAATAGTATATATAAAATAACTAACCGTATATCATATTCTTTTTAAGTATAAATTTTATTACTTTTGATATTATTTATGATATAAATTGAATAATACATTTCTGAATGTTTTTTGGGACAATTTTTTTGTAAGGTACCTGAAATATTAATACATTTTGATCATTCTAAATCGAGAATATGGAAGTTCTAAAAAAAATGTTAGAACAATTTATACACTAAAAAATCATGTTGTCGTACATTTTTCGGGTGATTCGATACGTCAATCAAATCGAAAATAGTGTCTATATTTTTGTTAAAATTAAAAAAAAAAAAAAATACTTGTTGTAATTATTAAATTTGAAAAAAAATATAATTCGAATCTTAAAACTGGATGACCTCCCTCTTCTGTTATATATATATCACTTAATTTATATTTATTGTATCCCGTTTTCTTATTGTGCCAATCACATATACCTATTGTAAATCGTATTGATAAAAAAAAAAAAAAATAAATAAATAAATAAAAAATATACGTGAAGGTCTACATTTATTTTATGGCAAATCGACAATAGATCTTATTCATTACATTATTCAAATGAATCATTAAGTGTTTTTATGACACCGAGTGTTTCAAGAACCTTTTCCGTTCTATTTCGAAAATAAATCATCTTTCTCCATTAGTCTATTAAAAAAATAGTATACCAAACCCATAATTCAGTACTTCTATGGATTATTTACTGTTACATTGTTTGATTTCGATATTTTCATGCAACTATAATTCATCTTTTTACGGTCGTTACTAATACGAAATTGTTGTCATAGCGAATTCAAGAAATCGTACAATTATTGGTGTACCACAACAGCGGTTTCTCACCTTGTATATGTGTTATTTTACCAACATCATAACAATTAACCAGTATCATATACGGGTTAACCTAACATTATTATTCATTTAGTGTAATCTCGTTAAGCACGTTCGTTTATTCGTCCGTGGAACGCACATCGTTTTAATACTGTTTTGATACATTTAAAGCAGGCACATGTGTGTGCAGCAAAAGACCCACATGTGTTTCGTCCGTTTGCGTCACATTCGTATTTGTTCAATAGAATCGCCGACTTGATAACGTCGGTACACGAACACGCACGTGAACGTTATTGTAGCGCACGCATGTGTATAAACGGTGGTTCCTATTCGATTATTATAACAATTTATTTTTGTATGATTCCCTGTCCACGATTCGAAAACGCTTCAGACGAAACGGTTAAGCTTTCCTGCGATTTGATAACCACCGGGGAAAACACACTTGGTAGCCGGACCGGATATAACCACGAATGTATTTGCGCGTCGGCAAACGTTTCTAGAAACCTCTGCGCGAAAAAAAACGACGCTCCGGTTCTAGTAGTTGGTTTCGAGGCCTTCGGTGGCAGTGGTAGTGGTTAGCGAGCAGCGAAATTTAACCGTCACGTCACGGAATTATGATTTTGAGTACTGTGTATATACGTACGTACGTCCGCTGCGCAAGGACGCGTTCACATTATAGGTTCCTGATACCGGGGAACCGGCAACGGCGTTTCATGTCGAGGTAAAAAAAGACTCGCCGGCGGGCCAGTGTCGGCCACATCAGTGGGCGAATGCAGGACGTTACAGGACTTATGCACCTGCCCATGGAGTCCTGGTAACGTAGGACACGTAAACAATGCCCTCGTCGAAGAAGACGCGAAGACCGCAGACGGACGGTCGGCCGCCCACGGCCCTTCGCACGGTTACCGCATGCGATCCTGGTATACTGTTACGATTTACGCGTACTCGATGGTTTCGATTGAATTTTGTTCGATTTATCGTTAGCGACCAGTACGTGCAAGCAGTGTTTTCCTGCAACTCACGCAAGTACTATTATTACGGTTTTTATTGTTTCGCTCCTTTTCCAGCACGATATTCAAATGAATTATTATCATAGAAGAAAGTTCTGAATTTACATCCGAATTACCCACGTTTACATTTTGTTTTTTTTTTTTTTATGGCAATAAAAAATTACGGTGTAATGTCGGTCGACTTGGTCAATATCGAATCGATACCGTGGAAATGACCAAATTCTACGATCTACCCAGTAGATAGTGTTCTCCTGATACCCTGTTACAGCTACACATTCGGCAATTGGAATTACTTGTCCTTTGTATTTTACTTTGAATTACTTGCACAGCAGAAATAAAAAAAAAAAAAAAACAATGCCGTAGTAAATACGTCAATAAGTCTGGCACGAACGAGTGATACTTAGTATTTACAAAGTTTTACATATTTGGATCCTTTTTGCTCAATTCGAATTATATAATTGATTTTTCTGCGTCTTCTTATATTTAAGTATTTAAGTATTTTTCATAATCCAGACACGGTTTTGTATTTATAATATCTATGCCATAGTTTTGGCGTAAGTTTTGTACATTTCTTTATTTAATTATTTAATTTATCTATTTATTTACTTATTGCTTAATTTAATTTATCTGAGGTCTGGACAGAATTGTATTTTAAATGACAATAATGATGATAATAACCAGAGTTCATAACTAAATATAGCATATATAATAATAATAAATAATAATAATATAAATAATAAATAATAGCTAATAATAGCTAAATATAGCATTTACATATTTTTTTTCTAAAGGTCCTAGAAATACCTATGTGAGCTATACATTTGTTTCAGGTAATTAAAAAACTAAATACGAAATTCTATGTTGCATATTTTTGCATATTTCAAAGTATATGTGGTATTTTGAATTTTTACTCTTTTGCAGACTTATTCTTACGTATTTAGAAATTCGTTATTTGCTATTTTGATTTTTTAAGTCTTTTTCAGTTCCGTAGCATTTAAAACAATTTTTCTTAATAACAACAAGTAATTATAATATTATTAAATGTCATATTTATAATTAATTCATTTTTATTAACTTAACCATCTTCTTTTGGATTGAATTATATTTATTTGTATTATATAGCGACGTGATCGGAATTTTAAAATTTTTTTATACATAATATGTTTTTTTAATAATAAGTAAAAATTGTTTTTTTACATGGTATATTAGCGCTTATAACTTTTTTTTAGAGCTACAAGTTATGAGCCCTGAAAATAACACATGATAGTACATGGATTTTTATTATAATATTGTCTTATAAGTTTTTATGTTTTCCTCCGTATAGTTATTCCTTATCAATTGATAATATTAACTCTGGTTCACAGAATGTCTTGATAAAATTTTGAATTTATCAAGCTGTACTATTATGTAAAGTTGTGTTTAGTTAAGAGTTAATAAAATCCGTATTAAAAATAAAAAACCATAAACATTTTACTTCTATATATTTTTCTCCGAATTTCACAACGTGGAACCCAACATTTATATTATTAAATTACTAACAATACAAATAATGGACAAAAAAATATGTTGATTTTAAATGATATGTAAAATTAAATTTTGATTTTCTCGTATTTCAAGTACAATTTATTCTAACCAGTGGTGCCCAACCCGCGGGCTGCGGCTAAAATGTGGCCTGCAAAAGTATTCAATGCGGCGCGTTACAATTTTTTTAAAATAAAAATAATTAGTAAAAAAAAAAAGTAAAATTATTATAAAATACGATTTTTTTAAAATTCTTAATTTTATTTTTAAACTTTTTCAAATATAAATTTCACGATACAACCCGTGCACTTAAAATAGTGTATTGATTAATTAATGTTTATCTACAGCGTGTACCTTAATCTTAATATTTTCAATACTCAATAAAATATTTGAAAACAAATTCAATATGTACCTATTTACCTACTACATGTAACAAAATAACATTATTAGACTATTATTGATATTATTCGTACTTTTATATTTGTTGGTCTACTCTAAGATGATTGTTTACCAAAGTGGCTCGCCGAGGAAAAAGGTTGGACTTCACTGTTCTATAATGTATATATAATATATATAATATATATAATGTACAATTTTTTACAATTAATTACAATTTCAAATTCAAAATTTAAACGATGAAACATTATATCAAATATTTTATTGATATTTGTATACGTGATAAATTTTATTTTTAACATAATTTGAAACAAATTTAAAGATAATTACATTGTACAATAAATATTTAAAATATAGTGCAGTATAATATAATATAGTATACAGGTATATTATATATACAATACATTTCAAAAATATTTTATTTTCATACACACAATTTGGAAACATAATATAACATTAAAATTAGTTGGATTTCATTCAGACGTAATCTTGTATTGTTGTTTTCAAAATAAAACTCATAATAATATTATTTTATTCGGAAGGCGTGGTAAACAACTAGCTTCTGGTAAACAACTAGCTGGTAAACAACTATCTGTTAACAATTAAATGTGTACTGTTATGGTTTTTAATTTTTTTTATCTGTATATTTTAATTATTTGCGATAGCGTGCGTAACGAATGAGATAATTTTAATATGACGTAATAAATAATAGCTGTAATAGAACTTGAACAATACTGATGAATAAATTATAAATAAAAAAAACATTACTGTTTAGTCAATTCGATGAAAATAAATTAACTCTATTTCTATTGGAGATACCTTTTGCGTAAATTACAAAGGTTAGTAGAGTATTGGCTTGGTGTAATGCAGGAAGATAAATACATTGCCAAGAATATTTACAGTTTTAATTATAGCCATTAGATATAGTATAGTTTTAACTATAAACCGTTTGGGTGTAAAGACCTCTAGATTATAGAATTGTCAGCTTATAATCACGCATTCGTGCGAGATAATTATTAGGAATACATAGAGAGGATATTTATAAATACGAGTATCCATCGTTAATAGGCTTATGGTAGATTCGATAAATATAATATATGTAAAATTAGACATATTTCAGTAGCAAGGAGAGGCGACGAGAAGTACTAATGCTTTGGACACATTTATTTTAAGGGCACAACAATGGAAAATTTTCATTTTTTGTAATAATTTATAACGGTCAATGTTGTACATTTTATTTAGAAAAAACCAACGTACTTTATAATAATTGAAGCAGTTGTTGAAAATAATATTAAATAACTACAATATTTTAAAATTAAAAATACTTAAGGATATATTTTGAAGTTCCAATTCGGACACAATATTTGGTTGCTACAACAATGATTAGACTTAAGGAAAAAATAAAAGCAAAAGCAGAAGTAAATTTTATGTCTTTATATCGATTGATTCAAATATTTTTTCTAGTTTTTATAAATTATAATGAGAATATGTTCATTGGTAAGATTTTAAATATATCTCGAGACAAAACACTTATGAGGAAAAATGTCCATAACAATCAAAATTATTGAGTTCGTTGAAAAATTAAGTAAATATAATTTGTATTACTTTTATTACACGTTTAAAATTAAAAACGTATTAAAAATGTTTATGTACGTAAAATAGTATTTCATTTTAGCAGAGACACAAATATTCTAAAAATAAATATTTTTAAATTGTTTTTTTTTTATTCAAAAATAAAATAAAATAGAAATAAAAACATATTATCTATAAACAAGTCGCAGTTGAGGGTATTGGTGGATAATAGTAAATAATCGATTAGAACAAAATGATAATGTGTTCTACACACATACAACTTTTAAATTTTGATATTTCCATGATTTTATAATTTGAATAGTTTAATTTTATGATACATTTTATGAAAATTAATAGATACTTATGCAAGAAAATATGGTTCAAAAAGTTTAATAAATAAAGAATAGGAAATCGAATTATAGAATTATTCTTACTGATCATTGTAGGTTAACTCAACAGCATATTTTTATTTAACCAATAATGGACTGTGAAGTTTTTATTATTACACTTTAAATATTAGGTAATAAAAACAATTTACTGTGTTAAATTTTCCGATTGCTTAATGATGCACAAAATATTTTATAATAAACTTGTATTAAATTGTTTATACTGTTAAATATAAATCTATTTATTACATTAAAATTAATATAAACATATTTAATTTTTTCTTTGCATCGATTCTTATTTAGATTTATTATAGATCTATTATTGAAACCTTTTGATAAAGATTAATTTTCTCGGAAGTTTTTCACAAAAAAACCAATACATTTCTTTCAAAATCTTATCATATTAGAAAATTATAAAAGTACGTTATTGCAAATCCTATAAAATATAAATGTATGAGTATATTATTATTTTAAAATTTTTTGAATTACGTTAGAAGTGTATACTTCAAAAACTGTATTTTAATTAGACTTAGGTACATTCATGACTTTCGTTTAATATAAAAAAGACCGTTTAAAGTTTTTAAGCTTAAGATCCTTTACAAATAGGCCCTGTTGATTAAAAACTAAACATACATTATGTTAGATTAATTTTAATGATTATAATTTTAGGTCGAAAAATGGCTCAACAAAATTCAATCGATGATGCGTAAAACAATTAGGCACAACTTTTTAGAAAGCACCTTGTCCTATGAAGAAAAACCTAGAGAGCAATGGTTGTTTGATTTTCCTGCTCAAGTGTCATTATGTGGTACTCAAATTTGGTGGACTACAGAAGTAAACATTGCATTTGCTAGGCTTGAAGAAGGCTATGAAAATGCTTTGAAAGATTATCAAAGAAAACAAGTAATTATAAATAAGCTTTGTGATTATTCATCAAAATATACTAAAAATAAGAGACTAGTTTCTGTTCCATTTTTAATAAATACAAACAATGAGTTCAAGTTAGGGTTTCATACGTTTTTTTTTATTTGTTTCCTGTAATATGTGCTTAAATTGTTGATAAAAATATAAAATAGTTATATATATATAACATACTTACTGGTAATATAGATAATCCATCATAATGCATTATATCTAAACAAAAAATTATATCACCAATCAATGTAAAGAAAAATTTCGTTTAATCCAAAATTTTTAATTTTTAATTTTAAACTATAAGTTCTGATCTGGTAAGGTTTCCAATATTATAATGAATTTTGAGTTACAAAACAGGTTGTTTTCGGTTTGGTTTCCACCTCAACTAAGAGCTAATAATACTAATATACATATAATAATAAACTGCTCCGAGTACCAAATTATTTTTAAAAAAAAAAAACATTAATTTTTCATAACTAAAGTTATACTTCTTTTTTGTTACGATCTCATTTTAGTGATTGATTTTAAGAGAAAATGTTTATTTTTTTAAGTCAAAATTGATTACTTTTAATTATAATTTATTTTATATTTTTCCTAGTTTCACAATTTATTAATTGTTTAATACTTTTGTATTTTAATAAAAACTGTATTTATATTATAGATTCTTCAACTTAATACACTGATAACATTATTATTGGGAGAGTTAACCAGACAAGACCGACAGAAAATCATGACGATTTGTACAATTGATGTTCATTCTAGAGATGTTGTTGGTAGATTAATACAATCTAAAATTGAAAATGTATTAGCTTTTCAGTGGCAATCACAACTAAGACATAGGCAAGTCTACGATACTTAAAAACCGCTTATAGATAATATCGTATATTATACAAGTATATGCACACAATGTATCATAAAAAAACCGATGATGTTGTTTGTGACGAAAAGGTTTTTGAGTTTTGATAAGATTAAACTGTGGTGATCACGATTTCAGTAGTATTAATAGTTCAATATTATTAATCAATATATAAACAGTATGTATAAAAAAATGTTTCATAATCAAAATGTGTCTATGTATTTTTAATTTTAGATGGGATGAAAAGGAAAAAGACTGTTTTGCTAATATTTGTGATGCTCAATTTCGCTATAGTCATGAATATTTAGGTAATACACCGCGTTTGGTAATCACACCTTTAACTGACAGATGTTATATAACCTTAACACAAGTAAAAATATATTTATAATTATTTTGACAAATATTCATAATATTTATTTGTTGGTGACTATTAAAACAATAATTTGTGTTTATTAGTCATTGCACTTGGTAATGGGTGGAGGTCCAGCCGGGCCTGCGGGAACTGGTAAAACAGAAACAACTAAAGATCTTGGACGTGCTCTCGGTGTTATGGTTTATGTTTTCAATTGTTCTGAACAAATGGACTATAAGGTATTGAGGTTAAATATTGTAATTAAAAATCAAAGCTGTGTTATAAGTCAATCAATGTGTTACTCAGTCTTGCGGTAATATTTATAAAGGATTGGCTCAAACTGGAGCCTGGGGTTGTTTTGATGAGTTTAACAGGATATCTGTCGAAGTATTATCAGTAGTTGCTGTCCAAGTGAAATCAATTCAGGTACACATTAGACATTTTTACATAGCATGTTATTACAGTAGAAGTCGCTTATTAGCAGGTCAGGACCTGATAAGAAGTATTAAATAGCATGTAATATATACTATTTAATACTTCTTATATTATAAGTAATTAATAGCACCGAAAATACTAATATATGAGATATAATATGACCAAAAATATTTCAAAATATGTTCTATAAATATGCCCAAAAAATCACCAAAAATAGCAAAAAAAAAATGTATATTCAAATTTTAAGATGTGGTGATTAGATACTTTCATTATAAATATCATCAACGTATAATTTTCTCAGTGTTGATTCGTCTGGAATTGGATTTTTAGTATACTTTTATAAAAATTGTCGAAACTTTACATTGGACAACTTATTTAGTAGTATATTTGCAGAAATAAGAATCTTGCAAATATCGATATTAAAAGTAGATATCTGAGGAATATTTGTAAGTAACTACTATTTCTTTTTTATTTTATTTTGTTCTCGTTTAATGGATTTCAAATGTTTCTCCGTTTTTAAGTGTTGAGTAACGTTAAATTTTTTGTCACTATTAACTTTGCATTCACATAATTTGCAAAATAGAATAGCGTTAGTCGTAAAAATCTCATGGCTGCCAAACTCAGATACAAAATATCTAAGTCTCGAATAGTTCGATGTTTTAATTCTCGGTATTTTACGTAAAATATCGAAACAGAAAACAAATAATACACAATTGAGTAATAAACGTATATGAAATGAAATTAAACAATATGGAGAACCATAGGCGGATATCAAAGGGCTTGGGGGAGGCTTAGACCCCACAAATATTTTAATAGCCCCTCAAAATCAAAACGTTGTTAGAAATTTTATTCGTTATTTTTATAATTTATTTATAATTATCTGTTCATTTTTTTTTAAAATCGTAAAATAAGAAATAATAAAAAACTATTTACAATAGCATTAAAAATACCAATAACATAGTTTGACTACTTGCGTGAGAAGTTTCAGTGCAATGAAAAAAATAAAATCTTGGTTAAGGACATTGTTGGTTCAAGATAGGTCCAGTAATCTTTCAATACTATATATTGAAAAAGATAAATCGAAAAATATAAAAAGAGATGATATTTTGAGTATGTTTGCTAATACAAATAGTTATTTGTCATTAAAATAAAATATTAATTATTTTTAAATATACGTTATTTAGTTTTTTTTTTTTTTTTTTAATATGATTTAAACATAGCTATACTCTTAATGGTAATACATTTTATTTGTGTATTGAAAGGGGATGTGGGGGCGAAGCCCCTGCGGATTATTTTACATTGAATTATTATAGCCTCCCCAAAATTTCAACCAAGTGTCTGCCTATGCAGAGAATTTACGCTGAAAGTTTAAAATACGTACAGTTAAAGGGCATAAATGTACACATATATTTGATATCGCCGGGCTATTTAAAAACAGATTCTAGCAACATGTTAAATAGTATGATTTTATAGTATAACCATATAATTTATCAGTTATCAATATGAAACGAAAATGTGGAAATTTTTGGATTCACATAAACGAATACTATTTTTCGTTCAATATAAACAACATTTATAAAAAATACAAAATAAAGCATAAAATCATGTATATTAGCAAAATAAAATCACTAAAATTTCAAAAATATCACTAATAATCTAAACTACTTTAAATATGCAAAAATAGCAAAATAAAATTTCATATTTGGAGTCCTTGGTTCATAACATAAATGTATAGCCCTCTCTGCTATCTTTATCTATATCCTATAATAAGAAGTAAATGCTATAAAATCCGAACCCTGCTTATTAGGAACATTTTTCTATTAAGAAGAAATATGTCAATTAACCGATTGTTTTTAATAAGTGATTGGTTTTATTTATTATGAAAAATATGTAAATGCTAAGTAATATATGCGTTTATCGTTGTCTGTTATTTTGCGTCGCATAACTTGATGATCATGGTTTCGTAAGAATAATGTTGCCCAAAGCCTTTTTCATCCGCACGGTACTGGACTGCTCTCCTGAAGACACTGAGAGCTTCTACAATCTCTTTATTTCTTGGGACGCGCTTCTTTCTCACTTCTTTCTTCTTCATCGTCAGTGACGGCATGTTTGACGATTAATAACCGCATTACGGATTTCTTATTTTGCTGGAAATTCCAACTTGGAACCTCTTCAACATCAAGGTGTGAGTCCACATCAATTCAATCTTCATATACTTCTTCCGAGAGTTCGAATGGTTTCGATTGTAACGATATAAGATAAAGTACATTGTAATTACAATACATTGGTTTTCGCCAAATAAACGGAATTTTTCGACGAATTTGGTTCTTATTGTTTCAAATAAACGATGTGTTGTTTCAACAATCCGATTGATTTACAATATTTTAATATATGGCCGATCCATCGCTAGAAATTTTGTTTCAATAATGTGACTGTATCAATTATCCGTGTACCTAATAAGCGATTTCTACTGTATGTTATACTGAGCATATTATTAAATTCTAAATAGGTAAATAAATAGGTTCTAAATAAACCTATTTATCAATCATTTTAATTTTTTTGAAATTATTGTGTTGATCATAAATATTATGTACAAAAGCTTTAATTAATTGTATCCATTTATATCCAGGATGCGATTCGAGAAAAAGCAATTACATTTAATTTCATGGGTGAACAAATAAGTTTAATCTCCTCTGTTGGAATTTTCATCACAATGAATCCCGGTTACGCTGGTAGAACAGAATTGCCGGAAAATTTAAAAGCTTTATTTAGGTAAGTGTATATTGTATTATGTGTATTGAACACGTCTCATATTATTTTTAATTAATTTGAATTATATAGACCATGTGCTATGGTGGTACCAGATTTCGAGTTGATCTGTGAAATAATGTTGGTGGCTGAAGGGTTCCAAGAAGCAAAAATTCTGGCAAGGAAATTTATAACATTGTATACATTATGCAAAGAACTTCTCTCCAAGCAAGACCATTACGATTGGGGTTTAAGAGCCATAAAGTCTGTGCTAGTTGTTGCTGGTTCTTTGAAAGTAAACTTTATTTACATTATTTTATGTTTATAACATCAAATTTATTGATACACTCACACCGTAATATTTAGAGAGGTGATCCTGGACGGGTTGAAGAGGAAGTGTTAATGAGAGCTTTAAGAGATTTTAATATACCGAAAATTATAAGTGACGACGTCCCAGTTTTTATGGGTCTCATTGGGGATTTATTTCCTTCGTTGGATGTACCTCGTAAAAGAGATCAAGATTTTGAAAAAACTGTAAAACAAGCAGCTGTCGATTTGTTGTTGCAACCCGAAGAAAATTTTATACTTAAAGTACAAACCGTTGTATGTGTACAATTTTTTCTACTTTTAGTAATAATTATAATACACAGGTTGTACAGTTGGAAGAACTTTTGGAAGTCCGACATTCCGTGTTTGTAGTAGGAAACGCGGGTACTGGAAAAACTGAGGTTTGGAAAACGTTATTTAGAACTTATCAAAATATGAAACGAAAGCCAATTTACAATGATTTAAATCCGAAAGCAGTCACTAATGATGAATTATTTGGTGTCATTAATCCAGCAACTCGTGAATGGAAAGATGGTTCTTTATTTTGATATAATTAACTAATATTTCGCATGATAATATACAAATGTTGTTTCAATTAATTAATTTTCTGTTTGTAGGTCTGTTTTCTGTTATAATGAGAGAGCAAGCGAACATTCCGAATAGTTTCCCAAAATGGATACTGTTGGATGGAGATATTGATCCGATGTGGATCGAATCACTAAATACCGTGATGGACGACAATAAGGTATTTACACATTTACATTTGATTATTTTAAGTTTAAAATAATATTAACCACTGTAAACCACTATTGGTTATTTTTTTAGGTCTTAACGTTAGCCAGTAATGAACGTATTGCCCTAACGCCTTCGATGAGACTTATTTTTGAGATTTCTAACTTACGCACCGCAACGCCAGCTACTGTATCACGAGCAGGCATTTTATATTTGAATCCACAGGACTTGGGATGGAATCCGTAATTTATATATTTTCTTATAATTAAAATGATCCTCCGATATAATAATATATAGTATTCATTGCATGCACGTAGATATGTAACGAGTTGGATTGAGACCAGAGAATGCGGAGGGGAAAAAGGTAACCTCGTGATTTTATTCGATAAATACATACCATCGTGTTTGGAAAATATCCGCAACAGATTTAAGAAAATCATACCAATTACGGAGATGTCACATATACAAATGTTATGTCATCTGCTTGAATGTATTTTAGTACCAGTCAATACACCGGCAGATTGTCCAAAAGAATGGTACGAACTGTACTTTACTTTTGCGTGCATATGGTCATTCGGAGCGGCAATATATCAAGAACAGGTGAAGTCTACCGAAGTATAAGAATTAGTTACTGGTCATGGCTTGAGTTATGTTAATAACTATATGTATTGTTTAGTTAAGGTTTTTTTTTATTATTTATTAAGACTTTGACTAAAAAGGTTTTTAGCTTACTTCACAATTAATAATTAAAGAGAAGAAAAAAAAAAGTCTTATTGTTTTTGATTTAACAATATAAATGTTTAAAATGTGTAACATTGATATTGTTGGGCTTTAGACTAAACTCTAAAGTAGATAACAAATTAATAGTGTGCATTATACATCTGAAATTGTTGAAATAATTATAATTTATTCAGTAATAGGTCATACGAACAAAGTTCATATTTGCGTTAAATTTATATCAAATACTTAACATCATGATGTAACACTCCAGAGTTTCGCCATAATAACGAAAATCAGTAGGCATCTCAATTTCTTAATATTTCAAAATTTGACTTTCCTTATATTTTTTTTATAAAAGTAATATTTATTAAATGAATATTATTTTAAGGTTTATTTAAATATTTAATTTGACCAAAAAAATAATTTTTAAAATATTGCTATTTTTGTATTTCACTAAATCTAGTACAAAGTAATTTTTAGGTTGTCAGAATTTCTTTCTTCATATGGATTTTGGTACCTTTTTCTTATAATGAAATGGTATTTCAAAAGATTATTACTAATTGTGTATTATATTTGAATTCAAAACTATAAGTATACATTTAATCTAACGTACCAATAAAAACTATTGAATATAATTTATTTATAGAACATAAATTAAAATATACCTATACTTTTCTGTTAGAGTAATGTTAAAGAACTTTAAGTAAATAAAATTATTGACTAAAATATATTAAAATATCTTTGCAAATATCTATATAGTTATTTTGAAAAAGTTTGCAGCCGTAGCACTGGTCAGACCAACCACTAAAACAGGATTCAAGTTTTTTCATTAACGTTTAGTTACAATATTTACAACAATATTATTAATTTTAAACATCAATTATGTATTTAATTTTTAGGTTGTTGATTATAAAGTAGAATTTTCTAAATGGTGGGTTGCTGAATTCAAAACTATAAAATATCCAACTCAAGGTACTGTGTTTGATTATTTCATCGATAACGAAACCAAGGAATTTCTACCGTGGTCGCATATTATTCCAAAATTTGAATTGGACTCGGATATGCCTTTGCAAGTCCGTATTGAATACTCATTAATAGAGGAATTACTATGCAATTACATCGTAATTTCGTTTGTAGAACGCATTGGTCCATACGCCAGAATCAATAAGAACAAGATACTTTGTTGACTTACTTATGGATAATAAACATCCTGTTATGTTAGTTGGAAGTGCAGGTTGTGGTAAAACAGTGTTGATGAATGAAAAGTTAACTAGTCTTTCGGATAGTTACGCCGTTGCTAATATACCGTTTAACTTTTATACAACCTCAGGTGATTGTAGTTATAATACAACAGTCGAGTAATTATTTTAGTTTTTCTATTAACATCATTTATTTGTTTTTCATTCACTTTACAGAGATGCTACAAAAAATATTGGAAAAACCACTGGAAAAAAAAGCTGGAAGAAATTATGGACCACCGGGAAATAAAACTCTTGTTTACTTTTTGGATGATATGAATATGCCAGAAGTAAGATTAATTGTAGTAAAAAAAAAAAAAAAAATCATAACAATGTATTTATAACTGTTATTAATGTTTTAATGTTATAAATGGCAGGTAGATTGTTATGGCACTGTACAACCACACACTTTAATTCGGCAGCATTTGGATTATGGACATTGGTATGATAGAACCAAATTGTCATTAAAAGATATCCATAATTGTCAGTACGTCTCTTGTATGAATCCGACCGCAGGGAGTTTCACAATTAATCCTCGACTACAACGACATTTTTGTGTTATTGCTGTGAGGTAAATTAAGTATTTTAATACTTCAAAGTAGTTTTTACTCTTTTATATTATGATCTCAATGTGTTGTATAAGTGTTTATTCTTATAAACTCACAATAATATGTTAAATCGTATTTTTGCTCTTTGAATACATAAAATATTTGTTTAGCATATTCTGTGCAAACATATTAATATATAATATAAATTCAGTTCAAGTCATTGAAAACTCAAAATATTCTAGTTAAATTTTTATAGAACCGCATAGGTATGTTTTATAATAAAATAAGAAAGGATTACAAATTGATTAGATATATTGGTATGCATTTTGTTATGCTGTATTATTAAAAGTTAAATATGTTGTTAATTTTTATTTATTCAGTAGGTATATATTATATTTTATTATAAATTAAATTGTATTATATGTTTAGTTATTATTTATTGTTGATAAATGTTATAAAGTTAAGTATGAGATAAAAAAGTCCTATAATATATATATATATATATATATATATATATATATATATGAATTTTCTAGTACAAAAGATGTATTTATTTTCATGATTATTATTTAAAAAAATAGTGTAAACTTGTTATTATTAATACCTACTCAACATGATGTGCAATAATTTATTAATTACTAAAATATTAATAATTACTAATAATTATAAATTACCATGAGTGTTAATTTTTTTTATAATATGTAATTTATATAGAATTTATTGAAGTAAAATGTTAATCATAAGTATAGTTTATATCAAATGTATTATTTTTTATTTAGTAATATATAAATGTTTAAAAATTATTTGAAACTAACATTTTTACTTTTATTTACAGTTTTCCAGGATCAGAGTCATTAACGTTGATTTATTCTTCAATTTTAAATCAACATTTTGGGAATTTTGAGTTTCGAATTCCACAGGCAGCTTCAAAATTAGCTGATAATGTAATCGAAGCTACATTGTGGTTACACAATAAAGTTAATTCGGTTTTTCTACCTACTGCTACGAAATTCCATTATATATTCAATTTGAGAGATTTATCAAATGTTTTTCAAGTACTTATATTTTAATAAACAAAAGCTCCATCATTTTTTTTACAAAATAGTGTGTATTATTTAATGCTAATTTTATAGGGTCTGCTTTTTAGTACTGGAGAATGTCTAAACTGCGGATCAGATCTTATGCGTTTGTGGATGCACGAATGTCAAAGAGTATACTCAGATAAACTAGTTGATGATAAAGATTCAGATGCATTCACTAAAATACAAACTGATGCATTGAAAAAGTTCTTTGATGCAAGTTAAAAAATACTTAATAAACTTAGAGTTACTTAAAAATGTAGTAATTAATGTTTTGGTTTTATTTTGTCTATTTATCCACAAAATATTAAAATAAAAACCTTAAGGCATACATTTCTAGATAATTCTTGATTATCAAACATTTAAACTCTATATTTTTTATTACTGAAATAAGAATATGACTCTAGTATAGATAAAATAGAAGTTTATGAATGTGTTAAGTAGGTTCAAGATTTAAAGTAGGCAACTAAACTTACATGTATAATTTAGAAATATAAAAATATATTGACTGGTATACCTAAATAATAATTTACAATATGTATATGAAAAAAAAAATACTTACTGTTCAAAAGTTTTGATTACAATATTGTTATTTTTCTTGAAATTCTTTGAAATGTATCTATTGTATTGAATAACAAATTAAAAAAACTATTATTAATATTATAATGTTAATTACTAATTTAAAATTTGTAATAATAACTATTTATTTATATCAATTTGGGAATAGCTATTTATTATAAATTAAATCTATAATTTTTGATTATTTTGAGCTAAATAAATGAGCAATTTAAATGTTAGTATTTATGTGATAATATTTAAAAACTGCATATTATGACCACAATCCATACTTTTTATAAATATTTCAATAACTGTTAACAGAGAAAAATCGTATAACTTAAATACATTCAAATATAATTGACTGAGTTCTAATGTAATTTCAAACAATTAAAAATACTTACTTATTAATATTTTTATATAATCTTCGTCTAAAATAATGATAATATTCAAACTTTTGTTAATGTTTAATGTAAAGAAAATAAAAAAATATCTCAGATTTGTTGAATTATTATAGTATTAAAGATTTATAAACAGTAATTTGCAGTATTTTATATTTATTTATATTTTTTTACTATTATACAAATATGAACTAATAAAAATATTTTATTATTTTTAAAAATTATTCCATTTTTCTAAATTTATTATATATATCAATTATATTTTGAGGTTTTTTCATATTCATGTATAGGAAATCGATGAATGTGCAGTTTTTGAAAAACCAAATATATATTGTCATTTCGCCCAAGGTATTGGCGAACCTAAATACTCATCTGTAAGGAATTGGACTAATCTTACGAAATTACTGGAAGAAGCTTTAAATTTATATAATGATTTAGTTGCTGCTATGAACTTGGTTCTATTCGAAGATGCAATGATGCATATATGCAGGTTGGTTGATCTAATAGAATTATATAGTTATTCGATTTTATTATTCATGCAAATCGTATTTAAATTTAGAATAAATCGAATATTGGAGTCACCACGAGGCAGCTGTTTGTTAGTTGGGGTTGGAGGCAGCGGGAAACAATGTTTAGCTCGTTTAGCAGCATTTATTTCAAGTTTAGAAGTAGCACAAATACAATTGCGTAAAGGTTATGGGCTTTTGGATCTTAAGGTTCTATTCAATAAAAAACAATTATTTATTCATACTTATTAAACATGAGTTTAACAAAATTACTGTAGATGGAACTGTCTAGTCTGTATTTGAAGTCAGGATTAAAAAATGTTGGTATCGTATTTTTAATGACCGACGCTCAAGTACCATCGGAATCATTTTTAGTTTTGATCAATGATATGCTCTCAACGGGTGAAATTCCAGAATTGTTTCCTGATGATGAAGTTGAAAATATTATAGCTGGCGTTCGAAATGAAGTAAAGTTTAATACTTATATAACGTACAATTTAGTATTTAGTTTTCGTTTAAAATTATATTAAAATGGTTATAAAATTATTTAACTGTAATTTTATAACATGAAAAATAACAATACACATCTACCTATTATCCTATTCAGGTTAAAGGTGCCGGACAAATAGATACGCGTGAAAATTGTTGGAAATTTTTCATTGATCGAGTAAGACGACAGTTGAAAATTGTTATATGCTTCTCTCCAGTTGGATCGGTCTTACGAGTTCGTTCCAGAAAATTCCCTGCATTAGTCAATTGTACTTCTATTAATTGGTTTCATGAGTGGCCCCAACAAGCACTCATGTCTGTATCCAATCAGTTTTTATCAGAACTCGAAGTTCTTCCAGTAATAAGTTTTGTCACATTTTATACTGCATGTAAACATATTCAATGTTTTTCTCTTGTAACTTGTTTGTTAGGAAAATTTTAGAGAATCTGTCGCCAAGTTTATGGGTTATGCACACACGCAGGTGAACATCATATCTCGAGTTTATTTGCAAAGCGATCGCCGATATAATTACACAACACCGAAGTCATTTTTAGAACAAATATCCCTATATTCAAAATTGCTTAGACGAAAGTCTGCAGAATTAGCTGGTAAAATAGAACGCCTAGAAAATGGATTAGAAAAACTAAAAAGTACTGCTAATCAAGTAAGTTTGAAATTGATATAAGAAAACTGTGAGGGTCAGTGGTGTATATGGGAGAATGGTTGATCGCCTCTATCCTTGGGATTTTGGTTACTACTATAGATTTTACCAATAAATTAATACTTTAGACTTTATATTCGCAGATGGTTTTCTAAAACTAACAAAATTTCCATATTTTTGGTGCCAATTAGAGTAAGTCATAAATTTCCAATAAAACAAAGGAAGGGTTTAAACCCATTAGGTCTGGGGATTTGCAATCCACCACTCCCTCAGAACTAAGATATATCCGCCATTGGTGTTAGTTCAAATAGCCTTTGCAATTACGTAATCACTTGGTTTGTTATACATATTATATAGGATTACGTATTTATTTAAAATAAATATGACTAATATAAATAGTTATAAAAATCAAATTAATTATTCATTTTTGATAATAATTGATTACTTAAAGTAAATACTGAAACCTAAGTTTATTATTAGGTGGACAATTTAAAAGAAAAATTGGCGATTCAAGAAATTGAATTGAAAATTAAAAATGACGCAGCAGACAAACTTATTCAAATTGTTGGAATTGAAACAGATAAAGTATCAAAAGAAAAATCATTCGGTATGACATTAACTGAAATAATTTATACTTCATTTTTAAATATTTATAAATGATATTCTGTACAGCTGACGACGAGGAAAAAAAAGTAGGTTCAATAGCAGAAGAAGTAAAAAAAAAGCAACGCGATTGTGAAGAAGACCTTGTAAAGGCCGAACCAGCTTTGCTCGCTGCACAAGTTAGTATTTTTAAAATGCAGTTAGCTTATGGATAATAATTAGATGTCATGTATTATTTATAAATTATTAATTTTATGACCAACTTTTTTTCATATTTATCGATTCTAAACTTATGCATTTAAGTACATTATAATGATTTTTTTATCTTCTTAATATATAAAGAATAATATATTTTAATTCCTTAGTGTTTATATATATATATATGAGTTCTAATATGTATTGTTTAATATCATTCACACATATTTTATCTGTATTTAAAAAATATGCTTATGTTATAAAATAAATATTTTTGAGTTATAAAGAAATAAAAAATTAAATTAAAGTAAAAATTAGTAAATGGTTATTACTCGTAAATTATTATAAGAATAAATACACAATTAGTTTATATGTAGAAATAGATAAATAAAGAATTACTTTCTTGGAGTAGTATAATATTTGTAAAATACGATCGGCTGTGAATTAAAAATTCATCATTAGGTATATACAAAGTTAATAAAATCGTGACTTATATATAAGTGTTAAAATAAATACAATATACTTTTATTTATACAGGAAGCTTTAAATACATTAAATAAATCAAACTTAACAGAGTTGAAATCATTTGGATCACCCCCTGGCGTTGTTACAAACGTAACAGCTGCTGTTATGGTGTTATTGGCACAAAATGGTAAAATACCCAAAGACCGTAGTTGGAAAGCTGCCAAAGTATGTATTGTATATTTGAATGTTAATCAAACTTTGATAGATATAATAACTAATATTTTTTTATTGCTATTTAAAACATTGAATATTTAAATATCAGGAAGAATTATACTTGTATAGTACATTTTTAGAATAAGTAAAATATTTACGTTGGTTAAAAATTGCAAAATGTTGATGAACAAGAAAAAAAAAACAATTTCCAATTATTAAAATACTTATTGGAATTCAAAGCAATCTATTTTTCTCTTCAATCTGGAGAAAAATGTTTAATTATCAAATATGTTTAATTCTGTTTAGATTATGATGGCTAAAGTCGATAGTTTTCTTGATCAACTCATATCTTATGACAAAGAAAATATTCACCCCGAAGTCACTAAGGCTATTAAACCATACCTTAAAGATCCTGAGTTTGAACCAGAATTTGTTAAGTCAAAATCAGCTGCGGCTGCTGGTATGGCACTTTATTTGTGTTTTAGTTATGATTGATGTGAATTTATTTTATATGTTTTAACTTAAGGTCTGTGTGCTTGGGTAATCAATATTATAAAATTTTACGAGGTATACTGTGATGTGGAGCCTAAGCGATTAGCTCTAGCTCAAGCCAACATGGAACTAGCTCAAGCCCAAGAAAAGTTAGCTATAATAAAGAAAAAAGTCGCCGTAAATATATATATATTTTTTTTTTTTTGCTTTTAATAGACATTGATTTAACACATATATGTATTTATTAAGTCTTTAGAAGAACAACTTTCTAAGTTAACGGCAGATTTTGAACAGGCTACGTCTGAAAAACTTCACTGTCAACAAGAAGCGGATGCTACTAATAAGACTATCGAATTAGCAAACAGACTGATTGGAGGATTAGGTTCAGAAAATGTTCGTTGGGCCGAAGCTGTAGCTTGGTATATTTTTATGTTCGATTAAAAAGAACCAGTGGCGCCGGGATGAAAAAAATGATGATTCATATAATTTTAGTTTAAAATCTACTACTCGTCCATCGAAGGGACCATTAACTAAAACTTTTTAACAAAATATCACGTATAGTTATCTATTAAATTATTTTAGAAAAATATATACTATAATGTTCTATACATATGTTATGCTTTTGATGTAACTTAATAAGGTAGAAATCAGAATTAGTATTCTCACTGTTGTGAATGAAAGTTAGCTAAAGTCAGGTTTGGGTAAAGTCGGTCTTCGAGAGTTCGAGTATGTACATACATCAATTTACCTATTTTCCTCCTTTTCATATCAAAATAAATTAAGTAAAAATAAATATTTTTCAAGTTAAATGATTCTTATAATATTAAAATAGATTGATTACGTATAATATTTATATTTATTCGTTACACATGGAGCGAACCGAAAGCACGAGTTCGCGTTATTATTATAAATACAATAATTATTGTCCAAAGATCAAAATATATTACACGTCACATACATTCACTAGATATTCATAATATTTTTTGTCTTGTGATAATTATCCTTTTGCACACGCTATAGGTAAATGTATTTTTATTCTTTTAATCTCTGTTATAACTAATATGTTCATAATTTTATACAAATTACAACTATGTCTATTTAATTATAACTTTATAAACCACCCAGAGCCAGTAAACAACATCTTACTCAACTCAGGTGGATCATTAAACCCTCCTTAATTACGTAGATGGTGCCACTGAACATAACAATATATTAACCGCTAATATTTCAAATAATTGATGTTTTTATTGTACCAATACGCATTCAATCACATAAAGTTTTATGCAACAAAGTACCACTTTGCCAGGAGATGTTCTACTAATCACCGCATTCATATCATATGTTGGATGCTTCACAAAACATTATAGACAAGAACTGTTACATAAAATATGGACTCCTTTCGTGAAAACTTTAGACGTACGTGTGTTTATTATTATTATTGAAATAATTATTAATTATTGATATAATAACGGTCAATATGGTGTTGTATATACGTTATATAAGTTAGTAAAGTTAGTATAATAAGTTAGTATAGCATTTCACTTAGCCAATGTATAATGCTCTATATGACTGTAATGAGTTTTAGCTTGAGGAAAAAGCTTCTGGGTCTTAGAGAAAAATTAATTTGTAAGTAATAGTCAAACCATAATAATTTACAACTAAATATTCTTTTCATAGATTTTCTTCTTATTATTTTTTCTTCATTCGATTTTAAAATGAATGTACCATCCACTATTGTATATTCCATATGTGAATATGAGTATGTTTATATGTTAATTTATTGATAAAAACAACAGTCCGATACCAAAAATAATATTGAGCCTATTGGAAAATAGTCTACAAGCTAGTGCTCTGCATGGTCCGATCTTAATCAGTCCGGTCCGGTTTAGTACGGTCCTAACATACAAAAATGATTGAATCATCGGTTTGGTACGGTTCAATATTTTTAGAAGTAGTTCGGTCCAGTCTTCAGATCAAATGCATTATTTTCAGTCCGATCCGGTTTCAAAAAAAAGAAATGAAAATCAGTCCAGTCCGGTCCCAATCATAGAACTTAAAATCTAAATACAGATATTGTTATGTAAATAAATAAAAGAAAAAACCTACAACTTTAGGTATATATTTATTTATAAAATCGAGTAGTCCGGTCCAGTGTAATATTAAACGCATTATATGATACGGTCTGGGTTAATACAAACTAAAACTTACAGATCGGTCCATAAACGGTTTAAAATGTTTTAAGATCGGACTGACAGTTAGGTTACTTTATTAAATGTTATTTAATTACTGGTTCGATTCGGTCTAAAAATAATATGAAGTTGTCAGTTCAGTTCAATTTTGGTCATTGATTAACGTTTAAGTGTGGTCCGGTCCGACTTCGGTCCCCTGGTAAAATATGTAGTTTGATCTGGTCCTTAAATAACGGACCGTGCAGAGCACTACTATAAGCGCTTGGCATTAAATGCTTTTAATCGCAATGTAAATCGAGGTCATTACGTCCTACCTCATTCGGTTTTCCGTGGTCACTGCAAAACGACTATACGAGCCAAACAAAACATGAGCACTTACGTCAATGTTTACCTATTCCCATTTTATTTCGTTTTAATATATTTTAATAGCAAAATGTCATTTTCATATTTACGGTTAAAAGTTATGTACTGCGCATTGCATTTAATGTGTTATATTATTATAAAAGGGGCCAATTATTAATTTTTATTTATCATGTCGCTTACCTCACTTATTTCTAACCACACACTATTGCTTGTTGATAAAAATATCTTTGTAAATGCATACTTAAAATAAATATATATGCATAATTTCCGTAATCAACTTGTGGAAATAGCAAATAAGTTAATATAAATAAGTTAAAAAAAAAAAAACCGACGAAAACATATTATAATAAATTGAATATATATATATATATATATGTTAAGGTGTATGACCGCAGTAGGCGAATGTTGACAGTCACCGGTGTATGTTCACATTTACCAAAAATCGTAGTAAATGTTGACAAAATGGTCTTAACGCATTCATACACCGGTGATTGTTGACATGTACCATCAGTGTTTGGTAAATGTTGACCACATTTGAAGCATGATATATTTAAAAGGTATTTTTGTATTATTTTGTATGATCGATAACATTTTCGATTGTTGTAATAAATAAAACTATATATGAAAAATTACTATAAAAACTATATATTAAAAAAATTAATTTGTTAAACTATAATTATTCATTTATGAATTTGATATCTATTTGATTACGAGGTCTGATCAAAAAATACCCGGACTGCGTTAATAATATTTATATCAGTTAAGATAACGAAATTCCGATAATGTCAT